ATCAGGACCAACCTACCTGATTTTTTTCATTGCTGTTTGATTGCCTTATGAGAGGCTATGAGGGGTATGCAGCATTTGACATGAACCATTTGGAGCTTGTTGGCCCTATGCATAGAATGTACCAATAATAATCCCACCTAGGTTACAATGCTGCAGTGTTGGCTTACTTCACTTACTTTATACTAAATATAGTTCAACTCAACCAATTTATTATATCATATCACTTATTATTGTTTTTTGTTAACGATAAATTATTGCTTTTTTGAAAAGAAAGTTTTCCTAAAAGTTTTCATGATTGATCATTGTAATTCCTTTTATCACAATTAAATGTTTGGATTTCAAATTTTATAAGCAAACTAATGAGACATTAACGATTACAAATGTACTTGACTCATAAATATGAACTGTGTTGGGCAATGGGCAACGTAAACAGAAGACAACGTAAACAGAAGCATTTGGTTGGCCTGAAAATCTTTTTAGGCCCATGTGAAAAGACACTGGAAATAATCATTGACCTACTACGCAACCTTTTTAGATTTCGACCCTCTTCCCCTCCATCTATCATTAAGGCTTGCAAGTTCTATGCATAAACCAAACCATTGCAGTGTTTTCAAATGTAAAAACTGAAGGAGCTTCCTGAAAAGATTTCTGAAACTGATTAAAAATGTTTTTGTTGTCTATTCAATCATTATACTAACCCCCCTCTCTCCCCAGTAAACACCCAAAAGAGTTTGAGTGATCTTTCCACCTTTAAGTAATTAACATGTGAATAATTCTCTACAATTCCTCAACGATTGTCCTCAAAGAATTTCCTAAATCAAAGTGCAACCTTTCTCCATTTCCAATACTCGATCTCTAACATTATTTCATGTGGTGTCCCAATTCATATTTTAAAAATGGCTTTGAAAAAGCAAACATTTTACAACATGCTGAAAGCTTTCTGCATATAATGCATCTAGGCCATCACGGCCTCTAACCAAGTGAGACCAACAAAATAGCAACAACATGGAATTATTTCTATAACAACTTGTTACGTGTAAATATCCACTCGATTTAGGATAATTCAATTACTACTTACGAATGGACAAGGTACACCCTATTGTGATGCATATGTTAATGTGATGCATAGATGGACAAGTTAAGCATCAGCTCGTTTCACTTAAGGCAGAAAATTATATGATCAAATCATCATGATAATTAACATGGTAGGTTGAACTACTTGGTGTTGGTAATTGGTATTCTGCCAATGTTATCTTTCTCTTGTTTCAAAGCAGTCTTGACTCAATTTAAGACTCAATTTGATTCCAAACTGTCAGCCGTTTCAATTCAGTTTGAATTCACGTGAACAATATCTTTCTTGTCTAGGTATAAAGCTTTACCAAGCAACCAGATTTTTCTTCTAGATTCAGAGCGTTTGGTCTCAACCTAGACAGACATCGTCTTTTGTTGATGTCTTTTACAATTTCAAGACATGGTTCAAATTTAAAAGCTGTTTTAGCTTGAACATATGTACAATGCCTGCCAAAAGTCTTAAAGTTTGGGTAAATCTTATTCCATTTGGAACACTGACGTCAGTTTGCACAAGGTCAGATTCAGACATCCCCCTCTTCCCCACGGAAAATGTTGGTTTACGATAGAATGGGTTAGGGAATTAAGAATGTCTTCTTTTGCGATTCATTTCAACACTATAAGGGCCTATAAGGGGCGGAAGGAGTAATTTTTTATCGGAAAAGGAATGAAAGATATAAAATGCAACGCAAATTGCTGGGTATTCCAAGTACTTTTGACCGGCATTGTACATAATATCTTGTCCAATACTGTTTTAGCCAACCGCGGAGAACCAGGAAGACATTTTAATTTTACAGCAAATTGATATCAGTGTTTAAACTCTAATTCAGGGCTCGCGCCACCGATTCTAAAGTGGAGGAACCAAAAAGGGGGTTGCCTGTTTAATGCCTAAAAGGGGATTTAACACCTATAGTTAGCAAGAAAAGTGGGGGCCATGGTCCCCCGGACCACCCTGACGAGGGCCCTGCTAAATATGTCTTCAAAAGAAACTTATAAGATTTCAGACGACACCAGAAAAGAATTCGTCATACTGAAGAAGGGGCCATAGCTTTTTCGTCAAAAGGAACACGGATCATTACTTTAGATAACACGTACCCATAGCCCCCGAAAGACTGGTCAAACATTACAAGACATTTTCATGACGTTTTGTAGCCTAAGCTCGGACAAGTTTTGCGCTCGGTTACACAGACGACTATTTGGAGTCTGGGGCTCAGGCTAGACGTTTTGTTGAGGAGTTAGCCAATCGATTGGCGTGACTCTATGCGCGCCAATTAGTGATGTTTAATTTGATGGTATTTATCCCATTATACAGCTTATTTTGATTGGTTGTTTCTCTAATAAATAATAGCTAACATGTAAGCGTATGATCTTTGTATTCAGCAAATCAGCATGTATTCAGTTAGTCTTCGATGAGTCACGAAAATTTCTCACAAGTATCTCGCGAACCCAAAGAAGGTGTGATTGTTAGTAAATATAGGTAAGACTTAAGGGCCAGAAAATGTCTAAAGTTTATTTGGATTACTTTTTTATCTGTTTAACTGCATTCGTATCCATTGTAAATGCTTTTGAATAAAATCGAGACCGAGTTTTTGATTTTTGGGAATTCTTCCTATATTCCAACTCACCGAATACTTAATTTATATGCTCAAAAGTTCTGCCAGGTCAGTTTTTCATCTGTTTATCAGAGGCTGTTAACAGAAGAAATTTTCTTGTTTTCTTTTCCCCTAAAAGACTGACTATTCTAATGTAAATAAAAGGTGTTAAAATGTTCAACTCTTATCGGTAGAGACTCGAGAGTACAGCTGCACTTTTGCTTGATGGCGGGCGACTATTCAACAACTACAACAACACTTGTTGGGAATGCTGTCATGTCACATTCAACCTGACTATTTTTTTGGAGGTTTTTAGCACGCAATGAGGTAAGGGCAATATTCATTAATGTTATAGGAAAATAAAGTTTTATTCCGAATTTGCTTTATTGGAAGTTATCTATATTTTTATATCGAGAAACTGCGTGTTGCACGAGGTCTGCTTATGTTAAAATTATGTTAGGCCAGGTTTTGGAAAGAATTTTTAATGGATGTTGAGTAAATATTAATTAAAGACACATCTAGAAAAGTTTCAAATTGTTGGTGCACTGGTTTCTTTATGAAATAAATGCTTGAAGCGATGTGATTTTGAAGTAGAGCAGCCATTCTTATTTCTCTAATATGCAGTTCTGAGATTATTCAAAGTCAGTATATATAGATATTATATAACTCATTTTGCATTTTGCTTTTTGCTCTCCTGCTGTAAGAATATCCATAGTTCCTTGCAAAATCTCTGTTACCAAGCAAGGAAAGGCCAAAAGGGGGCCAAAAATAGGGTCTGGCCAGTAGTGTAGATCTATGAAATGAAAACACAAGACATAAATTTGAACCAATCTAACAAAACATGTAGCAGAGTGGTTCTTGATATTTGTTAATTTCATCTCTTCAATTTGAAATAAATCTTTGATCTTTAATTGATTATGACATGGGGTGAAATTCGTCTTTTTTGACAGATTTATTTGAAAGCAAGAGAGCCATGTTCTCAAGGAAAAAGCAGATACATTTGGCCCCAAAAGCACCACCACAAGTAATAGTAGCTTTGGAAGATCATGACCCTTATAAAAAGGGAAACGTGTATGATGGGCATCCATCTTTTACCACACCAAGTGTTGATACACAGCTTGTGTTCAGGAGAGGAGACCAGTTTGAAGTGATTAGTGAGCAAATTGATTGGTGGCTTTTCTGTAAATCTTCAGACTCTGAAAAACAAGGTTATGTTCCTTCCATTTTGTTTGCACCATTTTGCATTGAGACCACAGATGACAGGTAAGTCATTAAACATTATCTTAATTTTAACTGTGAATTATTTATAATTTGGATGCTCTTTTCTCCCAAGGTATAATGGAAAATTCCTAAAGCATACATCCTTCCGCTAGTAGGCACATTATTCCTATTTATTTAAGCATCTTTCCATTTATAAAGCTGTCTTGGCAAACAATAAATCTTAGCTATTTTGAGCCAATTACTTTTCCTTGAGATGACTAACCCCAGCAAAGCCCACTACCCAGGCACTTTTTAACCAGAATTGGATCACCTATGGGGTCTGTCTTCTCTGTCCATCATCAACAATTCTTCATAAAACACTGTGTACCAGTAACCAATATTTTAAGGTTTTCCTATTTTGAAGGGAGATCCATTTTGTCAATTTTGAATCTGCTATTAGCAAATACATTTTGCTTGACGCTTAACATTAAAAGTTTACGAGGAGATAATTAGGTAACTTTGTAGAACTATTTAAGAAAATAGAAACATTGAAATGAAATGCTTTCTTTTGATTGATTTTGATTTGTTCTTTCATCAGCTGTTATCTTGCATCTTCATTTTCAGCATGTTTTGATCATCTTCTGTTGCTTCAGTACTTTTTTGTTTATTTACCATGCCAATTATCTGTTCAAATTTTTCTTTTGTTAAAAGAAAGTTTGCTTGTTTTGTAGACAATTTGAAAGCAATGAGGACATTAATCATGAAAATGTTCGGTTGTATCCTTGTGATGAGAGTGCTTATATTGATCTCAAGTACTTTCCAAATGCCCCAGATCTTCTTGGAAAAAGGAAACAAGAGGTGACAAGACAAATTGTGTCATTTGTTCACTTATTTTGACTTTATCATGTGGTATGCATCACAATAGGGTGATGAGTGCAAAACTCTATACAATCAAGCCTATGATGAAGTAGCCCATTCTCTTTTGTGATATGTCTATTTTATTTGTTCTGTCCCTGCCTTGAATACCTTGTCCCATGTGCAGAGATTTGCAGTGTACTTAATTTGGATGTACAGTGGCATATACAAAAGATCTGTTATGCAAATGCAGCTTGCTGTTAGCGTTTTTATTAGTATACTATTTTTATGGGGAGACGAAAGGGGAGGTTTCAATTTGATATGATTTTGAAATTAATAGGTAGAAAAACTTTTGTTTTCCAGCAAAGTAAAGTAAGCTATAGAAAGTCCAACCCTTTATTTTTTTCTTACTGGCTTTTACCGTCCTTTTCAAGACATTAGTCTTGCCACTGTTCTTTTCCACTTGTTTTGCTTGTAATCATTCTCATTCAGTTGTCCACTGTCCTGCCTATTGGCTGGAAGTTATTATTTATTTTTCCAATCCATGTATGTTTTGGTCTTCCTCTGTTACCTTTCACTTTCTTCAGATGTTCTTTGAAGGCTAATTTCGCAGCATAAAATCTTATCCTATCCCGAAGAACAGCATTAACCAATTTCTTGTAAATCCAAGCTAAAAGTTTATACTGTCTCTGCAGTATGTTTTTGCAGTCAATCCATTTTATAGTGAACAAGATGACTTTTTAGCTGCCATACAAAGTTCCAGGCCATTAAATCTGGTTGAAGTTTGACCTCTGATGCTACATTGAGAGTGCCCGTCCCTTTTTTTGTTTAGTGTTAATAATTTCTATTAAATGATAAAAAGTTCTTATAATTTGATCTTCATATAAAGAATAATCAGCTCTTAATATTGTGTCTTTATAATGACAGAATAGATATAACAGCTGCTCTTAGTAGATATAAGTTATTTTTATAGAACTCAGTGTTGTCTAGAAAAACAGGATATTAGAACTGGCCAAATAGACAAATTGAGTACAGATAAAAGCTTTTTTCCACTGAGTTATTATGTGCTGATTCTTTTTAAACCTGGATATAAGCATCTATGATAGTTGGAGATGCAGTAAATTTCACGAGCTTTTCATACTTCTATGCTCAATTTCTTTTTGCAGAAACCATGTCCCATAGATAGTGCAAATTTCTTGTCAAGATTGACATTTTGGTGGATGACAGGGTAAGGCTGATCAAGATGTTTAGAGTGAAAAGATTTTACATCGTTTGAAACTGTCAAACCAATATCAAATAAAGGGAAGATATCGAGTGCAAAATTTTAAACTTCAAAAAAGCTTTATTCTGTAACTTTTAATTGCCATTTTACAACTATGATGTATTACTTGAAAGATCACAGAATTTTTTGCTAAACATTTAAATGCATCTTCTCTTTTATTTCTTGATTTTTTTTTCACTATGAAAACTTTTTTATTAAAATGTGCTGGGTGAAAGGAAGATCTGTACAGAACCAAATACTTTTTCCTCAGGTTAATCTGGACAGGTTACAAGAGGTCATTAACAAGTGAAGATGTTTGGGATCTGAGCAAACATAATAAGGCACACAACTTGGTTTCAAATTTTCAAGAGAAATGGGATGAAGAAGTTAGAAAGCTTCCAAGGTAATCAAACTTACGGCAATGATAACGTTGGGTTTTAAAATATATTTTGGAGAATAGAGTTAATGCAGAGCTAATCTTTGGGGTGTATCATAGCCAATGCAGGGGTTGCCAAACTTCATATAAGGTCATCAATTTGTAATCTGTGTTGTGGAATGTGATTTAGGTAACCCTTCTTATAATTTAGTTATGGTTAATCATCCACTGAAAATTTTTGTAATTTTTTATAAAACTATAACTAATTTCATCGAGTCAAATCAAACATGAAGCCCCAACCTACAGTTAATTAATTTTACCCATTTCTTTACATGAATATTAAGTATGGACTTCAGTATGAGCCATAAAACAGAAATTTATTTTTGAATGTTGTCCTTGTACCCCATATTTTTAATAATTACCTTCGAAAATTGGAGACTAAGAAACATTTTGACTATGATGTAAGAGGCTGGAACCTTATTTCATTTAAGCAGGGTCCTTCAAGGTTTCTTGGAAGAGCAATACATGTTGTCAAAAATAACAATTTTTCAAAGAACTGCAAAGAGCAAATAATAATTTAGAATATTTTTGGTGTCGAGCTGATGTATTTTTAGACAATTGTTATGGACTTTTCATCCTTCAAGGAAGATACTTTAAACGGCAATACAGTGCTAACTAGCTGCAAATGAAGATTTGAAATGGCCTGTTGCCAGTATCTTGCATATAAAGAAGGAAAGAGCATGCCTGGTTCTAAGGGAGTTTGAAATAGCTGTTTTTTGGCCCGATATTTGAATATATGTAAATTGTGGCTTTTATGATTTTTTCACGTGTACGTTTTCTTACAGGGACGAGCACATATATGAAAACTTCAACGATTCACGGGATTCTGGCATTGATAATAAGCCAGAAGAGTCACAGAACATTGGTCCAAATAGCGAGGTTGGTTTTACAGACATTAAGCTGAATGAAATGCACAATGGCGAGAAAAAGGAGGAAAATGGTGCTGAAGTAACTTCATCTCTTGGCAAAAAGGAGCCGTTTGTTGAAATTAAAGACGCTAAGGGAAAGAAAGTACAGAAAGAGAAAAAGCCTTCCATGTGGTTGGTCCTAGCCAAATGTTTTGGTTGGACGTTTTTCCTTGGCGCCATATTGAAGTTCTTTCACGATGTACTTTTATTCGTCAACCCATATTTATTACGGTATGAACACGTTCTTTATTTAAGCAAATGCAATGTCAATCTTCTATTTACCAGATATAACTTTTCTAACAGCACAATTGTTGCTGAAAATGCAACCTTGTGTTAAAACAGTATTATTGTCAGGGGCGGATCCAGAGCAAATTTGGGGTAGTGGGGGCGCTGAAAAAGTTTTAAAAATTGGTGACGAGAGTACGCTGTATACAACAATTTCAGGTCAATTTTTAGAATAAACAACATAAATTTCAGGTAATCCTTGAAGCAAATTAAACTATCGGTCTCAGAAACTTTTTCACCTGATTCACATTTTCAAAAGGGGGGCACAATTTCCAAAAAGGGGCAATTGAGGGAGGGGCAATTGCCCCTAGTTGCCCCTCTTAAATCCGCTACTGATTATTATCATCACAAAATTTCCCTGACAAGTCTCATTGACAGCTTTCTTTGTTCGTTTAGATTCGTGTTCATGACTTTGTTTCACGCTCTTTGTTGAGACTGGCCAAACGGAGGCTGCTTTTTACCTTGCCACAAAAAGTTTATGGCAGACCAATCAGTTAATAGACAAATACGTTTACTTATTTGTGTCACAGCAAAAATCCTCTGTGTGTATCAATATGAAATAATGAAAACCCAGCAGATAAAGTAGCGAGCTTAGAGAAAAGCAAAATATCATCACGGGCAAGCAAAAGGCCTATCAGGGAACGTAGCTCGAGAGCTGAAGGACAATGATCCAAACATGGATTGAGATTTTTGTGTTTATTTTACCCAATATACACGACTAAATACCATTTGTCAAGGAAAATTTGTCAAAAAAAATTGTCAAGGAAAAGCTTCTTTTATAGATGAGGCTTTATTGTTTTGGTTCTGTCTTCAGTTTCATGTTTATAAATTTGTAATTATTCAACTCAACGAAGCAGCCCAGGAGCTTTGATGTGAAAACCTGAACTTTGGGTTTGAGTTTAATACTCGGTCTTCTAAAACCTGAGATGCAAAGATCATATGTGGATCACCTCTCTATACCAGACGGGTGTTCCAACCAGTGTTTAAATAGTGATGTCTCTCAATGAAATGGCATTTTCTTCGTCATAAGGTTGATCATACAGTACGTAGAGGGAAGAGGGCCTCAAGACGAGTGGCGTGGATATATACTTGCACTTGGCCTATTCTTGGTTGCTACTCTCCAGTCCATGTTTTTGCAACAGTACTTCGATAAAGCTGTGATTACAGGGCTCAGAGTACGATCGGCATTCCTTGGAATTGTATATCGAAAGGTAATGCCCTTGTTTTTGTTTGATTCAAAAGGCAGCAAAAGCTTTTTTACAGGAAAGGGTAGACAATTACTAAATTTGGTTCCAAATCTATGTACATATCTAAGTAACATATAAGTGGAACGTGTCTGCTAACAATATTGATATCTTTCTTTGACAATGCAGTGTCAATAGGCAATTATAGCTTATCGCAGCAAACTATGAAATAGAAACAAAATAATTAAGACATAGTAAAAAACCCTAACTTTGGAAGAAACATCAGTAAACATACTGCACAATGTTACTCCTTGCCTTATATTTATTTTTTACGTTTCTTAACCAGTATGCATAGCGAGTGCAAAAACCTCGTAAACTGCTGCATAATTCTTATGCCTGCGGAGGACTTGCATTATACCTATATCGTTAAAGGCAATCGACGGATATAAAAGTGGCTTAAGCCAGCTGTCAATCAGTACAAGCCAATCAGTAAGCATGTGAGGGGAATTACACTCACTGATTGGTCAATTTTTGATTGAAAGATGGCTTAAGCCCCTTTAGTATCTGTCGAGTGCCTTCATCAGAGCTGTCAGCAGTATCAATTCTCACAATTTGTACAAGCCATGTGCAGGCAGTGAACGTCGTCTTTTGTATTTATAGATGCTATGTACGTTTATTGCTCATATTGTTTTCAGTTCTCTGTTTCATGCTTCTAGATTAAGGCGGTTTTAGTTGTTGCTCTTAATAATTTGCTACTTTGCTCACTTGGCCTTGTACAAATCAACAAAAATGTATGATTTTGCAGATGTTGCGTTTAAGCAATAAAGGAAGAAGTGATTTCACCACTGGAGAAATGGTAAACCTAATGTCAGTTGACGCTTCAAAGTTCCAAGATATTACAACGTATCTGAACATGGTTTGGTCTGCACCGTTCCAAATAATAACAACGCTGATTTTTTTGTATAATTTGATGGGTTGGTCGATTTTTGCTGGTGTTGCAATCATGGCATTGCTATTACCACTAAACTATTTTGTGTCAAAGAAAATCAAAGCTACACAGGTATGTTGGCTTTTGCCGCTTTTTCATTTCTTTGAATTAAAATTTTCTGCTTCTACAGAGAACCTCGACATGATAGATTCGTCACAGCTTTGGTTTGATATAGAATACCGAAATGTAACTCCATCAAAAATCTTTTTTCAGAATTTCATAATTCTCAACATGCAAAATCGATTAGATATGTTGAAAATTGGGTGAGATATGCCCAATGAAGATTTAAAGTTTGCTAATAGATTGCTGTTATCCTAGCCTGTTTTCCAGACCCCTAACTTGAAAGTAGACCCTCTTGTTTAAAGTTTTAGATCTGAAAGCACAGGCTATGTTATTCTGGCCTGGTTCATAAAGTTATGAACCAATACCATATTACGTAGGTTTGATGGGGAAAGAGCCTGTTCTTATATGGCCATATCTCAGCCATTATTCAACAAATTCAACTGAATATGCAAATTTAACATTTTTAAGCACTTCACCATTTACTCTTCACATGTTGTCGCAGTTGAAAATATTTCTTGTAAGCATCCACTGTTTTGCAGATTATTCATTTTTCGATGCTTTCATTCAAATCTTTTTAGTTTTTGCCTGACTTTTATTTTTAATTACTCTTTGTACTTATTCGCTTACCATGCTGTGCTTAAACTAGAGTGTTTTTGCCTTACGAGCAGTAGCACGAAAAGACCAGTTAAAAATGTAAGCTGTAATACTGCATACTGATTGTTTTGTTAAAGTTTAAGTAGAAAAACTGGCCATAGACAAGATCGTACCTAAGCAAATACATTGAGCAATATAATAGCAAAGAAATAACTAGAAAAAGCTATGTAGAAAAAAAGCAATTCAACTCGACTACTTCAGTCCTGCTTTTTCAGCATTGTTTGTTTGATTATATACAGGCTGATGTGCAAAGAAGCGTTGCTCCTTGAATAAATTCCAACCGTCTTTTATTCGTTTAATCCTCCAACAGTGTGAAAAAAAATTGTTTATTAGAGAACTTTTTGTTTCTAATACTTGATTGTTTTACAAACTTTTTTCCTCTTCTCCCCCCATTCCATCAATTGTAACCTCAATCGATTTGTTAGTTTTGGAAGATGCGTACAAGCCATCCATTTGCAATTACCCAAGGAGGCTGCTATAGTTACTAAGCTCTCTGATGCATGTATAATGAATCGATATACTGCTTACCTGTTTTGACCTGTGTTAACTGTGGTAACTCTCACTTGAACAAATGCTTTATTTTGTATTAGACCATGCTGATGAAGCAAAAGGATCAGCGAATTAAGATCATGAACGATGTCTTGAGTGGTATCAAGGTATCAGTAAATTTCGTACATAATTCGACTTGGTTGCCCTTGACATTTTAAAAAGGTACTGTTTATTGACTCCACCTGTTTCCGAGAAAAAAATTTTTGTCTTTAAATATTTGTAAAAACCTTTAGAAGTTGACCTTCAAAGGCCCAGCCAAAAACAATTCACGTTTGTCGTTTGTTATTTGTTGCAGGCTTTTATAAAATGTTAATCAGGCTCCCCTCAATGTTTTTGTATACTATAGTGACATTGGCTTTAAGAAAAATTCTGCAATATGACTGTTTCTTTTGTTTTCTTTATTTTCTTCATTTTCATTCACTACACTTCATTTGATCAAGGTTGTCAAATTATATGCTTGGGAAGAGTCATTTGAAGCAAAAATTGCGAAGCTGAGGTCATCTGAAATGAAGTTACTTCGAACTTTTCGCCTGTGGAAAGCTACAACCTCTTTTGCATTCACTTGCACACCTTTTTTGGTAAATTTTTTTCTTAACCTTGTATTTGTGATCATTTCATGACATCAGTATTTGCCAAATGCCACAAGAAATGAATAGTCGCAAGAACGTTATAACGACATATGCTTTCGTAAGCTTCGCGCTTCAACATTTATTATCAGAAATATGTACATACCTGCGTAATATGTATCGGAAATATTTAATGTTATATCATAGATGTGGTGTATCTTTCTTAGTATATATGGTAGGAGAGACTTAATTTTGTTGTATGTAAACCTGCTTTTATCACAAAAGCAAACATGTTGGGTTTGGTCAAGGGTGTGGCACCTAGAAAAGTTGTCCACAAGCCCAAAACATAGTCCACCCTCCTAACTTGAAAGCGAAAGGACGAAGCTTGTTGCTGTCTAATGCTAGTAGCCAAAGGGACCTTTCCATTAAGACGGAAAGTTTAGGTTAGGGTGTTTCTATCAACTCAGTACCCTGGGTACCAGAGCCTTAGTCAAAGGGATGGTCGAACAGTGTACCCTTTCTTTTGCTCGTCTTACTATCCGCTCTTTTACTGAGGGTCTGGCACCCAGTGTATCAAATCATTTGCTATTTTGGCACGAAGCCTGCTGTGGGGCACAAATCTTGTTGTGAAGCACGAAATTGAATGCTCATACACTGAACTGCCTATCATGCCTTTAGAAAGCTGGCAATGCCCAAGGACAAGACTTTGAAACTCTCACACCAACCCATTGCGCTTTTGACAACGTGTTATAGAGCGTTTCTCCACTAAAGTAGTTTTCTGTTTGTATATCGAGATAAAACTCCATTCTCGCTTGCTTTTAGGTGTCTTTGGGTACGTTCGCGCTATACGTCCTCACTGGTAACGAACTTAATGCAGAAAAGGCATTCGTTGCCATTTCTCTCTTTAGCATACTGCAGTTTCCAATGACGGTCCTTCCAGATATAATTTCCCGCATTATTCAGGTGAGTTTGCCAACTCTGTCGTTTTATTATTTCCTTTAAGACATTCTCTATTCTCGTCTTCCTTACGTCATTGCAAGCACATGCTCTTGATTTAATTGATTTTGTTTTCCAACATGCAAACATTCATTTTTAGTGCCAAGTCTCAGTAGGCAGACTGACGAATTATCTCCAAGCTGGTGATCTGGATGTGAGCAGCGTTAAAAACACAGATGATAATAAAGGTGTGTTGAAAAAATGTAGAATTGCAAGCTTACTTGTAGCTTTGAAGGTATCCATCTGTTAGAGAACAAACGACATTTTTTCATGTATCTCTTGTCCTTCCTGTAAGGACATTTCATCATTCCACGAACACACACTATTCATAATGAAGCTATAAGTAGCAAAGAGCGATAAGTAGCAAAGAAGATGCATGAATGTGAAGAGTACAAAACTCATTAAAGTTTTTTTTACACTACACAGTCCAATCTGCGTTCGCCCCGAGAAAAACGACACACGCGTAGCAGGCACATCAAAATGAAACATGGCGAACGAAGCAAATAAATGCGAATGCTCCCTTCAGAAACGAACCCGGGCTTGGACAAACCAACCCGGTTTTATGTTAACTCACCTAAAGAAATGGATTAGTGTATTGCGTTTACATTACCAAAAACTATTCCGGGCTAGCTTAACCCGAGGCAAACCTGGGTTGGTTGGGATTGTGTAAATGGGACATGAGAGGCATGCAGTAAAGTGTCATGCGATCTTGTATTGCCCTAAAGTTGCAGTCTCATCTAACACTTTTCTTTCCTTTTTGACAGATCCTATTGCCGTGAAAGTTGAACATGGTAGTTTCAGCTGGGGTGACGGAGGATTCATGCTGAAAAAGTAAGAGAATTAATAAAATCCTTTCCGGTATCACTTCTCTTTAATCTCATCTTACTGCTAATCCTCAGTTAATTTATTCTGCAAACGTTTCTTTCCTCTTTTCTTCATCTTGCTCTTCAGTTCTTTTTGCAAAATATCCTTCAATCTGTTCCATTCTTTGCTCTTTTCTTTTTTCTCTTGAAACTATTGATTCTTTCAATTTGATAGGTGCCATAATTATTTGGTTATCTCACCTCTGGTTTTCTGTGACCTTTTGAGAAGGCCATGCTCCCTCATAAAGTCAAAACATCACGATTCCTTGTTGTATGTACCCTGGGTACTAAAGCCAAGGATTATTTTAAGGAGAAAGGAGAGAGTAAAAAAAGGGGAGTAGAGAGCAATGGTTTTCTCCCTCTCTCTTACTTCTCTATTCTCCCCTTTTACTTTTGAATTTCAATCATCCCCCCCCCTCTCCTCTTTAAATTCTGTTAGCATCGGGTTATGAAGGCAAGGGCTCAATATACTGCCTTCATAGCATATACTGTTTTTACTGCCTTCTAACAATTACTAACAATGTACTGTTTTTCAACCTTTCTCTATGTTTATTCCAAAGTCTACATTCTTATTATGCTAATAGAACTTTTAGGAATTATTGAAAAATGTCTTGGAACTTAGAACTTTTCATCGAACATCAACAAATTATAAAAAACTTACGTATTTGTCTTTTTTAAATTTTAGCATAAACCTTGAAGTTGAGCGAGGGAGTTTGGTGGCAATCGTTGGCCAAGTTGGGTGTGGAAAGTCTTCACTTTTGTCGTCCTTTCTTGGAGAAATGGAGAAGAAACATGGAACCGTTACTGTCAATGTACGTACTTCGTGTCTGTGTACAACGATTCTAGACCTTTTATAGATAGTGCGTTGTTAGGACTTTCTAGGGATACCGATGGAATGTTAGCATCAAAAAGTTGCGGCTAAAAGGAAGAAAGACTGAGTAAAAGGGGATTTGGAAAGTTGATGGTTAGTCCAAGGCGCCTGTATGTGGTTATAATAAAGGACCTTAACATATGATGCATGGCGGTGATTCTAAGGTATTTAGTCTGGCTGCTTTAAATGATGGAGATTTCACTTAAGAAGGACAGCTTACAATAAAGCAATGATAGGAAAAGTCTTTTTAAGTCCTTGAGGGCGCCTAAAAACCGTCTTTGGAGTTGTCGCTACTTGCTCAAAACCAAACAACATTCCAGGACAATCTCATAGTGAGGCAACTCAAATTTTATATTTTGGGCTTCATTTCAATAACTATCAGGAGTTGATTTAAAGAATTTATGAGTTACTCATTTCTTTATGTGTGATATTGATTTTCAGGGTAAGATCGCATACGTGCCACAGCAAGCATGGATCCAGAATGCAACCTTGGAGAGCAACGTTCTCTTTGGCAAGTTATTTAACCCGAAAAAATACGATGAGGTCATAGAAGCGTGTGCTTTGAAAAGTGATTTGGAGGTTCTTCCAGGTGGCGATATGACTGAAATTGGAGAAAAGGTATTGTCCTCTTAATAATTGTATATCAATAGTTTATGGGGGAACGCTTTTTGAATTGGGGGCTTTTTGGGTTAGGGGTATCCCGGTCTAGGGCTGACCTTGCTTTTCATACTTTGTGCTTCTTGGGTGCCTTCTTACGCTGTCCATGGCCTTGAAAAAACTTATATGTTCTTGTATATCTTCTTGCTATCAGCATTTTAAAAAACCATTTGCTTCCTCAGGGGATCAACTTAAGTGGTGGACAGAAGCAGCGCGTCAGTATCGCAAGAGCACTGTATAACGGAGCGGATGTCTATCTGTTTGACGATCCACTAAGCGCCGTGGATTCACACGTAGCCAAACATATTTTTGATAACGTCATCGGGCCTTACGGGATGCTCAGAAAAAAGGTAAGAGTTAAACCCTGTTTTTTGATATTAATGACTCAGCCCTCCGAATCTCATGATTGCATACTGACAGCAAAAAAACTTTTCAGTAGGCAATGGATGTCAAGAAAACTTTGGTCAAAGTTACTTGGGAAAACCCAATTGTCGTTGCCTTTTTTCAAATCTTTCTTGTTCTTGCGAGTCTTTGCCAGAAATTTTCCTTTGCAGCATTCCCATTTTTCAATTCATTTTATCATTTTGTTCGAATGTTTCTATATATTTATCATTAATCAAATACCTGTATAAGATTAATGTGTCATCTAAATATTATGTTGCTATATATGTTGCATTTTTACTGAAAAGATTTCATGAAAATATTTTAGAAAAACTTCCTGTCTAGGTGCGGATTCTTGTCACCCACAGTATCAGCTTTTTGCCACAAGTAGACAAAATTGTTGTCATGAAAAATGGATCGATATCTGAGGTATGCTTGAACCAAATATTCGATCTTTTAAAACGATTGAAAGAAGCTCTTGACGATCCGACTTTTCTTGTTATCGACATTAGTGTAAACAATGGAGTAGGGGATTTGCGGCTCACGTGATTCAGAAACTGGTTTTCTTTGCTAAAATTCTTGTTCTGAAATATTTTCAGATGAACCCTAGACCTAGAAAACCTTTTCGGCCTTGAAATTTGCTAAGCTTTCTGTTGGTTTCTTTATTGATTTTGTATCAAGATTACTACCTGCTTTTTTGGGTAATGCCATATTCAAGAGTGTGTACTAAGTAATTTTATGTAATTTGTGCTGCATCTGATACACACTTACAATACTTTAGTATATCCTTTTTTGGAGATACGTGCCATTGCACTCCCACACTTACAATACTTTAGTATACGTCCCATTCCTAGTAAGACATTTAATCACATGATTGCCTTGTGTTTTACTTGTTCCTTTTTACCAAGTTAACTGACAAAACGACCGAAGAACTGTAGCTGTAGTGTTTATTTTGTTTGTCTCTTAATTAATTAGATTCATTTTTCATTAATGAATTATTCTTCATTGTTTTTTAAAGCCCATTATTAACCATAAGTTTTCGAGTAAATCTTTTCCTTGTTTTCTTTGCAAGATCGGCACCTATGATGAAATAGTTTCAAGCAGCGGTACCTATGCTGAATTTCTAAGGTCTTTTGCACTTGATGATGACGTCATAGACGAAGATCTCGAGGGTAAAGATGTTTCGGTTTATTTGATTGCACAACTATCAACATCTGTATCTCAATCATCTGTGAATAAGCAAAACATATAATGAAACTCTCCTTTGTTCAAAGCCGTTTCATACAATTATTGAGATTAAATGAGATTTGAATTTTTGTTATAATTTAAGGATGGATTTGTGTCTGTTGATTCACTTTAAATTTGAAATGTAGTCTAGCACTGATGGTTGGGGTTCATCCAACCAAATTTTGCCGCAGTAAACGCTAGCGGGAATGGGTACATTCAAGCATCCGGTTTACCGACAAGCTAAAGTTCAAAAATTGAAGTTATATTCAGTATACTCTCTTTTGTATAACGGCAGTTTTTGTATTGTTTTAAATGGCAATACTAAATAAATAGAATTGTTTGCATTTTCTTTCACATTAGCTACAACAGTACAAGGGAAAGGGAGAAAACGAGTTGCAAGTATTTCAAGTCAAGGATCACACCAGTTTACTCAAATGGAAAAAATGCTGCACATGAAAGATCATTTTGAAAAGCAACAAAAGGAGAAAGAAAAGGGAAATAAGATGATTCAAGACGAAGCCACGCAAACTGGAAGGGTAAATATATTCTATTTTATGATGATGTTATTATTTTGAAATCGTTTCGGGTATCTTTAATGAATACTGGATCGAATTGTAAAGTAGATAGCTCCCTGTTATGTTGTCCCCGAGATAGGTAATCTTTCTCAACTTAACATTATGTTCATATTAAAATATTCAGGAGGTTTTTTTGCATCTGTTAAAGCACGCAAAATCAAGAAATGTTAAGCCTCAATTTTAATGTTGTCCCTACTTATTTTAAATTCAGTGGAACCTTGTTGTTCTTAAGTTCAGTGGAAATTTTTTTCCCTACAAAGCAACAATTCATTAGAATATTCATAGTACCTTGGACGACTGTTGCCTGAATGTCCTTGTTCTTTTTTGCAGGTTCGCACCTCAGTTTTTGTAACATACGCCAAATCAGTAGGCCTGCTTGCCACTATTCTCGTCCTGCTGTTTGCGCTTGGCTCGAAATTCTTTCTCGTTGGTGCTAGGATTTGGCTTGCAGGTTGGAGCTCGGACAGCAAAACCACGGACAAAGAACGAGACAGATATCTACTTGTGTATGGCTTGCTAGGCTTGGGGCATTGTGTGTGCCAGTATTTGGGTGGGATTACACTGACAATCGGATCTTGTGTTGCCGCTAAGAAACTACACAATAGTCTTCTAAAGAACGTCTTGCGATGCCCGATGCGGTTTTTTGAGACAACGCCCATGGGAAGGCTGACCAATCGCTTCTCTAAAGATATCAACGTCATTGATGAGGATATCCCTTCGACCATCGATTCATTTATCGGCTGTCTTTTCACGATTGTCAGCGTCATCTTCACAATTTCATACTCAACGCCTCTCTTCGTCATTGCATTGGTGCCCCTGACAGTAATATATATCGCAACACAGGTAAAATGTGTTGTAATCCTGTACCCCATAGAAATTTCACTGGTAAAAGTGGAGCGGGTACAAATTGGCCACCTTTGGCAAAGCAAAACAAAGATTTTTTATTAGAATAAGAGAAATCAGTTGGGATATAATATCGTTTTAAAATGAAAAACCCTGTGAAGTATATTCTTGCTTGCTGATATGGCACTTCATGCATCTTTTGAATCCAGGATCACTCAGTAATAATGTGTTTGCTTCAGATTTTCATACATCAGTTATTCTTCGTGCTCATAGATATATATCAACTCCTTGACTAGGTTTTTAAATTGTGAATCTTGAGTCTAATATTTTAGTAAGATTTTGCTTTCAAATTGAGTAGTTGTTTTAAGTACTTTTTTAAGACCCTAGGGTTTAAGCAGTTTTATTTCTTTCTTTTCATCACCTTGACTCTGTTCAATAGGTCATAAAACGTTCCAGATCAGCTGAGCAATGTCAAAATACTTCGAAGCTACTCCATGCTATTAAATGCTAAATGAACTTACGTAACAATCATTAAGACTGCGAACTGATTTACTCAATGATTTTGCCTTCTATTTGTAGAGGTTTTATGTGGCATCATCGCGACAGTTGAAAAGAATAGAATCAGTTAAACGATCTCCAATCTACAATCACTTCTTTGAAAGTATCAATGGTGTTAGCACGATTCGAGCTCAGCAACAACAACAGCGATTCATCGAAGAAAGTGAATTCAGAATCGACGATAACCAAGCGGCATATGCACCTAGCATGTACTCAAACCGGTATGTTCTTCAAGTTACTGACAGACTTTGCTAATTTAGGCCCTTGCTTAGCTAGGCCTTTGCTTTGTTAAGCCTTTGTTTTTTAAGCCACGATTGATACAGCAACCATCATGAAATTCGTGTGACAAATGCTGCAGATATATGGTCGGTGGGCTGCACTCGTATCATCAGGGGTGTAATTTTTACCGAATGATCTACTCATGAAATTATATCTAAAGGCTCATCATACCAGTACGACGTCTTCGTTTCAGGATTACATTTCTGGGAATGGTTTTTTTACATTTTCACACATTTGCTAACATTAGATCTTTGTTAAAAATAAAAGTTATGCGATTCTTTGACCACGAATTACGCTCTTTTGCTTGCTGTGGTGTTCATAAATACATTTTTCTTTTCATTTATATAATTATTATAATTATTGCGTTATGACGAATCATCGTTGTTTCAAAATTATCTTCTCACTTGGATCAGGTGGCTGGCAGTGAGGTTGGAGTTTGTTGGCAACACTTTGATCCTGTTCTCTGCACTTTTTGCTGTCATTGCCAAAGAAAACATTACAGCTGGAATTGCAGGCTTGTCCATTTCGTATTCCATGCAGGTATGCACTGAAGATCTCATTTTTTAGAACCTGTTTACACTCTTCTTGTAGGGCCTATTCACATGGACAGTTTTATTCCGCTGTTTCAGTGGGGATGCTTTCAATTGAGACCCTATCTTTGCTTTCTCAGTTAGCTTTAATTACGATGTTTTCAGTGTTACTGTTTCAGTGTCAAGCGATCATTTTTAATTGAGAGATTTGACTTATGTTTCCCTCCAACCTGATGCTGTTCCACAATTTTCGTTATGAACGTGTTAATGTCTATAAAACTGTCCACGTTCTACTCATATCAACATGCTCTTAGAGCAAGTAATCTACTAGAGGACATTGGCTCAGGTATAAATTACTAAAATGATTCAGGTATTTCTTAAACAGAGCTTCATTTTGTTTTGATAGAATGTTCTGGACTTAGTATCTGAACATAACCAATGTTATGGATACACAGCCTTTCTAACTCAAATGTAAACAGTATAATTTCTGCATCCGCCTTTTTGTTACTTGTGAGACACTCATCATAGCCAGATTCTTGCCAACTTCCCCATTTCAGCATGGCACAGTTTCTTGCCACAAAACATTTCAACAGCTACTAACCCATCATACACTTTAATCTCCTTTGCAGATAACACAAACATTGAACTGGTTTGTGCGCATGAGCAGTAAGCTTGAAACGGATATTGTTGCTGTGGAGCGTGTGAAGGAATACACTGAAATTCCAACGGAGGCAAGTCCCAATTTTGATCGTATTGATATGTCCGTTGAGGTACCAATGGTAAAACGTACCATATTTTCGAAAAGGGGGTAAATTGTGTAGTATGCAGTGTAGTTGTTGAACCGGTAGATACGCCGTCTTTTTTATTAGAATAACCATATATTTCTGACAAACTCTCCTGGCCAAAAGTACAATGAATGGGAAAATATTATTTGGGGGTAAAATGTAAAGCAATAAAAGTGGCAAAGTATATTGGATATTTTTTGTTTTTTATAGGCGGCAAGAATCAAGCCTGATAATCGGCCACAAACCGCATGGCCAGAAAATGGTGCTATCCATGTGACAGATTACTGCGTACGATACAGAGATGGTTTGGATTATGCATTGAACCATATCAAATTTGATGTCAACCCGTCAGAAAAGGTGACTTTCCGTCTATATGGAAAAATTTTAAACTAGGAATTCAAACTAATATGCTTACCTTTGTCGTACATTTCGTTAAACTTTTTGCTATCAGAACCGTCCTGAATGCTTGAATCATTAAAGGCAAAGTTACTTTATCCTATAGATTTCTGAACTGATGACGTCACAAAAATATGTTTTTAGAATTTTTCATTTGAATCAAATGGTCTGGAAGAGCAGCATGGAATACATCTTATTGTACGAAATCAGCAAAATGAGTTAGAAATTGGCTGCGATATGGCCAGATAAGCAAAGGTCACTTCCCAGTCAAATGGCTGTAATTTGGTATCTGATCATATCTTTATGAACCAAGCCAAAGTCACTTTAAGCTTTTGAACGGAACATTGATACATGTATATTAATGAATCTTTTATGACTTCGTTTGTCACTCACCTGCTTCGTCTTACTCTTTTCTTTGATCTCCTTTATCAACTTTCCTTACTTGCGCACCTCATAGCAAAAGATGCAACTACTTTATCGTGCTACTGAATTGCGTTCTTCCTTAGGTTGGGCTGGTCGGTCGGACTGGAGCTGGGAAATCGACTGTTGCCATGGCACTATTTAGAATAATCGAAGCTGCTGAAGGCCATATCAAGATTGATGACGTCAACATAGCTGATATCGGTCTGCATGACCTCCGGTCTCGGCTGACTATCATACCCCAGGTAGCTTCTCTTATGTTTATCTCTTATTATATTTTTCATGTTTAATCGCTGTTATTTGCTGTGAGTGCTCTGAGCCTAAAGCTATTGAGATGTTTCCCCCTTTCTACTTAAGTTTTATATATCTGTTATTCTAAAACCAATCTCCAGTTTTAAATAGGAGAGGGGGTAGATGTCAAACTTCCATCGATGCCACTCGATCTGGGTTTTGGGTTTTTCTCAAGCATCTAGAAGCTTAAATATCATTCCATCTTAAATAAAAGGAACCATTTTCTATATTATTCTTTATACGCAAGTTTCTAGACAATTTGATCATTCTAAAATGTTACACAGCTCAAGAAGGCTAAAATGTTAACGGTTGAATTGCGTTTAGTGGTGAACTAGTAGATTTCCAAAGTTGGTCCTGCAAAATGTAGGTAGGACATGATATAGTAAAACGAAGTTCTTCGTATACTTACGTTATAAGCACGTGACTCGACCTCTGTTTCTTTCAAAAGCTTTCTGATTTAGAGAATTGGTATTTCTACTGAATACGAAAAATCTTCAAACTCATTTTCTTAGCTGTCTCTGTTTATCAAGGCAGAATCACAATATCTTTTGCTCTGTGTGAAAGTTAGACGTTAAATGTGAATACATCCTTTGGCTGCTTTTTACTGAAGAATGTGAGGGAAAATCTTCTTAGTAGATTTGCCTCAATAGAACGATCATTAAAGCAATGGAAATCTCGATAATCTGACTTTCCTCAATTTTTCGAGCGTTCAGCGTAGCGTGTGGCATATAGTATATGACCAGTTCCTTAGAAAGTGATTGCCAGTAGGTTGTTTCTTAATTGTAATAATATCCCTTAGAAAAATAATCTTGAGATTCTGACCGATTGATTGATTGATAAACTGACTTTATAGCTTGCCTATGATTTTATACGATTCATAATCAGTATATTCAACTGGCAAATCGATAAGACCGTGTTTTTGCCTTCGTGATCTAAGTATAATAACGATTGTGTCTACCAACTGAATGTTAATCAACTAATGAATCGATATGTCAATATATTTGTCTATTGTTGATTCTTAAATGGTTATCTTTATACTGGCTCGATCAAGTGATTCAGTGATCGGCTGTTTGATCAAGTGATTCAATGATCGGCTGTTTGATCAACTGATTCAGTGATCTGTTCCTATTTTTCTTTTGCAGGATCCAGTGCTATTTTCTGGCTCTTTGCGATTCAATCTAGACCCATTCGATGAACATGAAGATGACGCTGTTTGGAATGCTCTTGAGATATCGCATCTTAAAGAATTTGTGGCTAGCTTGAGCGGACAGCTTCAGGAAAATGTTTCAGAAGGTGGAAGCAATTTCAGGTAATTTTACCAACAACTTGATTCATCATCAAAATGTTAGTTTATCTATTTGTATACCATAGAGATACTTTTCAAGAACAAATCATTCTTTAAATTTTGCTCAAAAAGGCTTCAGAAATGTGAAGTATTTGTTAGTTAATTTTGATTCTTCCTTTTTGCAAGATGGTTTCCTTCGACATCAAGAGCAGTGAACCGTCAGCATTTTTATAGATATATGGAAATTATTTAGTTGTTTTTTTAATCAGAACATTAATGCTTCACTGCTCTTTTCGCCTTCAATTGCATTTTTGGATAAAATCGAAAGACCCTTAATTGCTTCTCGAAATCTAAACGTCTCTTTGGTAAAAGACAGCTTGTCTATTTCTTTTCACTTCCATCCTCCACTTTCTTTAAACAATTTAACTTTGTTATTAGAGCTAATTGAAAAGTCCAACAGGCATGCGAGGCTACCTAGATCATGCTGTTTATTCGTTTAAATTCCTTTCAGCATTGGTCAACGACAGCTGATGTGTCTTGCACGTGCTTTGCTTCGCAAAACTAAAGTCCTCGTTCTGGATGAAGCCACGGCTGCTGTTGACATGGAAACAGACGAATTCATTCAGCAAACAATCAGGGAAGAATTCAAGAACTGTACGGTGTTTACCATTGCGCATCGTTTAAATACAGTGATGGATTATGATAGGTGAGTTCATTTTGCTTCAGTTATCGAGACATATACATTATTTAGTATATAGTAGACATATAAAGTAGCCTTTTTGTATGTTATTTAGTCAATGGATTGCAATTACTTTGTTGCTACATGCTGATTCTGCCTTTTTTTAATCTGTTGTGACATTAGGATTATTAAAGTTTAAAGTTTTTGGTCGAAAAAAGTCATTTTGAAGAAAACCATTTAGCGTCAGCTCTCTTTGCATGTCCAGTTCGCTTGCATCATAAACAGACCTCGCGACGACTGGATGGACTTGGTCCCCCGTTTTTAAACTTGACTCCCTGATAAAGAGTCCCCCGCTTTTGCGCTAATTTAATCAATATCATTGTATATTTAAGCTGATTTTCTATGTTCCTGAAAATATTAGCACAAAAATTTGCATGATGAACTCCTGGTTAATTTTCAAATGAAGCAGTGAGCACGCGTTAAGCGTTACTATTTGATGCCCTATGTAGAAAATTATATTAGACGGGTTGCTTATTTGCTGGGGCCTTTTTCAGTGGATGTGCAAACTAAGAATAAATATTTTAAATATTTTTAATCTACCCTTCGGTAAATGAAAAGAATTTCAGCGCTTTGTAAAAACAAGGAAGGCATGTTATGGCTGTGTCAAGTGTCCTGTTATCAAAATCAGTGTTCTGGTTTCGAAATCATTTCTTGCGGTTCTCGTCAACTGCACCTTTCTCTGGGCTATGGCCTACTTTTGTTAAAAGCGGTCTGTTGAGGTTTTTGCATCTCAAGTACCGTTCAAGAAGTGATGAATGGAAGACGTAACTTGTTGCCAATGTTTGTAATTTTTGCCTACTTGAATTGGAACTAAAGAGACAATCTTTTCTAAGGGAATTCGTGCGGAGGTTAGCTTTTTTTTTAATGTTTGGATACAAGCCTATGATCTTAACAAAAAGGTAATTTCGGTTGGAGGGGCCATTTCTCCATACTTTAGTATGCTTAAAAATTCCTACCAGAAGAAAATTTTTTACTTACAACATCGATAATCATGCAGACTTTCTGTTATTTTTCAGAATCATGGTTCTAGACCGAGGGACAGTTGTTGAATTTGATTCACCCCAAAAGCTGTTACAAAATCGAGGAATATTTTACGAAATGGCGAAGGATGCGAATTTGCTATGATACTTGTGTTTTTTAGTTTTTAAAAAATCAAATTGTTAGTCATTTAAAGGATTTCGAAAAGTTGATGTCTTCTTGTTAAATCATCACGACAGTTAACAGTTGAATCCTTCAATTGTGCTATTTAGCAGTTTTAAACTGTTTATGAGTATCATATAAATTATGCGTCCTGGAACGTTTAAGTCTAGCACCTACTGCAGAATTCCACCGGCGATATCTCAAATTTATTCGTTGTGCTAGAAAGTCGTGCTTTTTTGAGGCAAGGGATCGCCAAAGATTTTATCTTGAATGAAAGATTGTCAGATCAAGCCTTTTCTGGTATTTTTACGTCGTTGATGACCAAAGACAAGAATTTAATGCTGAGTTTATTTCAAGTTTTTAACCCGCAAAATATAACTTTTCAGTCGAAACAATTCTCAGTGCAGAAAACTAGACCAGGAGTAGGAACGCAGGCTGCGCAGGAACATATAATAACAATTGTGCAGTGTGCGGTAACCAAATTTCTCCCCAAAGACAATAATCGCAGATATCGCCAATGAAAATCTGCTTAGCATGCTCTGTTCCAAATACACTTAACTATAATAGAAGTGATTTTTCTCTACACAAGGACGGTTTTTCAATTGCAAAATTCGTTTTTAATGTCGTATAGTTTTGTTCGCTCATCAGGCTCCTTATAGCTCATGCCCGTATGTTTAATTGCTTCGATATTTATTCCTGATTACTAGCAAAGTAGTTGAATCTTCTTTCCTAAATGACACCCTCTAGGGTTATTGTATCTTCTGAGAATATCCTATGAATGAGACAACGTGGAGTAACGTGGACTTTGTGGCCATTTGCAGCAAACTTCTTCCTATATCCAGTAACCTCATTTATACAAAGTTCGACAAAATTGATCCTTATTTCTTAGTAAGATTTTATCTTTGTGCCTGACCTCCCAGGAATGTTCTTTTAAACGTCCGTAGGATTCTCCGCTGTAAATGATTGTTCTATTGTGAGATTGGAGAAGAGGTATTTCGAAAAGATTGCCGTCATGTCTCAAAGACTTTAGTTATAGACATGATGCCCCAAACCTGTCCATAAAAGCAATGCTTGTCCGAAATGCCTTTTTTAATGCAGATTCTTAGTATATACTGCTTATGTGTTCAAACGTACAATATAGTGATCGCATATTTAGCTATGACATTTTGCTATATAAAAAGAAAACGTTTTTTGTGTTTGCTAAGCAGATGTTTTGCCATGCGTTACTTTGGCACTGGGTAGTTGCCTCCAAGTGATATAATTTATCACCCTCGTAAAAGCTGACGGGATTCCAAAGAAAGGCCCAGAAAAAGTGGCATTTCCACAATTGCAATGAAAAAAGATTTTTAAAATAAAATAGTTTAGTTACCAGAATGACACCCCTCCTGGTTTTGATTAATTCCTGAGAAAGATTTTTAAAATATCATCTTATTGCCTGGAAGAAGGTTTATGCATTCTATTTGCATCTTATACCCAGAAGGCCAATTGATGTATGGATAACATCTTTCGCGTTTAATAGAGAGAATTATTGGTAGGTAGAATTATGTATGCATGGTTAATTATTGTGAAAATATGCTTCTTATATCAAATAGTGTTAAGTTGCTTTGCTGATGACAGTCACGTAGTTTATTTTCATTACGATCTTTATTTACGATCTTAACAACTAGAAATTGAACAGAACTGGGAGAAAAAGTCTCTCAAGACTCCTGCCATTTATACATTATTTACCAAAAACAAGAATATGTTTATTTGCCGTAAATTATTGAACGGATTATTTGGACATTGAAATAGATTGGTAACTTTCTTCTACACTGTCTTTGGAACTTTTTGCATCTCAATCTACATGCAAAACTACACGAATTTACACGTCGTAGTTTTTACTCTTTGCCCATCTTTGTTTTTTGCCAAAGGCATTTTCGAGTTTTTCTCTTGGCCAGAACGTCAATGGCTTTGTGACTGCGTGTGAAGCAAAAAAGTTGAATGTAATGGGCCTAAAAGCAAGGGAATAACTCATAGGTGGAATCCCATAGAGGTAGTAGATTGTGTTTGCTATACAGTGAATTACGATAACTGATTCAGTAACAACGACAAAAACAAAAGTATTTACGCATGTTGAAACGAATTCAGTTGCTATAGCTCTATTGTCCTGTAGTTTACCAGCAAGGAACAAGCTCTTGCAAAAAATTTATAGATACAGAGAAGTCAAGATAAAAATATTTTTAGGCAAGAAAAGGTCTGTAGATCGTTCTACAAGTTACTTTATCGAAGTCTTGCTGCAGCTTATCGATGACTTTAGTCAGACAGAAAGTCCATCATTTAAAAGCATCATAGGAAATGCATCCTTACACTGCGTGGGAAAGCCGTGGCATCTGAGGCAAAGTTACTTACAGGCAACTTTTACAAATATTATAAAACGGCTTTGAAAAAAGCAAACATTTTATAACATAAATTTTGTACCACCAAAAGATTAGAAAACCGTATTTGAAAAACGTTTAGTCGAAGGGATATGAGTATTTCATGTTAAACTTTCTGCATTGACTAAAATTTTCTACTGCTGTAAAATGTTTACACTTCCTTTTTCTATTGAAATTTAGGACTTTCGAACAAAATATATTTCGGACAGTTTCAATTTGAGAAAAAATGTTTTGCGCAAGTTTGGTCGTCTGAATGTTTTTTATTATTTTGTATCTCAACAGAATAATTAATGTATATTCAAACGTTTCATAATGACATTCCCTTGAAACCTTTCCCAAATATGAAATCTTTGAAACTCTCCCTTTCCCAAATACACTATTTTTGTAATAAATTCAGGGCCCACGCAACAAATTTGAAAGTGAGGACAAGGAAAGCAAAAGTGGGGGCTAAGGGTTCTTTCCTCTCCTACTTCAGCCTTAAAACTACTTGCTTCGCAAAAAGGGGGTCATGGCCACCCTGGCCCCCCGGTGGCATGGGCCCTGAATTGAAGTTCAGGCCGGTTGATTGATTGAAGGGATTGTTCAGGCCATATTTGCCGACAAAGGGAATGAGGTATCCTTTATTTGAACATTCATCGAAAAAGCACTCATATATGACATAAAACGCTTCGTTTTCTAGATGAAATTTTTTAAACAGCACTGTTAAAAAAGTTACATTTTACAGTAGCTCTGCCTCACATTGTCCATAATTTGCTCTTAACTTTTGGCAAATTTTGAGGCTCGGGTTCTTATTAAATTGTTCTTATAAAAACGAGTGTATATTGAACCTGCTATACGAGGGGCAATTTTCACTTGCAAAGACAAAGAGAGTACCTAATTTCCTTGAAAACAATCGGAGTTGGGGGGATTTTCTTAAAAGAACAATAGAATTTCCGTCAAAGGTGCACGAGAGTTCTTCCATTGAGCAATTTCCCCCTTGTACTTTGCCATCTGACTTCTGGATAGAAAAGTCCTGATTGTTAAGATTTCACACATGCCTTTTCATACGGTTTTTGAACAATATCCTGAAGATTTTAATTTTGACTTCGAGGAGTCAAATAATGTTTTTATCTGGAACTTGTATGCTTAAAGCGTCGGTTCCCTGTGTTTTCTATTGTGTTGTTTTCCTTTGATCGCGTTATGTTAGATCAAAATGGCCGAACGGGACAATGAAAAAGAAGCTGAAGTCGGCCGCGAAAAACACGATTCTTTGTTAAACCCTCGTGATAAAGACCAAGAAAATGTTGAATCGAAAGAGAAGTTGTCTAGTGGTGATCATGAAGGAGATCCTAGAGGTATTCCACCTAACAATGCCGCCAAAGAGCAATCTGCACACGATAGGCCTTGTTCGAGTAAGTGTGGAGATCTAAACGACAAGGAGTCGAAATGTACGGTTGAAAGTGAAGAAAATGTTAAATTTGGTTCTACAGAGAACGGCAATTCTGAAAATTTATCTAAAATTCAGCTGAGCAGAAAGGATGGTGTTGAAAGAGAAGAGAAAACTACTGATATTGAAACAAAGATTAGTTCTGTTGTGAAAAGCGATGATTTAACGGGAAGTTTTATGGAAGATGATGTTAGCTGCGAAAGGCTGAGCGTGAAAGATAAACAAAGCTTTGACCAAAACTCATCGATGGTTGAAGACGGGCTTTCCCGAGCAACCGTAGGAGGGTCGAAGTCAAGCTCTGAAGAAGAGGTTACTTGTACCCCCGAATGTGAGCAAAGTAACGCTACTAAGGCTGGAAAAGAAGACAAAAAAGGAAATCTGGATGGCAGCAAAAACGAATCCTTGAAAAACGAACATGAAATATGTGATAATCATGGTGGTTCTCAAAAGAAAAGTGACATTAAGAATGTGTCTTTGCAAAACCCATTGAAAGATTCCAACAGCAAGGACTATAACAATGAAAGAACAGTACAGCATGAAAGTGATCTAGATGACACAAAGACTCAGAAAGAAAAACTAAAAGAAGGGGAAAATATTGGAAAAGATACTTATGATTCAAATTTAAAACAGAAGGCTGATAACATTTTAGCAAAAAAGACTGAAATTTCAAACATTGGTGGAAAGTCTCCTACTTTTGATAAACTCATTGAGCATAATAGAAAGGTTGTATGTGATGAACAAAAGAAATGTGAAGATTTTGAAATGAAAAAGAATTCAATCAAGCAGATATCTGGGAATTTAGTTGATGAAAGTATTAATAATAAGAGTTTGAAAGATTATAACATAAATGGTATGAAGGATGGGAGAGAATCTATTGAGAAGGAAAATTGTGAAAAAATAGTTAAAGCTGAAATTATTGAGGACGAGAATGAATCCAAGGGTATAAAAGAGAATCCAAAAGATAAAAAAGACAAAAGTGGTGGAAATGAGGAAGAAGTTATAGAGTCAAAAGTTAAAACTAAGAAAGAAGATTCACAGTTGTTAAAAGCGAGCAAAGATGACAGCAGCAAAATAGAAAGAAATAGCACAAGGTCTTCAAGAAGGAAAAGAAATGTACAAATGGATAATAAAGTGAGGGCAAATGAGGATTCTGTGAGAAAAGATTTGAAGCTAAATAAACCTGACTCTGGGAAAAACAGCTCTGGTTCAGATGAAGAAAGTAATGATGCAAAGTCTGATTCCTTGAATGTAAACGGAGAAAAAAATAGCTTGAAATCTGATTCTAGTTTAGAAGACAGTGACAAATGCTCAGAAAGTGAGGCAGCTTTTACGAAGAGAGCTTCAAATGACCCAAACTTTGCTGTTGTATATTCTTTTTTGTCATTATTTGGAGGTCTGCTAAATCTTCCAGAATGTTCTCTAGATGAGCTTGAGCAAAGTTTGGATAATTGTAATGACCTCCATCTGCAAGCAGGTATGTTTTTTAACACTGAGTCTGTTATGAAAACCTATACATTTATGACTTGCTAAAAGTAGCAAGTCTTGTTTGTAACATTAAGAGTAGAAAGTTATATAGCTTCAACTTACAAAGAATGAAGTAGTTAAAATTTCCCAAGTAACAATGACTGTTGTGGTTACAACTTTACTTATATTGTTTATCACTGAGGTGAAATCATATATTCCAATTTAGATATTCCATGGCTTCATTTTGTGACTTTCAATGCCATGTATTCAAGTGTAAGGAAAGTCACAAAATGAAGCCATGGAATAGCTAAGAAAGTTGTGATGCTACAGGGATTATAAATGTTGGTATTAAAACTTGCATTTAAAGAATCAGTATTAGAGAAGGGCCTTAAAAATATGTTTAATAGGTAAGCAGGGTATATTAAAACACATTTTTAAGTTGAATCAAAGAAATTCAAACACAAGTCCTGATTAGTGGACTTTTTACTTCCCTTAAAAATTTTAAAAAGAGACAAGCTACCATAAAAGCTGTATTTAGTTATAAACTATTTAATGATGATCTTGATAAACAGTATAAAAAATGTCTACTCTTTTTTTCTGTAGAAAATCATGGTTTACTAGAGAAGCTGCATTTGAAGTTATTAAGAAGACTTTCCAGATCTAGCAAGACACAGTTTAGTAGTCTGGGTCAAGTTTCAAATGACAGATTGTTAAAAAACTTAATCAAGGTAAGAAAAATACCATCATATTCACCCAAAAGCTGTCAAGTGTTGTGAAATTTAAATCAATGTTTCTACTTCTACTTCTACAACGATACTGAGCAGGACTGAGTATCGTTATCATGTTCAGAGTGCAAGAAATAATAGATTAATAGATAAAAAGTGCTAGAAGATGCCACTGATCAATGATTAGATGGAACATTTACATATATATATAACTAGAAGCTGTAATTTTTGTTGTCAAGACTAAATAAAAAAAGGGACTGAAAACTAAAGGGAACATTGAGGGGGCATTGTTGTAATGGATTGGTCAGTGGCATGTTAGAATTGTTTGCTTAGTGTCATATCTTGATGGAAAAAAAATGTTGATGGAAAAAGACAATTTTATAAAACACAATTTTTTCAAACCACAAAAGTTATTGTGATATTATAGTTAAGAGAAAATAATCATATTTTTCCCCTAGAGCTAAAAATATTCTTTACTCCCCCCCCCCCCTCAATCCATAAAAATCCGAATATTTGAATGATCTAAAGCTTTTCGATTTTAGAAAGTCTGGCTTCAAGGGGGTTCGTCAGTGCTTTTGATTATTAATAAGCATTTGAATACAGATTAAAATTCTAAGTCATTTAGGGACCAAATTTGATGTTGGCAGTAAATGCAGTAAGATCAAGTTTGCCTTTTCTTTGTATTTTTTGCACTAAGGTAATAATTCAAAAGTATATATGCTCCAAATTATTCTTTTTTTGTTCTCTTTAGACCCTCCTTTGACTTCTGTATGTTCATTATTAGAAAAAATATCTGCCTAGTCAAGCTATTCCAATTTTAATGGAGAAGATATACACTTTTATATAAATCTCAAGGCTTTCCTTAGACAAAAGAATTCTTGATTTTCTAATTTCACTTTTTATTACCCCAACCTTGAAAAATATATTTTTGTTCTTTACTGCCGTATTAGTTTTTTACTGCCCTATTTTCAAATCAATCCAATGAAATATGTAAGCTGTGTGTGGTGTTCAAATAATGTCAATACAGAAAGCAACTAAATTAATTACCAAAATTAAATAGATTTTTAAAAATATGACGTTTCGAGCATGTACTCATTATCACATTGTAGCTATTTTCAAATGCTTTTTATCTGAAGCAAATGAATATTTCCAGTGACAACACCATATCTGTTAATTTAAAAGGCAACCCCGTTTTCCCAACATCTTTATCACAAGTCAGTTTGTTTTAAGTTCTTTACTCGTGTATCTGTTCAAAGTATTTATAAATGTATTTTTGAAACATTTTACTTATTTATGTCTTGTACTGTTCAAGTTCTCAAAGTATATTGATCTGGATCTGGCTTGGGACCTTGAGAAATTTGGCTACCATGTTTTGGGCAGCACAGAAAGACTTCTTCTTCTCAAGGTATTTCAATTTTGGTTTTTTCTCATGGACCTAAGGGACATTTCTCAGAGTTTTGCACTTGATTGAACTTTATGTCAATTTCCATTGGGTTTGTTCTGTAAACTTGTTGTATGCACTGTGATGCTGAATGGTGTTGTCTTAGAAACCCTTTTTGAAGTAATGATAAATGGATATTAAAGGGGCATTAAAAGCCACAAACTGTCTATCTGTTGTTCTGATATTGACAGATGTGTGTAGTTGCAAATGGCTTTGTATTTATATAATAGTAATAATAATAATAATATAAATATTTATACAGGATAAAAACAATTATTGCTGTTATCAACCTCTGTCCTATTAAAAATAATAAATCAAATGAACTAATAAAATTTCCCTATACAACTTTTCAATGAAATAAAAGGTTAAAGATAGTGAGTATTTATTTGTGAGAATATACATGAGTATTTGTGTGTGAGAATTTTTAAGTGGGTTAGTTTCAGTGTTGATTGACTTTTAGTTGTGTGTGGTGTTTGTTTAGAAATAAGTAGAAGGGGCTTTAGGCTATAAGTTTTGATTTTCTCGAAACTTTTTGTAGTTGGTTGTTCATGAAGCCGTAGCAATAGTAAGCACTGTTTGATTCAATGTAACATTGATTATTATAATAGCTCAGTTTATGTCAATATTAATACCATGATGCATGGTTTATGGACTGGTTCTTTGCAAAATTCTGTTTTAATGCTCTTTGAGAAAGTCTAATTTTGTAAAAATTGTCATCTAGGCTTTGTGTGAAGTCCATTTTGATGAGAACCCAAGGTTCAAGGTCCATTTTACTGATGAATATATTAAATCAGACAAAATAGAGGCACTGAGATTGGAGCCAACTGGTTTTGACATGAAAGGAAAATCCTTTTGGTTTCAAAAGGTTTGTACTAGCTTTACTAGGATAGTATGACACCTTAATTTTTAACCTACCACTGCAAATGATGTATAAAGAAGGCTGGGATGTCACTTTGATCATTGATTGAATATAGACAGTAGCTTAAAAATGTTGCTCCATTGCGAATGGTATTGAATGCATCAGCAAAACACATGAAACTGGTTACTGGTGTTCGAAAAGACAATTCTAATTTTCTAATGATTACTTTCTGTTTATTTTTTCAAAGAGGGAGCCCTTCAGAATCCCTACCATTTTATTAATGCGAAATGTGCAAAATATAGTTTATGCATTTGGCTCATGCTTCGAATTCTTTAGTTCTACAGCAGGGGTGTCCAACATTCGGCCCATGAACCAGATGTGGTTCACGAGGGTATATTCTGTGCCCAGTGCAAAAGTCAATAAAATTTTTATGATTCATTATTACTAGGCATACTACTTTAGCTATTAAGCATACTTTCTCATTATTATAAGCAGAAATTTCTATTACGAAGCTGAAAAGAGCAAGTCAAAGCTACAATCTGAGCATACAGAGACACATTTACATGTCTTTCTTTACACATCAACTGCAAGTTTAATGTGTTATGTGAATAAACTTTCTGCAGAAAAGAAATGTAACATTTCACATCGATAACATTCTCATGTAACTGTTAGCCACCTCTGTTCTACAGTCAATTGTTTTCAAAGTAAAATATCAGGGAAACACATCAAACAGTTTGTTAGGATTTATTACATCAAAAAGACTGTTTGAAAGTTTATTTTATTTCTACATATTGCAATTTTGTTTCTGACTTTTTCATTAAAAAGTTCTGCGTAGAATTGTGTGACGCATAAATATATCCATTAAGCTCATGCTTTAAATGCTTTAATTATACCACAAACTGTTTTTAACTAAAATCGCTATTCAAAAGACTAGTTCAACATAGCGTATTGTACAAGTGATTGTGTATAATTTTATTTTCTTAGTCACTCGCTAATAATAATTCTGACACTTAGATCCCAAAATTTCCCTTATAAAATGTAAAAATGTAATATACTTTTCCAAGTAAATATTTTGTCAACATTTATCAACAGGACAACTCAGCCGGCTTTCGGATTTATTCTGTTGAAGAAGATGATGATGAAGGCAGTAGCTGGAAGCTTCTGGCCAGGTAATTGCTTTTTTGTTTAATTATTTTTTTTCGTCTTTTTGTTTTCACACATAATTACTTGTTGATTGTTATAGTTTTGAATGTCATCAAATACTCTTTAAAAACACCAATTCACTCTAAATGAAAGTAGCGTTACTGGTACACCCGCGAAATGACTCTTTTTGTAGAGTAAATATTGCTTGAAATTGTATTTTGAATGCTGGTTGACTTTTTCAAATGGTCTGTAGACAGCGAACATGTTGAGTCATTTATCATCGAAGATGTTTACCAACTCTTTTAAAATACCACCATTGGCCACTTGTCTTTCAGCTGTCACTCAACTTTTAAATGTCCTATTTTCCAAAAGATTCATGTTTTTTTAACAATTTTTTCTTGTCACAGTACAATGGAAGATTTTGAGCAGTTAATCGAGAATTTGAAGAAAAAATCTGAACTAAATCCTAAAGACGTCGCTTTGATGAAACGGAAAGAAAGAGTTGAAATTAGAAGAGCCAAAAAGCAGGAGACACTTGCAAAGAAGAAAGGCAAAGGGAAATCAAAGGCTGCCAAGAAAAGAAAAGGTTTGTATGTGAATGGTTTTCAGTTTCTTAATTTGATGATAATAAAGCAGCCTGATTGTTGGTGATCATAAGTGCAACAAGTGTCAGGGAACAGTGGCGGCGCTAGGTACTGCAGAGTGGTAGGGTATTTGGCGTGACACGTGGCCATGCCCTTTTTGTCTCATTTCAGTGGTGCATTTTCCTTAGGCAAATCTTTAAGAAAAGTTTCTTACCCTATTGCATGTTTTACCATTTCTTAAGAAGTAATTGGACCATGTTTAGACAAAAGTAGCTGGTGGTGGAGGGGGGGAGGGGGGTGTTGATACCGCCATTGCAGAAGAATGTGTTACGAGATCACTTTTAGTGCTTCTTGTTAACGATCAGTTCTGAATTTCCTAATTTCTCAGTTACATAATTACTCTAATGAATCTCTTATTTTACTGAATGTTTTCAGATGGTTCCGAATCGGATTCTGATGAGAACGATGACAACCCATGTGCTCGCTGCTTCTCAAACAAAAGGCCAGACTTGGTTTGTTAGCACTTATTTTTCACTTATATGTGAAACGAATATAAATTAAGCATCCTATTTACCTTCTGTAATTTTAAAAAATACTTTATACATCGGACGCCAGTAACCACCATTGGATTCATTGCTGGGTTGACAGGAGGCAAACATCAAAATGAGATTCAAAGTCTGGATTCCTGGTCGTTACACTGTGAACTTTAAACCTGACCACGTTGCTGTGTTTTTCCGTTTAGCGACACAAATACATCTAGCACCTCACCATTCCATCAAGCTCTTCCATCTTAGTTTATCAAGAATAATTTTCAATGTTTTAAAGCTCTCTCAGAAAAAAATAAAGAATTTTGATGGCAACACTTATGCAAATGGCAATATTTGTTTTGGCAGGTTCTTTTGTGCGATAAATGTGACGCCGCATACCATACGCTATGTCTGCGACCTCCACTTATGTCAATACCGGAGGGTGATTGGCTGTGTCCATACTGTCAACAGGTACCCATCTTGCTTGAATAAATTTCTTGAACGATATTTCTAGATAGAATAAGCCCTTCTCTACAAGCAAACAAGTGAAATTAACGAATTTTCTAGACTGCTAGATAGAACAATTCCTTAGCAAACAAGTGAAATTCCATGCCCTGGACATTTTGAAAGAAGCCTGAGTCTCTGACGCAGGATAGAGTTTGTAATTTTTAGCCCACCTAGAAAGGCTGATGGATAGGACGAAATTCCTTTTCTGGCATCCGCTTTCAGAATAGGGTTTAGCCCAATGAACAATATTTAGAGTACATTGGCAACATATTCTTATCCCCGAATGGTATTAGTCACTATGCCCCATTGGCCTAAGGAGCAGCATCTCAAGCGTTTGACGAAAGTATCGTAAACGTTTGACGAGCTCTTGAAAAAATGTTTTTAAAACATGGAGACATCTCAGCATAGAGTAAAACCACGATGGGCTAAGATGTACTATTGACAAAAAGTGCTGGACTTTGTTTTGAATTTTCGGAAAATTGTCATATCTTTAACATTATCATATAAAGGTTTTGAAAAAGGAACACGAGTAGGGAGATTTCAAATTCAAAGTGTTATTTTGAAGCGAGAGAAAATGTATATATATAGTAAATAGGAACAACGCAAAACAACTAGAAAGGATATTTTATTGATGGGAAATTATTTGCGATGAGTATTGCTAAGTATGCTGTATGTATTTGAATATGAATAAAAGTATGTATGCTTGATGTATCGGAATCGATTCTTGTGCAAAGTTTATTTCGATTCTCCAGCTTGTATTAATTGACGTACTGCAAGAAAAACACAAAGATTTGGCATCACGGCGAAAAGCAATTGAGAGGATCGCAAAAAGGTTTTTTATTCTTTTTGGTTTTTTTCTTACCGGCAAGGACTTTCGTTTCAACGCATGATATTTGCAACAAAAAATAATACCTCTAGGCATAGACTGAATGCCAGCCTCGTCTAGACTGCGCCCACACAACCCGTTATTCTCGACCAATATTGCAATGTTGAATCTTCTTTGACCTGGTCTATCTTAAAACCAAAGCCTCTAAAGGGCTGGAAAGCTTTCCCCAACGTCCGCTATCTTCTAAATTGCCAAAGTTATGTTTTCATTGTCTTTAGTAAATATTTCTGATTTTGTGCCCACGTCAATAAGGGATTTTTTTACCTATCTTGAATGCACAGTGTCTGACAAATTGGCAAACCATGAAATCTTGATTCTTGCGTTGATACTGCTAAGTCTGAAATCGCTTGAAATCGCCATTAGCTTTGAGCGATTTCCATCCACATTTCCAACCTGTTTTTAACATATAGTTTTCTGTGTCACTTTATCAAACATCCCTGTATGATGTCCTTCTCTCCTTGCCGTTGCCGTTGATGCAAAAGTATTCAATCTTTTCAATATGCTGTGATTTTTCTTCCCCACCAAACCTCATTTTAGCTGTGGTGCTCCATCCCACCAACAAGCTCCAACACAACAGCTCCATCCTTACGCGTGACCCGGCCCTTTTAACTTTTGATAAATCCACTGTTAATTTCGATCATATTTCAAGTATGTTTCTTTACAGGGCTGTGTTCGATGACATCAGATTGTCAAATATTGTAGAGGTATGTATGGCTTATTTTCTCTGTGTTGACTTTGATCTGTTTCCTGTTCTGTTCTGCTCGTTCCAAATTTCATCATTTCTTTAGACTTGGCTTCATTGCATTGAAAGTTTTTCATAGAACATGCAGTTGGAAGATATTGTTAAAAAGAGATAAAATAAGAGCGAACGAAAATTGTTTTAAAGTTTGCTTACAAATCAGTTATTGTCAAGAGTTTTTTCAATCAAAATATGCATGCATTTATTAATATTTTCCTTTGAATGGGTTTGGAATGAAAAGTGTTTGTTGCCAACCAAATAGAAACATTTAGGCTTGTATTTCTCATTATTTTTTTGCGCTTGATAATTATTAACAACCGTTTTCTAATTGTTTTAATGAAATTGCCTGGAGGTATTGAATTGTTTGTTCATCACTAGACCGGCGGCGAAGACGATTCACGTCGTTCTGGAAGAAAAAGATCCAAGATTGATTACAACTTTCAGAATTACAATGAAATGATAACTGCTGCAATATCGAACGAATCTAGCCAACCGAGGTCGGAAATATCTACTCGGAGTTTCTATGGGAGTAGACCGCATTCAAGGTTGGTTTCCTTTCAAGTCTAGGATATATCTTCTTTATATTTTGTTTAATGTCATTCGTAGCGGGTGTTTACCAATCTTTAATATTGGTTATGAAACGTGCGTATTTCACATGACAGAAATATTGTTATAAGAGGACTCAATCCTTAACATTTTAGTTACTATATATCCTCAAATAGGACTCTAGGTACTTATTTGTAAAAAAAATTTTCGGAGGCTTCATAGAGGTGGTAGGGCTTATTTGATTGCGTAGTAAGCATATGAAACTGTCAAAATGATTCAACAGAAAAGTTATTTGTATTTCTTGTAAAACCTTACTATTTTGAAGTAATCAATTTCTACGTCAATATTATCGTCATTAAAACCATCTGCATCAGCAAATTATTTGGACGGTGCAACAAGATCCTCTGGAGTAGAAATGAATGGATCCTCAAAGAGGGGCTTATTTTAGGGAGGGGGCTTATTTGATATAAGTAATTCTAGGGTAGTGCGTTATCGAGGATTTGGGATATCACCATATTAGCAACATAGATGGGATATCAACACAGATCCTTTAATGTCCTCTAAGACCTTCCCCACTCTCTGATGGAAATTTGTTGTAAAATTCTGTTGTTGCTAATCTGTTGTCTTTTGGTTTATGTGGATGATATGGAGCAACTACTGATTTCTTGTAGTAGCCGCAGAACTCGGAAGTTGAATGATCTTGATGATGATTCTATTGGGTCTGGATCAAGTGAATATGAAAACAGTCCCTCAGAGAATGAGCGAGAGGGAAAAGAACATGAAGATCTGGTTTCTCGTGGCTGTCGCCGTAGCCGAAGACTGAAGCGAAAATACGGTGAAGATGAAAAGTCAGAAAGTAGCGAGAGCGAAGATGACACATTCGTGCGAAGATCTACGCGGAGAAGAAGACCAACTGCCAAAACATATATGGAGTATGAATCAGACGACACCCCAGAGGAAGTTCTCATGAAAAAAAGTAAGATAATTGAAGATAACGACGAGTATGTTGTAAGCCAATCTGATGAAGATCCCGAAGATATTCTTCGCATTAGAAAACGACGTACAATCATAAGTGATGATGAAGATGATGATCAAGAAACGATAGAAGAGGATGTTGAAACTGATTTTGAAGATGAAGAGCTTTGTGCCGATATGGAAAAGAATGTAGTGAGTGATGACAGTGAAGAAGAGGCCATTCCATCGTTGAGTGAAGAAGAGGAACCGGAAGAAAACGACTCTGGAGAAACAACAACTGATGATGATGAAGATGATGAAAGGTACGAGGAAGAGTCAAATGGCAGTGGAAAACGAAAGAGAAGCGCCAAAGATGCACAAGAGAAGAAAAGAGGGGGTAAAGATATGAGGACGATTATGAAGAGTATCAGGGAAGAAGAGGTGTGCTCTTCAAAGAAAATATCGAAAGAAGAAGAAGAAGTAGAGAAGGTGGCTTCGATTAAGGAAGCTGAGGTGAAAAGTGAGAAGGAAAACATTTCTAGCACTACCTTTGCGTGCAAAGAAAGTACTCAGGGAGAGAAAAGTACTCATGAAGAGAAGCATACAGAAAGTGCATTGAATAAAGAAGATACGAGTGACTTAACGACACATATTATTTCAAATGAGGATAAAGTAGAATGTTCAGAAGTAGCAGACAAAACGAATATGGAAAACAAAGAGACTATTGGGGCTAATGTTGAGCCATCTCAAGGGTCAACACTAACTCGCCTCTAACTTATATGGCAGTAAGGGAAGAGTTGGAGGAAAAAGCAGCAAGGCCACCGGATTTGATTAATGACCAAGTCAAAGATATTAGAAAGGAGCTTACATTGCCGTTAAAGGATGTTGGTGGCCATCATAAAACGAAAGGAGGGAATGAACGACCCAAGCATGGCCCAGTTAAGCTTGATGTTCCCGGGCTTGATGCTCCTGTTTTGCGACCAAGTTTCAGTGGGGCTCATGCCCCAAGGACCTCGGGTCATTCCCAAGAGACAATCGAACTGTCTAGCTACAGCCAAACGATGAGGCATCCCATAGGCCCATCCTACAATCAAGGGTCGCCTTCCATGATGCCCATACCACACCAACCAGACATACTTAGGCCTAGACCGTATGCTGCGGATATCATGCGAACGACTGATCACTACAACCAGCCTATGGGCAATTACTCGCCAATGCACACCCCGTTCCACATGCATTCTCCGTACCACGGTTATGTGGACCAGCAATCGTTTTTCGCCCAAAATTTGCCACCGTTCACGAGAGCGGCGCCTCCGGCATATCCTGGATATCCCGGAAATGATCCCCAAGCACTTTGGAGGCCTCAAAGTCTACCGCAAATGCAATGGAACTATCCACCGTATCGTGCCGGGTCACCGCATATCGAGCAGAAACAACGTGCAGTACAAATGCATCGTCCCGTCCCAGACGCGCACTCGTATAGGGGAAGCAGTAGTCCGCCGGCCACTAACACAAAAGTAACAAAAACACAGAGCCGCGTACCTACTGTGCCTCATTACGGCGGTGCAGAAAGTCCGCGTCGACCGAAGACTTCATCTGCAGACTCCCGGAAACCGTCAACTATGGAAAGTTATGCAGCTTTTCGAAACATGGTAATAGCACCATCAGACGATAAAGGACAAAAGAAAGCAAAGAGAACGTGATCTAAGGCTGTTATTGCTCGGCTCCTAGGCTCAGTTTATCGATGCTGTGTTTTTCTTGTATCGAAAACAATTTACCCGTCTGACAATTGCGAAGAGACAAAATTGAGTACAAGTTCAGGCATGAATATGTCACAAGCGAGATTGTATAACTAACCGTTGCAAAGCGAAAAGTTTACATCGTTAGTCTTTAGCGCAAAATGAACCATTGGAGTATTAATGAAATCAAGTGTATTTTAAAAGAATCTTTAAGAGTCAGGTTTATGTTTACAGTAAAAAAACTACGCATGTTATTGGTCACCATTGTAAACTCAACATGTTATTTTTAGTCTCAAGTATATGTTTCGTTTCTGCTGTTGTTCTTATGTTATAACGTAGGTATACAATTTATATCAACATTCTTAGATTACATTTTCGTTAGTTTGTTTACCAGCTATGAAATTTTCAGGTAGTTTTGTCTTCTCCCCTCCCGAAGTTGTAATTTATCGCCAAATACTTCACTTAAGTCAGCACCAAAGTAAGATCCCAATTAAGATTATAGAGATATTGCTGACATAGAAATATGTAAATTCATTTTACAGTCACATTATCCAAGTTTTAGTTCTCGGTTTAGTCACATATTTGACTGTCGTAAGCCTCTCTGCTGCTCGGTTTTTCCATTGCAGTGCCCATTGGAATCAGTTTAATTTTGAGAACAGCCTAGGAAGGGTTGTTCTGTGTATGATATCTCTATAATCTGTGTATGATATATCTATAATTGCTTCTAAAATTTTTTCAAATCACCCCCGTTTCTACACTTGAAGCATCAAATCACTACAGTTTAATCCCGATAAGTCTGACCTTCAAGGGGGAGGGGAAGAAAGAAATGGTTTGTTGACAAATGTCTGACTTATCTGGAATACCGCCTCTGACTTGAATATGAAAAATCGAATGGGGATTTAAATTCAGTCCGATTTGGTGCGCGGTACGACTTACCGGGATTCAACTCTGTTCGTTTTCTACAAGTACAATGAAAAGAGTACTAACTAATCAAATCTATGCAAATGATTCTTATTTCTATCAAATCGTTCCAGTTTAGGACTTTTTAATGCCCTCTTCGAGTAAATCTGCACTTTGTCAGTTGAACTGAAGTGTATCCCACAGCAGTTCAATCCAAAAGCCGAGCCGCTCTGTAGCATTTAATCACTGATTTCTATCATGTCGCTCAGTACCCGTCGAAAGGTTGTCAAATCTCAATTGTATGCTAAAGACCTTAGCTGGACACTCCATGCTTGGTGATATAAACCTCAAGATTATGGTGTATTTAATATTTTATCTTGAATAATCGAAATGTATATATGCTAAGTGTATCAAAGAACATCAAAGAATTCAACCCCATTCATCACTTAAACAAGATTAAATATGGATTTCTGTAACCTGGAGAAAAATTAGCGAACCTGAACCGTGTCAGTTTTTCAGATCACCAGGAAATGAAACAAATGTGTAATGAAGAAAGGTTTATATGCTCGGGCAGTGAACGTGAATCAATGAATGAGTTTCCTAAAAACTAAAATTACCAAACACTGCTGTTGTGTGATGAGAGCAGATTTGATAGGGTGCAGTCAGCGCCAAATTTCCATTTTTAAGAACCTGTAGGAGCCCCCAACATTCCTTAACTTACCCTATAGACAGAAGCATCCAAACTGTCAGTGGCCACGAACAAGGATGTGCATAAAGTTTGAATAAAGTATTGCGAGAATACATCGTGATTTGGTATTTATTATTTTGTCCAATATAGATATTTACCATTTGTTATCGTTTATGTAGAAGAATTAGCTTGTATCATCTTTGTTCAATTTTAAGCAGATTTTAATATCATATATCTTAGAAGAATTTATGTATCTTGAAGTTTCCTCCTTTCTTCTGAACATTGTCGTGGCAGACTATTCGCTTTGGTTTTATTTAAAATGTTACAACGGTAGTTTTTGGAAACCTCGATGAATTGAGATTAATCAAGCGATGATTACAAAATAAGGAGCTTGAGTATCAAAAAATAAGAAAAAAGTTCTAGAATTTTTAAACACTGAGGGAGAACCCCAAAGGGTGGCGGTCCCCCAGCCACTGATGCCAATGACTTGACAGTGCATATTTTGATCCCCAAGGGTTCAGATAAATACACGCATTACACGCAGTCCCTCTGTTGCTTCTTGCAAAAATGATACCGCAACCCGACATGCGAATGAAAACCCTTGGGGAAAAAGAATAATCCGGTTGCATCGTGGGGTATTGTGTTTCGTAGCATTTTGGAAACTAAAGAAATCAGCCTTTGTTACCTCCCTTACTATAAGAAATCTGTAAAATTTCTTATTGACCATTAGAAAGATCTCCAAATTGGAATTGCATTCAAATGGGCTCTCCTCGCATTCCTTCTTGGAATACCTTGCGCCAATCAAAGAGAAATGCATGATTCAAGATGATCTTCCGAAGAACGTCAAGGTTGAATGTAGGCTTAACGATAGCACAGTGACTTGGAAGGTATGTCTTGCATTTTACATTCGTAACTTTCCGTTCAGTTTTTGGCTAGAAACATCAAACACAGTTTGTTACAATAGTTCAGTAACCATCCAGCTATGTCTCAGTTCATTGCTAGAGCAGGTTAAAAACCCCGAAGGCAAGTTAACATTGAACTGTTGGTTTTTGAGGCTAGGTCGCTTCGTTTGAAAGGCTATCATTGTACTGTTCAGAACCAACTTTCATGCCTAATGATTCTAAAATTATCATGGAGGTGATAAAATCTGTCTATGTCCAAATTTGTATGTACGTAAAGAGTCCGCTTTCCCTCTTGGATATAGAAAAGTGGTTCTGAGCTCTGTGGACACTGTAAAGTCACTTAATAGGGGTTTTACCAACGTGAGTTCGTTTTAGGCAGAAATGCTCAAAAATACGGCAACGGCGGATAAAATCAAAATTCTTTTTTTACGGCAATGATTCGACTAACGACAGAAAACAACAAGTTCGACAAATAACGGTACGGCTTTAACAGGCACGACAAACTAGCGACAGAGCTTCTAGCAGTACGTCATAAGTTTCGACAAGACTAAACCTAACTTATGATACGCTGATGCAATCATAGCACGATGATGCAATTCTCACGTATTATTGTCCTTAAGGGAACCCAATGTCATAACAGTAGCAATTGGTCAAAATAAGGAAGCAATCAAAGCCAGCATTCATTCTTTCAAGTCATTTTTTATCGGTGTAATAATATGCTTTTACATCTTATGTCACGAGACACAAAAAAACACACTTCTTCAAATGTAAAAAATACCGTTGACATAACACAATACAAAATTATCGGTACAATAAAAAGATCCTGGGTACTTGAATACACAATATTGATGGCCTAGATTTTTTCAAAAGCGATACAAAGTGCTTGTTTGGTCGCGGATTTTTTGGTATTAATCGAAAAAGAAAGTTCTTATTTTTGCTGCTGGCTTTCCTCTTCGCATCTAAACATTTTAGGAAATGAAGTCGTTGGTTGGTACAAATCTACTTTGTTGCCCTTGACAAAGTTCTGCAGGGACACGAGGTCTCAAAGATTTACAGACCGTTTTTCAGTGATTAACTTTGTTCAACATGTTATATCCAATTGCGAGCACCGACTTAGTAACTAGCTTGCGAGTCTCCATAGATCCGTTAATCAAGCCTCATGAGCAATTATTTCTTGATATGTTTTGAGCTTGTGTAGATTGGGTCAAAATGGGGAAATCAGCTGAAGTCGACTTGGAAAACATCTTTTACAGTTTTGACTCGCCTTTAGATGCCTGCTGGAGGCAAACTTTCACCTTGTATTCATTTGCAGGTTCATGGTATTACATAAACAGGGCTGATACTGGGCACAAAATATACCCCCCTAAACTTGTCAAAAACATAAGGAAGTTGATAATGGCAGGGGTAGTAGGGTCATCGATTACATTTGACGTCACTGAAATGTTTGCTTGCAGCTTAAACATAAATATTCCAATCAAATTCATTCAAAAGAGCGTTCCTCCATTTCTGGAAGAGTATAGGAGGTGGCTGCACACTATTTTCTTAAATTCTTTGAGGAAAGCTGCAACACTTTTCAGGGGGTAGGTACCCCCACATGGAGACAGCAGCTTGAATTCACTAGCAATATAACTAGCAATAGTCAAATCCTTGAAGGACACAAAGGTATAAAGAAGGTTTAAAATTTCTTCAGCTGTTTTTTATCATTGTGGGACCATTCCATTAAAACTATGAATAACTGACGGTCTAGTAGAAGAGACAAATAAAAGCCAAACATTTTGATAGGATAGTTTATTTTTGATTATATGGGCACCATACTATCAACAAAACACTCTTACTAAGTAAGGCAAAAACAACGTGTGCAAAGATTACAAGATACGCGGTTAATCTGTTCGTCACTACAACTACAAAATATTATATAATTTCGATTGAAAACGCTTAAAGCATGTAATTTTAAAGATTCATGATTTGGGTACGGGCGTCGGGATTCTGAATGCCAGCTTTAAGGGTAATAGGAAAATTTAGTGCAAATTTTAGAGCTTTTCAGGCCTTTATGATTAGGGTTTTATCAAGAACTGTCTGCCGATGAAAAACAGATGAGAAATTGCTATCTTTAATTGGCAGAAACTCATATATCAAATAATGGTCATTAATAAAAAATGTCGAGAATACTTATGGTCACAAGTTTCCTTACCACAGAAAATACTTTCAAACGTAGAAGCGTTATAAAAATTAGGGGTACCTTTAGGCAAAGGAAGGCAACTCAATGAGCTGTAAATAGGCACTTTGTTTTTGTTTCTGAAAAGTTTAGGAGAAGATTTTAACACTACATTCAAATACAACAAGAAAAAGCAGCTACGTGAAAAGTCTAGCTTTTCAAATAAAAAGCACTACAAACAAAATAACAATGCTAGTATACAACAAATATGTTGCAATATTTACAGGTTAAGTAGAAGCATATCAACATGTTAATCATACCAATTTTAGCCAGAAAAGGACTTTAAAAAACCAGTCTTTCACAACAAAGGGTGGCTGATTGGTAATGGTCCCCGGAGGATTCGTGCTACTTGGGTAATCAGTCATGCAAACGAGGTTACGGATCGGTTGCAATTTAACCGTCCTTAAATCTCATTTCTTATTAGGTCATCTTTCATTGTAGAGGATAATCTTTAAAGAAACTCGGGGATAAAACTAAGGTAAGGAAGCTGATAGCTGATACACATGCTAAAACAAAACAAGCTAATATCTACAAATAAATTCTAAATGCAAGGCTAGCTTGCAGTCTACAGAGATTAAAAATACATAGATAGTGCAAATATATAGATCTAGATGTCTGAAACACAAACATTAAAAACGCACATGCCAAGGTTGGGGTGTTGGCGATACGAGTAACCGATTCTGGGTTGGTCAAGTGTTCTTTTGCCGGAGGAATCCTCCTCCTAGTTAGCGTACCATAAATGAATTGGACTTGGGAAGGGCTAGTCGGACTTATCGCCAATCACAGATTTTGCATGGGTTGACGGGCGCGAGAATATTTCAGTGCAGAAAAACCGGTTTGTTTGGAATGAGTAATTTCCGTCAGGGATCAATGTCTCAGCTGTCCCTTAGTAACACATAGGTACATACAAGTGCGCCAAAACTGCAGCTGTCACAAGGACTGGAACAGAACTAACAGACTACATCCTCTGTTACTAACTACCGGTTTAATATTTCTTCGCTGATCTAAAATTTCGGATTAGCCGACCTTCTTTATCGTAAAAATAAGCAACTTTGTTGGATAAAGCAATGTACCTAATTGAAAGTTAATTATCGGTGATAAGTACAACTATTTAAAAAAAATGATAATGCTTGATATCAAGCTACGGGACGTCACTAGGAATAATACATTTTGGCTTTACGAAAATTAAACAGACTTTCCAAAGACGCAATAAAAACCTTGACACAAATGACAATTAGAGGTCTTACAGCGACACGCGGCAAACTATCGATTCACATCGAGACGTTGTGAATTCCTTGCTTAATTAGATCCACGGGGTTTCAGTTGATTGTCAACTGGCGAATAGAAACATTTACTTTAAAAACGTCATGGAAAGTTGCATGCCGACGTCACCATAAAGCCAAAATGTATAGATATATTCCTACCAACTTTACGCGTGTAAAGAAATGTCTTTACAGTTCTTTAGGGTAGCAGCCCAACTGAGCTGGATCCCTCAACATTTTGCATTGTCTTGCAGAGGTTTTGCACATCTTCGTCAATGAACTGAAACACGTGACGGTGATCTGGTACTTTACGCAGAATGCTCTTGTAGTAGCCTCTCAGGCCTCGACACATCTTTTCGTAGGTCATATTTGTATTGTTTTTGCATCTTCCCCAAGCTTTTGCAATGGCATCTGTATGTGTGAACTTGAACTCGCAGGCATCCTGGTTCACCCAAGCTATACCATGCTCACCTTTTGCAAGTGCGTGCACTATGAATTGCCACAAATACATCTGACCAATACCTGAAATGCGATAAAGCGTTCCAACAGCTCATGATACGCAACTCTATACACACACTTTGAAATATTCTACTAGATGCACGACAGTGCTGTGAAATCAATATAATGACACTCAAACCAAACGACTTAATCTCTACATTTATCACTAGGGGAAATTCTACAGCTTGTCAACAGGGAAAGAATCTCGGGTGCAGGGATCTCAGTAAGCAGTATCACAATACAACTTTGAATTCATAACAAAATTGTAAAAAAACAAGGAGCTTATTGCACTAGCGACATTTCAAGTATTTTTCCATTGTCAATTTATTACGTTATTGTTATTGTCCATTTTAGAGCCGGGATAAAACAGACATTGGGATCGTTTTCCTTTACTAAGTAATATATCATAAGGTTTAGAAAATCTATATAGTAAAAAGGAAACATATTTCATGTATTCGTCTGGCTTACCACTGTAAGGCGAAACCAGCTTTTTGGAGACAGGCCCTTTATCTGCTTCTTTACTTGAGCCAGATGACACAGAGCTTGCAGGTGATCCTGGACTACCAGGAAGTGCCGATGAAGATGAGGCTCCTGTAAAAACATTGTCAATAATTTAACACTAGAAAAAAAAGATTTTTACACCTGTTACACTTTTCATGATCATCTAGCGTAAAAGAAATAAAGGAATTATAGCATTTATAGATGCTCGGTGTCCATCTCATAATGATGATTGTAACAATATACAGAATTGATTGGAGATAGCTGGACGAACAAATAATTAGTTTTATTAGCTTCATTTGGATCATAGAGAGCAATCTTTTTTGAGAAAAAGGCAAACAGTTTTAAGCTGATGCTCAAATGTTTGTTAATTTCGCCAGTGCACATCAAAATTTCGAAGGAGGATTGCCAAAAAAACAAACAGGGAAATCAAATTTCAAACCTTTCATTTCAACAGCTGGAAGAAGTCTCTTCATCTCCTCAAGCTTTGAAAGGGGACTCACTGCTTCTTCACACTGAGCCAGTGTACTGTCAAAATCTTGTTCGACTTTCTGATCACTTGCTACCTGATAATCGGCTATCATCAATACCTCGTCTGGAAGCTGCTGTCCAACTGAAAACACTACACAGGGTAGCAAGTGAAACAATATATTATACAGGCGTAGACATAACAGGTGAATCATTACCCATCATGCTGTTTTTGTAAACAGCAGCAAGCTGACTAAATTGGGTCTGACACATCATCGGGTATGACAGATGTTCAAGTCTGGAAAATCATCGATTCTGAACAAAATTTAAAAAATGTAACCTGGCAACTCACATGGAGAAACTTGTTCTATTTAAAGGCTAAGACCTTTAGTTTTAGACAGCTTTTCTTGAAACTAGTAATACATTTTTCAATACATATTATTTGTAAATGGTTCCCACGTGTTAATTTGTCTAGGTTACAGTAGAATGTTGCTCAAAAATCCTGACAGTGGGAGAAAGAAAGAAAATTCAAAGCCTGGGTGAAGAAAGACTCCTGTTTTGCGCAAGTTAGACTTTTTGATCTATCTGTTAAAACGATCACAGGCTTGCAACATACTGGAAAGATTGATTAACTGTCTGAAATATATACTAAAGAAAAATGTAAAATAAAAAGGACCAACCATTGTCGGCAATTTGCGGGCTCATGCCAAAATCTACAAAAATAAAACATCAATGCTATTATTTAAACAACAGAATTGATTTTGTCTAAAAGCAACGACTAATGCGGTGGATTGTAAACAAAAATTATGTCACAGCACCAGCCATGACATTGTATAGTAGGGATGGTATGGTATATCATGGTATGCATATTCCAGACTAAAATACCAAATACAAGTAATAGAGGCTATGAGAAACAGGTCATATCAAACATATTGGCCTGACACTCACTGCCAAATAAGAACTGGCTATAAAACAGCACATTGCACTACAAAGATAACAGACAGTTTTCAAAATGGCAATTCAGCTTTAATGGGAATGATTCCAAACAGATAAGTGACAAAGATAAGCATTGAATATCAACACAATCTGAAGAAAATTCTATGAGAATTGACCACATCATTATGAAGTTTCATCACAAACATAATACTGTAAAATCAATTATGGTGAAAAAATTACAAAAAAGAAATATGAGCATGAATTATTTTCAAAGTATAAAGAAATTTTCAAAGAAATATTTCAAAAGGCTGAAGCATGCATCCCTGCAGAAAACCCAACAAGCATTCCTTGTTATTGTTGGACCCTGGGCACAAAAGGTTCTTGATTGAAAAATAAAATCCCGAAGAACCACAATTACCCATTTCATTGAATTCCATTAGGCTGCTTTCTGACTCATCTTCACTTTTTATTGAAACATCATCTATGGCACCTTGCAGATATTTCAGAATCTTTCTCTTGCGATCTTCAAAAAAGAAAAACAATATTCGAGCACAACTCTATGCACAACAAAGACTTACTAGTTGCATGAATCAAAAGTTGCAGGTTTTAAATTTTGCAGTATCCCAGGAGTAAACTGCTTACATTGATGGAATGTTGGTAGCTTACATGTCAACAGAAGATTAATATTTTCCAAAACAAATAGAAATTGATTTTCGAATTTTAAAAATGATGGTGTAAGCTGTAATGGAAGTGAAAAGAAATTGGGCATTGCCGTGGAGCTATGTAGATACCAAGTCCACACATGAAATGAAAAGACAGGTCATACATCTCCGTACTACTTTCTTTGTAAACATCTGGAAACTTTGGAAAAGCAGCCTTGTTAAATTGGAGGAAAAAGAATTCACAATCCCCTTTCACAATGGAAACACATTCAGCACAAACATACCCTTAAGGCTCTATTAAGCCCCCAGGGAGCATATTTATTTTTCAGTTCTAGAGGGGGGGCTTAAAAGAGAGGGTGGCTTATAAGAGAGAGGAGGCTTATTAAAAATTTGAAGCAATAATGTATTAAAATCCCCTTGGTCATTTTTTGTTATGAAAATGTCATACAAATATTCTCAAAAAACTTTGCTAGCAGCTTCGTAAGTTTAATAAATCAATTATAAGGTCCTCATCTTCATCAACATCACCAGGATGAATTGATAACCCTTGTATATCTTCAAAACAAATTTCGACTGACTACACAATCTTATAATCATCACACCCGTCAAGAGACCCACAAAATGCGCTTTGTTTTCTATGTTTGACATCAAAGGCTAAAGAGGGGGGCTTAATAGAGAGGGGGGCTTACTTAAAGCCTTTGCTTGATAAGGGGGAACATAACACAGAGGGGGGCTTAATAGAGAGGGGGGCTTAAAAGAGCTTTTATGGTGAACTGAGTATTTGTTGAGAGAACTTCTACATTGATATCAAAGAAATTTTTCAAACTGTAAACTAATGCTGCTTTGTTAAAGCGTAACTAAGTGAAATGAAAGCTGATCCTTTTGCCCACTTTAGCCAATGTAACAAGATCTATAGAAATAATACAAAAATAAATTTCTCACCACTCTCTGATGTGAAATAATCTTGGAATGGTTTTGGAGTCTCATTGCAATCATAAATGCCTCCAAAGATTGAAAATTTTGGCTCTACTAAGTTTTGAATCCTTGCTATATCTTCAGGAGGCAAACTTGTCTTTCCCTAATCAAACCAACAACATATAAAACTAATAATATTTAGCTACAATTTTCTACATGATATTTTTCGACAAAGAGCATTCACATATTTAACAAAAACCAAAAGCTGCATTTAGTTTTTATCATTTAAGGTTGCCCAACAAAAATGGCTGCAGTTGTTTATTTAATGAAGATAACCAGCTCAAAGCCTCTAATCCTGCCCACATTATCTTTTGTATTTAAAACCATAAAGTATAAAATCTAGACATATCTGTTTTCTTTTGGCTGTTGCAACAATCAAAGCAGAAAGGCTAAGTATAAGAAACAGCCCTGATTGGTAAAGGAAGCAAGGGCTTGGCCTGGTAGATCTTGCAAATCATTCAAACACATTTCAATTCATTGATTTCTTTCTTCAGTCAAACTAGCATGTGGGATTATCGGAGAGGCGCATTGATTTTCTGAAGGATAGAAAAAAGGCGGGGTTTTTAGAGAGGTGGGAATAGTAGAGTAGGTGAGAATACAAGAGAAAATAAGGTGTATGCTAAAAAAGTTTTGAATGGAAGCAAATGGTTGTCTGCCAGGCCAGACCTGAGTTCATGACATTGCTGAGTCCTACCACACTTACTGAAAAATATGGGTTGCGTTTTTTTACCAAATTGTTTACTGATGAATTTGATCAAACACCTTCAACTGACATGCAGTTACATTTATGAAACATCCTTACCTGTTCTGGAAATAGTCCCTGCAGGGGTCTTTTTGTGAGCTGTGAATTCAATAAAAAAATTGAAAAGCAAAAGGGAATATTGGTGTTTCTAAGCAATCTGCATCAAAAAAGAACTCCCTAACTATGTTTGAATCTCTCGTCAGAATGTTTAAGGAAGGCATATTTCAAATGGTAAACCATTTTGCATGACAAGCAAGGTCACGTCATTCAGCATCAGCAATGTTTATGCACTGGAAAGAATACAAAAATTGAAATCTTCCTTTAAAGGAACTAGGAAGGTCAAAATTAGAGGCATTAGAGGCAGGTCCCTTTCATCAAAGCACTCCTTTTATCTAAATTATCTTTTTACAAGTTCTGGCAATACGCTGTTCTGTCTAATGATATATTTTATGAATATTAAACAGGGAAAGTTTGCATATTGTGTTTTGAGCTAGATTCAGGGGTGGCGCTAGAGACAAACCTTCAAGGTGCCGAAGTTTATATTCTCCGTAACTGCCGACGGCAGTCGCGAGGCAAGCCTCGTTTGAAGGAGGTGTGGAATGCAAATTTAACTAATGTAACTCAAACAATCTAACTCTGTATGATAATAACCGACTTTCCTAATAGTCTTGTCAAATCTCTATATCGGGACGGGCAAAATATATAGTTACTACCTGAGGCGGCACCATGGTTGCCGCTGAAGGGACAGGAAATTTTCGAATTGTGATGCTTCTAGTTCCCAAGAAAATGCACTCTTTTAAGCAGATTTCACTAAAGCAATCCTCCTAATCCTATTGAAAATTATTGCCTTTTTGCAAAAATTTTTTACAGCAGATAAAAACAACAATTTCGCCGTGGTCTTGAAAAATACTAGGTTGTCAGTTACTTTTAAATTTAGATTCCTCTCTCCATCTTAGCATGCCTTATGAATGTTAAGAAAAATCTGGAGCTCATAGTGAATTGCAGTTGACGCTTCTACTGAGAAACTTTAGGAGAAATGGACACGAGGCACAATTTTACCTAAGATTGCTTGATCCTTTATTGATTTTATGACAGGAAGGTCTCTGAAATACCTAAAGCGTTTCTTCCACCGAGCGGATTTTACCTGAAATTTCCTATTGAGATACTATTGGGGTGGGTGTGACAACCTCCCAGTCGTGACGCCTCTTGAAACGAAAAGAGAATCCCTTAAGAAGAAAATTTATTAAAGACTTTATTTATGACAGCGTGATTTTGCTGTTGTTAGGGTAAATTTCCTTGAAACGGTCCAAAACATGATCCAAATCAAGCATCTCTGCAAGTTTCGCATGAATTCCAAGCAGCAACAGGGATTTCAACCGAGAGGAGCACGATGGTATTGTGGGTCATGCGAAGGAGCACAATGAAATTAAGTCACAGCTTTCACGGAAGCGACAGGATATAATGCCACTATGATAGAAAAATTGCCGAAGAAAAGCCATTGAGAAAACCATAAACAAGCCAGTGCAGTTTTCTCCTCTATTATTTATCTCATTCAAACAACATGTAAACCGGGTGACATCCATCAAGTGCCGACGGTATTGAGAAAGCAAAAATTGATTGGCTGCCGATGGGGGGGGGGGGGGCTAACAAAAATCTAGGGGGGCTAAAGCCCCCCCTTGCCCCCCCTTGCCGCCACTCCTGGCTAGATTGCTGTTTTTATTGATATAATATTCCTCTCCCAGGACCTGTGCTACAGGGGGACCAGAGGGTAATGGCCTCCCCACTTTTCAAGGGGGATCAACATGCCAAAAACCAAGAGGAAGGTGATATTTGTATATGGTTTTAAGTACATTTTAGAAATTATTGTTGGTCAGAAAACCTCTTCAGCCACCCTGCTTCTGCAGTTTCTGTACAGGACACCTGCTGATCAGTTGATTCCACTTACAGTCACTCTGCTTAAAGTCACATTACTGGTTACAGTGACATGAAATTTAGATCTAAATATACAAAACTATGCATTTAGCTTTTGCTTAAAGTCACACTTTATTTACATTTACATGTTTTCAAGCAATAGTTGGTGTGATTATAACCCGAGTCTACTGTATATAAGAAAGTCATCTTCCAGTGCATTAAGCTGGTAAACATTTGTTACAATGTTATCATGAATTTGGGGAAAATTGACTAGCAGACAGACTTGTGATATATGTAACAGATATTTAAACAAATCAAAGTATTATGTTAGGTTTGAAACTAGAAGAGCTACCTTGGTGAGCTACATAGCAAATTATAACAATGAACTCCTAATACATTTGCAAGCTTTTGAACTTCCTCTTTCATTTTTAAAGACAATCAGAGACACAGAAAATTGCATGGGAAAACAGAACAGTCTGTGCCCTGGAGCATTTGGTTAGAGATATTGGATAGAAGAGTTGCTGTTCAAACATCTTGCATAATGCTTGCATAGCACCATGCTGTTAAAATTAAAATTAAAATTAGAAAAAGAATGATATATGTCAAATTATTGAACCATAACCCATTTCGAGATATGGCTGCAACAAAAATAAATGACAATTGGCACAAAATTATTCAAAGTTTTCCTTTCTTAGCATAATGATACAGATAAAATACTTAAGAAAATTGAGACTGTAACAGAACCTGCAGAAAATAACTAGGCAAACTTCCTCATTCCAGATTTTACTTTGGGTTTGGAAGTGTCAATCACGGTTCATTGTCTATACCTTTTAGAACCCAGACAGGCCGGGAGACGGAGGTGGCTGCTAAACCCTAAAGAACCTCACAGAAGTGTTTATTTTTTACAAGCCATTAGACAGATTGTTCATTCAAAATTAAACAATTTTAGGAAGCTCGCAAATTACTTAGACCCACGTATGAGAGTACTGCGCAACATCTTTTTATCAAATAGAAAAGCATTGTTATATATTTCAAAGCAGCTGATCTCAAAATACGTGACCAAAGGCGCATTCTGGCCCTGACAACCATAAACAATCGATTAACCGGCAAACAACCGTTTGAACGCGAATTGCCTTACCTAGTTTACTACAGCAAGAATTCTGTTGAGAAAATTTGATTGTTTGTACCTTTTTCATTAACTGTTTCAATATGTTCCGTTGAATTCAAAAATCGACAACTAGGTAGCTAAACCTGGGCAAACTGCAACCTGCTGGCATGGCGGCAAATTATGTTGCTTATTCAACATGCCAGTTAATTCACGTTATGGAGGGACTTTCTAAACATACATTTCCAGATAGTTCTATGGAATTATCCCAAGTTTAATACCGCGGTTGCAGTTTTTATATATTATCCTGCAAGTTAACTTCACGCACGATGTCTAAATTTATGCCTGTTTTGTGCATTGAAACAAAAACTGTTTCGTGACGTTAATAAAGCATGGATGCACTAACGCAACGAAGAAATTGGACTTCAATACATCAAAAAGAAAAAATGCAGTCATTTTTCACCAATAATTCACCTATCTTTAAACAATTTAAACGAGTTCATTTTCGTGCAACACCGGAAACTTTGTCGCGCGCCCGCGCACTCAAATTTTCCATCCGCGCACTTTTGCATTTTGACCGCGCAAAGTCCCTATTTGAAAACATTTCACATTAATAACAAAATTCATAATACAAATTTCTTAAAAGTGCGTGATTTTAGGCGCGTAGTCGCGCAGTCAGGCGCGTGAACTTGCCCGCGCAAGTTTCCAGTCTGGGTGCAACCGTTGCCAGCCAGCATGCAAGGATGTTGACAATTGTCTGGACGCAAGAGCTGCGTAATCAAAACGCTAAAATGCACTTACCAAATCGCCATAAGACTTTTTGGAGTTTGTTGTACTGCATGACAGTGATCTCGGTCGGACAGGCGGGCATTTTCTGGAATATGGATGCGGCGCCATTCGACGGCCATTTGTTATTGGATGGTGCACCATCCTGCCATCGCCGAACGTTTCCGACGCACTTTGCGAAAGCCGGGATCTGCCTCGTGTCTTCGATGAGACCTTGCTGCTCTTGCAACCCTCCAAAGTTTGAGCAATATAAATTGCACTTTGCAAATCGTACTTTGGTTTCTCTAGCATGTATCGTTGTTGAACGGACACTTAGATTCTAAATTCGTCTTCCTTCTTCGTGAGCAAAGGGTATACTTCAACAACAAACCTCGTTTTATCATTTCATTGGGTCTCGGTTTGATTGATCATGTTTTTCGGATTATGTCCATCAAGTTGAACGGGGGGTCACTTACTGTAGTCTAGGCACACTAATTCGTTTTCATATGAATACGCTGTGAATACGATAGGTGCTCCGACGTCCATTATCTAGCATAGGGGAAAAATGTACTTGCCATGCGCGCGATGAATCACAGGGGTTACAGCAAATGTCAACACTGCTCCCGCAACATTTCAGGACGAATACACCACATTGTTTTGAATGATTAAAGATTCGTCGATAGATCGACATATTCAAAACAAAGGCAGCACAAAAGTTGCATGATTGTTCTAGCAACAAATGTAACTAGTTCTATTGCCATAACATAGATGAAACTTTAAAAAATAGGCATTAAGTATGTCTCGATTAAAATTTCCATTAAAACTGATGCAAATTTCAATCTGGAAATGCATTTGCATACAAGTACATATTTTCACACACCACAAAAGAATAAAATAAAATACATAATTTAGATGCAACAAGCAGAAAAGGGCGAAAAGACACCAACCTTTAGAAAGTTGAGGACATTTTGCAACCAGAGTTTGAAGAATCCAGGAAAATTTACACGTTTTCCCCATTGATGATAGGAAATGATACATCCAAAAGCTGTTTTGTTAGGCAATGAAAATCACTTGAAAATTGTCAAGCACTAGAGTGGTACAATTCTTGAACAAAAATTGTCAGAGAAGAGGTTCCGAAAAAGACATCTCCCTTGACCGAAGATAAATAAAAATGCGACTTGTGCTAAACACGTGCACTACACAACATGTCTTCAGAAACCATTCCAACAACCACTGAACAAAATCTTCAAAATTTTCCATTTGACTTTAAATTGACTTTCCCAAAGAGGAAGCCACTCAATGCAATGCTATTATAAAGTTAAAAATTAGTGATTGAGAAATAAAAGCCCACAGTTTTAGATGCAAACCTTTAAATCAGTCTAAAAATTTAGATTAGCCAAGTAACTTTGTAATCGATAAGAAATGATTTTAAAGAAATTGTCGCGAGAAAAACTGTAACCTACAGAAAAATCTAGATTTTGCTACAAAACGAAACTATTGCCAAAGTAAATGCCAAGCAACAAGGTTTTCCCTGGTTATTATAATTTATTTTGATTGTATTGCCTTTTCATGTAAAATGGAAGAAACTGACCGCTACTTTTGATTATTATGAATGTGACTTCCTGATCGATAAGGAATATGAAAAAATTAAATTGTCGCGAGAAATAGTGTAGCCTAGAGAGAAATCTAGATTTTGCTACAAAACGAAACTATTGCCAAAGTAATTGCCAAACAACAAGGTTTTTGCTGGTTATTATCGTTTCTTTTGAATGTATTGCCTTTTCATGGAAAAAGGAGGGAAGTTGCCGTTACTTTTGTTCATAAATGTGACTTCGTGTTCGTTCATGTTCAAAATTAATGGCAACTTTCCCCCTTTCTACATGAAAAGGCAATACAATCAAAAGAAATGATAATAACCAGGGAAAACCTTGATGCTTGGCAATTACTTTGGCAATAGTTTCGTTTTGTAGCAAAATCTAGATTTTTCTGTAGGTAACCCTTTTTCTCGCGACAATTCAGCCTTTTCATATTCCTTATCGACCACGAAGTCACATTCATAATAATCAAAAGTAGCGGTCAGTTTCTTCCATTTTACATGAAAAGGCAATACAATCAAAAGAAATGGTAATAACCAGGGAAAACCTTGATGCTTGGCAATTACTTTGGCAATAGTTTCGTTTTGTAGCAAAATCTAGATTTTTCTGTAGGTAACCCTTTTTCTCGCGACAATTCAGCCTTTTCATATTCCTTATCGACCACGAAGTCACATTCATAATAATCAAAAGTAGCGGTCAGTTTCTTCCATTTTACATGAAAAGGCAATACAATCAAAAGAAATGGTAATAACCAGGGAAAACCTTGATGCTTGGCAATTACTTTGGCAATAGTTTCGTTTTGTAGCAAAATCTAGATTTTTCTGTAGGTAACCCTTTTTCTCGCGACAATTCAGCCTTTTCATATTCCTTATCGACCACGAAGTCACATTCATAATAATCAAAAGTAGCGGTCAGTTTCTTCCATTTTACATGAAAAGGCAATACAATCAAAAGAAATGGTAATAACCAGCAAAAACCTTGATGTTTGACAATTAGTTTGGCAATAGTTTCGTTTTGTAGCAAAATCTAGATTTTTCTGTAAGTTACCCTTTTTATCGCGATAATGTTTCATCTCAATATTGTAATTTTATATAAATGTAGATATTTCGACATTTACCTGCAATTTTGTTTGTTGTTTTGAAATAATGATTAAAAGTTCTTTCTTGATATACCTTGATTAAGCATTTCTGTTTTATAAGTTTCTTCCAGTAGTATGTCTACTAGATTTCCGAAAACAATTAACTTTTATACTTTGACTTTGAAGTTTTTACTGCATATATTGAAGCCATGTGGAGTATTTGCGCCCGCGATTCCGTGCCGCCATGACCAGCGTCATGCATTTTTCCCCTATGCTCCATTAACTGTTTATATCGATCTCATAACGAGACTATTTTGAACCAACTTTGAGGCTGTACGCTGCATATTTCTCAGCGTACAGGACCATTGTTTTAGCTGATTAACGGCAAATATTATTCATGGAAAGGAGCATTTTGATTGGTTAAAGTACCGTCTAGGGTATTCACTGCGTATTCATGACCTATCTCCATTCAACATGAAGTAACTCAATCTTCAAAATTAGCCTGAAAGATCTCCCAGCTTCTCTATGCGTCCCAGAGTTATTGTTTCCATGAATTTCGTGATATTTTGTACTTGTACAAAATGCAGAATATCGAAGGTAACGAATTCAACCAGAATCAATAGCCCCAAAACATTTTTTAGTTATTACATTTATACGTCGTATTAATATTTGTTCTGAGAAATCTCAGGGTATTCACTGAATACCTTGAATACCCGGACGCTACGCCACTGATTATGAATGAAATTAAATAAAAGTAAATCGTGAAAAACTTTGTTGTAACAGCTACGAGTCCATTGTGAATTCTCAATTTCAAAATTTTTGAGATTTGGTGAGCTACAAAGCACGTAATTTGTTGCCGATGTTAGCGTATTCAAATGTCTCCGTTTTGGGGTTCACACTGAAAATGGAGCGTATTCAATACGCACCGTATTCAAAAGTATCCGTTTTCATTAGCGTTTGTAAACGACTTCTCAATATCAAAATTTTTGAGATTTGGTGAGCTACAAAGCACGTAATTTGTTGCCGATGTTAGCGTATTCAAATGTCTCCGTTTTTGGGGTTCACACTGAAAACGGAGCGTATTCAATATGCACCGTATTCAAAAGTATCCGTTTTCATTAGCGTTTGTAAACGACCCCGTTTTCATAGCAGAGTAGTGTGAACGCAAGGCAAACGCCCTGTTTTCGTTCCCGGAAACGCCCTTGTTCTGAAATTGAAGGCTAAAATGAGCTTCATACCATGCTTTGTAGCGTGGTTAAAATGTTCATCTTTTACATCTTTTCTAAATCGGCCTGGGGCTCTACAAACGGCCTGGGGCTCTATTAATACAGAATAGGTTTGAATGCGGTGTTACAAATTAGCTGTTTGACTCAAAAAATTAGCTACGTAACCATTAGAAGTGAATCAACTTCTGAACACTTCTTTCTCCGCTATATTTTGTTCAAGTTTTTACCCATTAATTTTCAAAACCTTTACAGTACCACTTTAAGAGCGGCCCGGGGCATTGCCCCGGCTGAACCTTTCGGCGTGCTACTCGATACAGTATTGTGGAACGATGCAATAGCGAAGATGAAAACATCACGGTCCCACGGCCGCTGGCCGTATAGTGCAGCAGATAAAAGCAGATTTTCGTATGGACCGTGCAAATTGTGATAAAAGCATGAAATTTGGCAGACATAGACACTTTGTCACGCTGAAAAAGATGAGAGTTGGACCCATCCTGAAAATTGCCTCCATCCCCTATTTTTAGACGGGGGTTCTCATGCCCAGTCCCCTTAAGAAGATTCAACGTTTATCTATCAGCCAGAAACACATAGCAACAGGAAATCTGGTAGGTACAGATAATTTCATGTGCAGAAAACGATTAAAATTTGAAAAATTCTCAAACATGCCCCCTGTTCTATTTTTAGAAAGGGGTACTAGTGCCCAGTCCCCATTCATGGATTTTTTTACTCTTTCATGGAAAGGATATTAACTTGAGACATGGTAAAGAGAGGCGCAATATTATTTAGTGAATGAGATCCAAATGTACTAAGTCTGAAGCACGGCCCCAATGCTACTTTTATATAGGAGTACTAGTCCCCAGTTTCTTTTTACGTGCAAGATAAATGCAAATCTATGCACCCACTGTCCACCACAACCTTCAAACGTGGAAGCAACAAAGCCTTATAACGATTCTCTTCTTGAGGGTCATCAACTCATCCAGCCAGAATATCTGTGGCTAGAGGAGACTTCGAAGATATTACAAAAGCCAGCCCTTGATTGATTGCACTGCTTTTATCGTACAAAGAAACCACGAATTTCTCTATTGTTTGGTAAGCAGATTCTGGTAAAGCTTCTGGTTCTAATTCATCAGCAACTTGCAACATACTTTCTTTGCCGGTCAATTCCTCAGCTGGCTTTTGTAATATCTTCGAAGTCTCCTCTAGCCACAGATATTCTGGCTGGATGAGTTGATGACCCTCAAGAAGAGAATCATTATAAGGCTTTGTTGCTTCCACGTTTGAAGGTTGTGGTGGACAGTGGGTGCACAGATTTGCATTTATCTTGCACGTAAAAAGGAACTTGGGACTAGTACTCCTATGTCAAAATAGCATTGGGGCCGTGTTTCAGAATTAGTACACTTGGATCTCATTCACTAAATAATATTGCGCCTCTCTTTACCATGTCTCAAGTTAATATCCTTTCCATGAAAGAGTAAAAAAATCCATGAATGGGGACTGGGCACTAGTACCCCTTTCTAAAAATAGAACAGGGGGCATGTTTGAGAATTTTTCAAATTTTAATCGTTTTCTGCACATGAAATTATCTGTACCTACCAGATTTCCTGTTGCTATGTGTTTCTGGACGATAGATAAACGTTGAATCTTCTTAAGGGGACTGGGCACGAGAACCCCCGTCTAAAAAAAGGGGATGGAAGCAATTTTCAGGATGGGTCCAACTCTCATCTTTTTCAGCGTGAGAGAGTGTCTATGTCTGCCAAATTTCATGCTTTTATCACAATTTGCACGGTGCATTGTATCACCCGCTGCATTGAGGAAGATGTCCAAATATTTGGAAACTGGAGGAGGTTGAGAAAGTCTATTTGCCTTTTGGCTTTCAAATTACAGTCAGACAAAAATTTTAAAAATTGAAATAAAATTTATAAACCTGTTTTTCAATACGAATGTGTTTGCACATAATACAGGATAAAGATGCTTATAATTTACATATTTGAATGATGACACGCTTTTGTTATTAATTGGCATAAGCATGTAACTTTACATCTGTCTCGAAACGCTGTCCCATGCAATCTATAATTGGAAATAAGCTAAGAATATTTAAAATGTTTTTGAAAAACAGAATTGCAAGGAAAGAGAATGAAGACTAGTTGAGGACCCCATTTTTGACCATGCCCATTTTGAACCCATTAAGAAAGAAGGTTTTTAGTATGATTTTTTTGGCCGGAGGAAGTATGAAAACGTTTCTGGACTCTGATGTGGAGACTCTGGCACTGGCTTTTAGCGTCACCCTCCCAATCTAAAAACGCCTACAATGTTTCTTTTTATCTTCATTAAGTGCGTTTAAAAATGGTTTGCAGCTTCTACTATGTTCTGCCTAATCTTTCGCAAACTGATATTCTTAAAAAATTCGTCCGGCATTAGGATTATTGAATACGGGATAATTTTAGAACATGGTGAGTGGTAGTCTTTTTCAAGATTCAAGTATAAAGTCGTTATAAAAAACATGAATATCGATGGTAACAGGCCTTTCACAATAACGAATATAGTGTCAAGAGAATTGCGACTAGAGCCTCATTAGCTTGGGCCTCCGAGGAAGGGGGGCCAAGAGAACTCTTTTGCAAACATAAAGCTTTTTCAAAACCTTTTGCTTTGGGTGATAAATTTTCCCTTGTCCTCCCCCCCCCCCCACTTTCCAACCTGTGTCGGAGCCCATGTTAGCCTTCCACGTCCTGTTCCTCACTTTATCCACCTGTCAGGGTATTTGAAATTTATGTTTCTTGGCTATTCTCGATTCCCTTTACATCTCTGGTACAATTGATAAACTAGCCCACGAATAAGCCCCCGGAGCGCTTCTTTCGCAAGAAATAGCCGGAGGCTTTTCGAGGAGGGAATATTTAAAGGCTGGAGCTTATTTAGCAGCAACCAAAAATTTATCAGGGTGAATCTTCTTTCTTTTTTTGAGGCTGGTCAGTGTGCTTAAAAATGCAGATCTGTTGGGATAAATTTATAGCTGTTGGGGCAATACCTTGACCCATGGGGGCTAATTTGTGAGTGGGGGCTTATTTCATAAAATGACTATAGAGTTGGGGCTTTGTTCGAGGGGGGGGGGGCTTTTTTCAAAGTCAGGGGCCTATTCGAGACCATTCAAACTTTAATAACGACGAATGTAAGTAAATTGTACCAGGAATAAAAATCGATTAAATGAATAACGACTTTTCGAACGACGTTCACACGCATTCAAACTTTACCCACAATGCAGTTCGCTTTCACAGGCCATCTAGCCTGATGGTCCCCTGTGACCCCCCTGGAAGTAATATATGGGACGGTCAACATCATGGCGGCGCTAGTGCTTGGAAGGTTTGATAATTTTATTTTCTCAATTAGCCTTCAAGGCAAGATACACTTTGCATTTAGAGTACTCAAAGCTCTTCTCAATATAGCTGCTTTGTTTCGCCATGTAGGCGCTCGTTACACAACTTAAAAACAGCCATTTAATGAATGTATTATGGAGAATCAACTACATCCAAAATTTGCTACTTCCATCATTTGGAGGCTTGAAACATAACTTTGACATCGGTGCAATATCAATTTACGGTGTTACTTGTTACTGCGATAAATAAATATATAAATAGGTGATGCACCCAAATGGATCTTGTTCTATTGGAGAAATAAATGCCTCCTTTTACAAATATACGCTGATTATCCTAAAAGCAACGTTTAGATAACTGAATCACTTATGTAGGTCTTATTATGTACAGATATATAACCTTTCTAAGTCAAGAATTTTGCCGTCAAAAAATGCAGCCTTTGTGCATTTTGAGAACTGCTATTTTAAGAAACCATATGCCAACCATATAAATGTGTAATTTGTGCATGTTGTGTGTGTCACCCAGACAAGAAAAAATTTGCTCGCTGTATTGATAATATCCACACTTTAAATTTCAGTTAAGATAACCAATCAATGATTCTTGAATTGAAACAATTAGGAAACCAAATAGGACAATAGAAAATCCCTTTGTGCCCTTGAATTGTTACCTCACTAACATGCCAGTCTTGAATTGTTACCTCATTTCAAGCATGTTTGCCGCTTGCAAAGCTCCTTTTATTATTCATATGGTTTTCAATTACCGCTATAGTTAATTTAGTGTGTAATCTCAAGTTTTGGTGTGCAGCACTAGACTAGCCAGTCTGCAGAGTATCCCAGATGCATGTGCGAGGTCCTAGCATGCCAGTTACAACTAATACACAGTATATTTTTGGTGTGCACAGCAAACTTTCCAGTATGCCCCCTGCCCACATGAAGTATAGGAAATTTCTTAAGTCTACAAACTAAAAATCTAATGATCCTTTGTCTTAAAACACTTGACAACAACATGGCAAGCTCCAGGAAGGTTTTCTTTTGTATTTCAACATAATTATATTCTTAGTGTGTGTAAATTACTGTCAAAATAATGAATTTTTATGTCAAGTTATTGAAATACAAGGTTTGGTTTTGCTACTCCAATTAGTTTTACTCCAAGTTTATTTTCAAGAGAGCTTCCACTCTGTTCTTGTAAATACTGTGCAAATCGATTGATCCTAACATTGTTCTACTAAAACTAAAGCAAACAATTTTTGGTCATTTTGGCAATGAGGTCCATTCAGCTGTTTTTTTGTACGAAAACTGAGTAGTGGGAACGGGGCCTGATTTTCAATGGACTAACACATTTTTAATTGTCCTTTGCTATTTGTTGGTCAGAGAGGGCTGATTTTAGTTTTTGTTTGCTAAAGCTATTTATGTCTGTTTATTCTTTAACTTTACTTAACAGTAATTGAAACATTGTCACTTTGTAAAGTCACACAGTACCTCAATGATCATTTGATAATTTCTGGAAATTCATCTTGTTGTGGGAAGATATCATCAAGAGAGCTGGGAATAAATACCTTAAAATCAACAATATTTTTAAAATAGGAATGTGGACCACAGTTTTGTGCCAGCTCCATGACTCACTCTTATTTTCATCTTGATAATTCATTGCAACAGTATCTGACTATTTTATTCCAACATTATCATGAAATTTTCAGATATTTCTAATGGTTACAGAGTTGTTGTCCTCTGAAACTTAACTCATCTTTCTCTTAGGCTTTGTGTTTTTAAATTTTTGGTTATTCAGTTTGGCTATTTGATTTTTAAAACTTTTCACAACAATTTGAAAAGATTAAATAGAACTGTCTTGCTTTCTATAGGCATCTTGGGAGACATATTGCTAGAACTGGTGGAGGGGCCAGTAGTAAGCTATGGCCAGTTGGACTTAAATCAAGGCCTGTGTAAGTAGATTAATATGCTTTGAAGTTTTTTATATTTAAGTTGCCTATTTGTATTTTTATCAGCTAGAAAGCCAATGCTTTTTTAATTGGAAAAAGTCTTTCCTTACAACCCAAAGGTTTTTCTCAGCCTTCCCCTTTTCATAATAGTTATCCTAGTTTAGTAGTTCCTATAATTCTTGATTTGTAACTTAAATGAAACTCTATTTGTAATATACTGCTCATGCATTTTGATATTGCATTGTTGTTTTGTCAATAGGTATCCTACCATACATGCACAAATTAAGTTATCATCTATACAGTCTCCTCTTTTTTTAGCATTCAATTTCTTAAAGCTTGAAAATTGCACAACCATGGCAGCAAAAATGCACTTAAACTTTTAAATTCAACATTTGTAGTTCATATTTTCATTCTATTACAAAAAGATCTAGAATTTTTGAATCAAATAGAGATTTGAAATTTCAAACATTTTCTGAAATAATAAAATCTTGCCTGTAGATTATGTAACATGGTCTAACAAATCTAGGCAATTGCCATGCTCCTTGACTTGATGTGAGATTAATTTTTCTGTAAGTGAAAAGCAAAAATGAAATGTCATTTATTTAAGCGTAACATTTTTTTGTAGAAAGAATTATGTCACAATTTTGAAAACAGTGTCCATTGTCAATAGTTTATCAAATGAAATTTTTGTGTGAAAAGCTTTTGGTCTAATTATTTTGTACTTAGCTTGTCTATTGTTCTGCTCGGAATTATGTGATTTGTTCTGCCCAGAATTATGTGATTTATCATGAAATTCTAGTGATAATCATATTATAATTCTTTTAAGCTAAGAAGACTTGGGGAAAATTTGTATTTATGGATCTGAATGTGATTATTTTTTGATAAAGCTATTTTTTGTTATCTTTAACATTCATGCCAACCATTCAGTTACTTACTTGTGCCCTCATTTGGAAAACTATTGGTTCTCTATCATTTTAACAATAGTACACCAATGCTAGCAGCTTTAGCCAGCAATACAACTGCAGCAGATAGAAAGATGAGGCCAGGTGAAGACTTCTGGAAGAAAAACGAGAGAATGGATCGACCAGTGTCACCTCATGTCCTCATATACAAGTTTGTCTTACAGTTTTTTACCAATAAATTCAAAGGGAATTATAGTTCCATATCACTTTTACCAAAACAATGACTATATATTCTGTGACCATAGTTCTTATTTATTTTGTTAAAAGATGACAATAAAATGTAGCCATGTATTAATTTGCTAATTTTTTATTGCTTAATTTTTCTGTAGACGAAGGTAATGATAATGCCAGTCTACACCATCAGAAATTCTTGTTTGAAATAGCCTTAAATCATCATTGTCTGTTTGCCAGCTTTCAAGAGCAGATATGTAAGTTTGCCAGCATTTCGGTAGACAACATAACTTGAAATTGAAGTAAAATTATATTAGGAAAATAATAGCAAATTTTGAAAACAGCGTTTGGAGTATAGCCTGTTATCAAGTCTAGATAACTTTATTACAAGACTGTTTTGTTTTACTATTCAATTGACCTAACATATAGTTATATTTTTATGACATATATTTTATATGTTTGCAGATTCGAACTACCTGGCCTTCTCTCAGGGTCACATAGAGTATCTGGTGTTATCTATTCTATTTGTAAGTTCTATCGTATTTTTAATTCCTTACTTACTTTTATGTTGTTTGTATACAATTTTATCACATAGATGGTTTATGCTTTCCCTCTAAAATCTCATTGCCAAGTCAAGGATCTGCAATTTTGGGCTCAGTATTTGAAAATGATAGAAACTAGCTTTCTTCCTGTTTTTGTTCAGCTTTTATTCATCTGATTTAGCAAGTGTTTTAGTAATTAGAAATTTCACGTAGCCCTCTTCAAAGCAGCTCGATTGGTTAGATCTGGATCCACACTAGATGTCTGGGTTGTAGGGGTCTGGAACACAGGCTTTTTAATCATATGATTTCTCAAACACATGCAATTTCTTCTCATTTCTGGTACTCAGCAAGCTTCAACAACATTTTTTGACTATTGCCTTTTTATTTAGCATCACTAAAAGTAGCACTTCATTCAATGTTTACTGCATATTTTGCACCAAGCACAGTTTGCCACCTTTATTCAAGACAAAACTTTAGTTTGGAATAGTTTTTAGTTCAACTGCTAATCCATTCTGATCTCTTTTCATTTAAGCATGACTTTGAATGTTATGTGTTTGCGATGATTGAACCAAAAATATATAGCATGCTTAAAACTCTGACTTATGGGCTAAGATCTTTAGCTATTTAGAAAGCTTTTTCAAGCACTTAAATTGATCAAATGAATTTACAGTTGAAATGACTTCTTAGAAGGGTATTTGGTACTCTTTGTATTGGCTTGGTAGCAAATAGTTTCAGGTTTGTCTTGAGGATTCTATCAGGTCAAAGTAGAGGCAGCTGTTTGCGACCTGAAATGCCTCCAAATACAAAGGCTTAGGTATCTTTTTTTCTGTTATTGCATTCATGGCAAAGACCTGGGCCTTGTGTTGACAAAAATTATTCCACATGCCATGCAACTGTATTTACAAGGGGGCCAAATGCTTGTTTGATAATTTTTATGTTAAACTGTTTTGTTGTTCTTGGCAGTGACAACTGGAATTGCAGGCTTTGCATTGGTGGCACCTGAGCATGCCCCTTATTACCTTGACATCATCAAGTCATGGAATATACCTACACCTATCTTATTCACCCTAAAAGGACTTCTTGTTTGGCCATTCATTTACCATTCATGTAATGGTATCAGGCATTTGGTAAGTCATAGATATTTCAAATGTTGCTTTGCAGTTTAATTTTTAGTTTTATTATAATTTCAGGCCAGCTAACTTATGCTAGCTATAATGTCAGGCTAGCTAACTAATTTACAACCTCAGTTTATGTTTAATGTTTAGCAGGCGACATTGAGGTGATGTGATTTGTTTACAACTAATATACTAAAGCAAAACTTACAGTTTTATTTATTTTCTCTTTAGTATTCTCTGTCTAAAATCAATAACCAATTTTTATGCTCCAAATTACTCTTTTATCTTGCATTTGAAAGGAGCTGTTGATTTCATTTTTCGATTTTTTGTGGAATTACAAGATTGGCTTTTGTTTATATAACTTTATCATGGTTTAGATTTGAACAGATCTAGTATTCTCTCCAGGCTTTCATTTTTGATTTGTTACATTTCCTTTAAAAAAGCAGGAGTTGATTCAAGTGTCTTTTTTTCTCATTATCATTTAACTGCTGTAAATTCTACATCAATGCTTTTCTATCTTAGTTCTGGGACGCTGCTAAAGGCTTCAACATGCCAACACTGTACAAGACAGGGTATTCTGTCCTTGCAGTGTCCACTCTCCTCGCTGCTGCTACTGCCTACTACTTCACGTATGCATGAGACATTCATAAATGGACTTCATACCAAACTTTTAGAGTGTGCTTAATTTTGCTGCTTTATATTTTCAAACTGTTGTGTTTGTGGATAATTTAACTCTATATTGATGCATATTGAATTTTGATATTTGTTTATAATTTGAACTAGAGGCCAACTTGCTAATTTTATTTTTTCATCTTCCATTACTGAAGCTTGGAAAAAGAGTTAAAAGTTAGATGAAGAATGTTGCAATTTTTCATGGAGAAACAGTGTCATCTTAGTTTTGACTATTGTCACTGATAATTTACCTCAAGGATGGATTATTTATGAACAAATTAATTAAGGGTCCATTTCTTGCTGTGGACATATTTTAATTGAAAAACTGTTTTTTGTGAAACTTGAATCAAGAATATAAGACACTTTAGTCGTGATCAATAACCAAATTTTCCATTGAATAGTTCTTGAGCATCTAAATTGTCAACTCTCTTCTAATCAAGTGATGTCTTTGAAACAAATCTAGTTGCATTATTCATCTCCTTTGCTGCAGAACTTGCAACATTTAATGCTTGGAGTGTTTTAGTAATGTTCAATGGATTAGCAAATTAAAACAGTTTTATCCAACTTTGTTGAGTTTGTCTGTTTATTTCTTGTTCCTTTGAATTTTTTTAAATTAACTCTAAAAATTCACGATCGGACATTTAACTATCTAAGCTTGGCTTAAAATTACGTTGTTTCATTCACGGATTGGATGGACATGTGCTCATCGAGTTTCCACCACCAAAAGCATTATGTACTTTTTCAAGAAAGCATTATTAAAAACACTACAGATAGACAGTACAGGATAGAACTATTGCTGCAATTATCTGGAAAATCTTTTTGCTTCTTTTATATATAAGTCATGGTTGTTTCAAAATTAATACTAATTGCAATTTTCTTTTTGCAAGGTAGAAAACAACGATGTGTGATTCTTGTGACAGTATTTGTATTAAAAGTAATATTGGTGCCATACGCGATCAGATCAGATTGCTATCTGATCAAATAGGTCTAAGTTTTTGCTAACATGTTTTTAATCAAGCTGTAATAAAATTCTTTGTCGAAACATAAACTTGATGTCCCGAAGATTTAAGACTAGAAGCAATGTCGAATAAAGACTACAAGCAAAGACTCGGGCGAGTAGCTAAACCGACATTTCAAATTTCATCTTTTCAAAATCCAAGGCTTAACAAGTATCGGAACGATTGATACAACAGAAGGTGGTTTCCCGAGCTGTGTCTGTTATTGCAAGAAAATACGGTGCCTGACAATATCACGCAAGTGATTCCCCCAGGAGAGGGTAGGCAGAGGAAAGGGCACTGCTCACGATATGCCTAGAGAAAGTGGAACAAAGCTACTTTTTTCGGTTGCACGATACGAAAGTGAATCAAAATAAGGAGTATCAGGATCCCGACGTCGGAGTGACAGGATAGCCATTTCTCTAGCTTTTGCAAAATCTTGCTTTTTTGAGCTTTTTAGCTAACTATTTGTTATGAGTTTTCAATTTGCCTTTGCCCCACTACTATTTTCTAACTTGTGTCGGATATGCAATGAAAATTATCAACAAAGTATTCAGTGCAGATCTCAAAGTTGACTTTACACTGGCAGCCCTTTATTCACATGAAAATTAATCATACGAAAATTTGTTTCTCAATTTAATTTGAACATATATGTAAAAAATATTGCAAGAACTGAACTGAGTCAAAAGTATTCAACATTGAATAAGAAAATGTTTAATGTAAAATATCAAGCGTTTCGATATCAAATTTGATTTTTTTTAAAAATAAAGTTTTCCTTACATCCGTCCTGTCAGAGTTAAATTTCTTGGCAATGCTTCTTTACTTACTGTATACTGTACATAGATTAAGTGGTGTACAGGCCGCTCGCTAGCTATTGTGCTCAAGGGGGGTTTCCAAGTTTCTTTTGACGACAAGTTTGGAAATTTGCCGAATAAGCATCCCTAGATGGTAAAAAATTCTCGTTTTCGCAGTGGAATTTTCTGTCAAGGGGGTGTCACCATCACAACCCCCCCCCCTCTATGGCGAAGGGTCTGGTGGTGTACAAGGACAACGGAGCATATTACAGATTGAGAAAGCCCCCCCACCCCCCGCTCCCCTGCTTCCGCAGGCACCATGGAGCACGGGGGGCTGAGGGGGGCTTTAGCTCCCCCCCAACTTTTTGCAAAAAATGCCAAATATTTAGTAATAAACTACCAATAAAGCCTCTTTTTATACGGTTTTAGCCACCCCACTTTTTAGGTACCCCCACTTTTCTCAACACTCCACGGTGCCTGTCCACGGTCCCTGGTGGTGTATGGAAATAAAATTTGTGAAAGGCTTGTGGCATGACGACAGACTGCCAGCCAGGAGTTTTGATGATGTAGCAAACAAGGGTCTGGGAACTAGTTCGCTGTTCTCTCCTTCGCCATCATTGCAAACGTGGCGAACTGAAGGAATAAAGTAGGAAAGACAGTAGCAGTATGGAAAATATCTAACCTGAAGTACGGATTTCTCAACTGAAAAGGAACCACATTATTTCAATCAAAATCCATCCTCTTTGTGAAAATGGTATGTGGGAGTTTCATATTTTTGGAGGAACACCATAATGACAATAGTTTGTGCAGATAGGCCTTATTTTCATTTTTGCAGCTTGCCTTTAGGCACATAAATCTAGAATATAGTGTGATCTATTAACTTGTTTGTGCACCAAATTCTGAACTAGAAAAAAAATTTCCGTCAAACCAATTTTTAAGCCGCTTTTGGAAATATTTGTTTTGGGGCTATCTATCGTATCACCGAAAAATCATGTTACTGTCGTATTTTGATACCTGTCTTGATGGGTTAGATAGGCCTAACTTAGATTTTTTCGTAAAATCGCAAGATTGATTGGAAACTGACCTTATCGTTGTCTATGAATATATATATATATATAAACCAATAAGATTCGAAGATATCAGTATAGCTTTGTATGGCATATTCGTCGTCGAAGCTACAGGAAGATGTCTAGATATTGGTGGAAACATTTAAATTTATGAAAGTGGCGTGATCTGTTAAAATAGGCTTACTCGCCACCTATTATTAATGCCTTCTATTTAAGAACAGCTATATTAAGTTGTGTCACTTATAGATAAAAATGGATTTGATTCATTGTCAAAACAAGATTAATTTTAACTATTACTAACTAAAGCAAAACTATTACTTTGAAGAGTTGATGGGACAGATTATTTGAAATTTATGTTCCAAGTAATTTACACAATCTCTTAGACACCATCAAAAATTCTTTTGGTGCCATTTAACAAAATTAGGGCATTGAGGGAGAGTGGGTTCAGCTGGATTCTTTTAAAGATTGTTTATTTAGAACAAAAGTTGAAAGAATTGATTCAATGTATACTTATCATCGAATAGTATTTTGTAGCATTGTAAGTCCTAAAGCTAGCCAAAACACTCATTTACAACAATTCTCCTTGGATATCACAATCTAGTTAGTATGTGGTTTTTTAAAGAATTTTGACATACAATTTATCCTTTGTATAATGTGCGTTTATAATGTTTCGTTAACTTGGACATTTGTTGATGATTATTTTTGTTGATTATTTACCAAAAAGCAGTAGAAATTACTTGTAATTTTACATTTTTAATATAGTTCAATTTATTTTCAACAAAACAAGCTATTCATTGTAACTTTATAATAACTCCATTGTCAGAGACACAAATCCTGGCTTGCTAACTATTGTCAATATAGCCCTTCTTTCCAAATTCTAACACCTATAATGAAGAAAGGCTACTGGCTGTTGTAGCTAGACATGTTGCATGACAAAATATTTTGTACATGTCTAAGTAAACTTTGATATTTTATGAGGAGGTTTTCCTGTTTGCTTCTTTCCTTTAAATTAAATTATGATAATTATCTATTATTTTATTGAATGCAGGTGCTCTTGGCTGCAGCAATTTGTACCAAAAATGGCAAAGGTTTGTTTTTTCTTACTTACACTATTCAACTATGCGAGGGACTATTTAAAACTTGTTTTTCAAAAACAGGGACCCATTCTAATTTGCCATTTTTCCTCTCAACCCTACTTTCGACTGAACCTGGATATAGATTTATAATGAATCACTTTCATGTTTCCACTTTGCATACCATTTTGAAATTGTGCAGCAAAAAGGGATTGTAGATACAAAACCATCTGTCGATCAGTCATATCTAGATGAAATTCTAAAAGAGAGAGTTGAGGACAAATGGAATTTCACATTTTTTATTCTCTAAAATTTGCATTGACCATAATTCTAAATCTTCATAAAACTTAAAAACTTTTAAGTATATGCTATATTGATGCATTTGGCTATTTGTTTTTCACGCTTTTATTTTGATTTACCCAAAATGTTATCACATAGTTTATTTGAGTCTCTAAGCCTTGAACTGAAGAGTACTATTATACAGCCAATACTTTGTTATATCTATGAAATAGATACCTGATGTTATAAATAATCTTCTATCTTCTGGTGTAGCATTATACAGCCAATACTTTGTTATGTCTATGAAATTGATACCTGATGTTATAGATAATCTGAATCAACTTGAGCCATCTTTTTCTTCTAGCCCTTATCTCAAGGCAGTTTGTTGAGATGACAAAGTCCCGCATTGAAGGACTTCTGTCAGCTTTCCCAAAGTTGATGAATACAGGAAAGCAGCACACATTTGTTGAGACAGAAAGCGTTAGATATGTGTACCAACCATTAGACAAGTTGTTCATGCTCTTGATTACAACTAAAGCAAGTAATATTTTGGAGGACTTAGAAACACTTAGACTTTTTTCAAGGGTGGTGAGTACCAATTTCATATAGCTGTATATATATATAAATATATATTTTTATCTATGAGTTTATGGAGGCTTGGATTGGAGGTTAACAGGCTGTTAATTTCTGAGATGTTGGTAGGAGAAGCTCTTGGTGGAGTGGGGTAAAGAATAAGCTTAGCTGGGACATTTTTGGCATTCTGTTTTAAACAGTCATAGAAGAATATTTCTTGTCTTCTGAACGTTTTGAGATAAGTCTTGTCATTTCTAGGTTCCAGAATACTGTAAAATTTTGGAAGAGACAGAGATCTTAGAGAACTCCTTTCAATTACTATTTGCATTTGATGAGATAGTTGCCCTTGGGTATCGTGAAAATGTCAACCTTGCACAGATTAGGACATTTATTGAGATGGACAGCCATGAGGAAAGAGTCATAAATGCAGTCAGAAGGGTATGTGTAATATGCCAACTTTAAGGCTTTAAGGGTATTTCAACACTGTAACATCTGCAATTGTTTCCGTGTCAGATTTGTGATGTGATTTTGTTTTGATTAATTACTTCATGGTAAACAGGCCTTCCCTATAAGAGGTTATTTGGTTTCAGTGTGATCACCATAGTTCCATGTGCAATATCTGCATCTGTTTTTGACAACTTGCAATTGATAAGAAATTGTTTTTTGATCGGTATGAGCTGAGTTCATGTGACTAGTTCCCGGTCAACTGATATATCACCTCAGGCAAATTATGGCTCAGTGGATTTTGGTACGTTTGGGCCTTTTGTAATAACTCAATGCCTTAAAGTCATTGACAGTTGGTATTGAAATACACAATTAAACATTCTTGAGAAGTTCTTTTGTCCAGGAATGCCAAATTTTTCCAGATATCTTTCCTACTGAGTCATTCTTTGCCAATCCAAATGAGAGTCAGAGAAGAATCATTGAAAAAGCTGTATGTTTCTTTGTACTCATTTCTTGTGATAAACAATTTTTTGTAGACACAAGAAATAGAAGTGAAAGAACAAATGAAAAGGAAGGCAAAAGAGCTGCAAAGAGCTGCAGCAGGCAGAGGAAAAACCAGTACACTTCTTAGTGGATTTGGTAGCATGTCATCTTCAATGTCTAGAAATGAACCAAGCAATCCTGTTGTTGGTGATACTGCTATTTCCGAACCTTCTCCACCAAAGCCTTCATACCCAACAAGGTATGTGATTACCATTGGAGTTTTCACTGCCCATGAAAAGTAACACATAATAACAAGAGCTCTTATTCAATACATTTTACAATTAAATAACATAGATTCTCTCATTTTTTTATGTTGTTGGTAGATGTATTTAATTTTAAAACTTTAAAAACTTTTCTTTATTTATGTAACAAAAAAAGGAAAATTAAACAATTTCATAAGGGCTGGTGACACTCATGTTATATTTATTTTAATCTGTGCCAGTTAGAACTGTTTTATGTCAATGGAGCTCTACCTATTATTAAAAGAGTTGAATCTTTTGATAGCAAAAAAAATTCTTACGCTTAATGATTTGAAATCTTTTTAATTAAAAAATTTTGCTATTTTGAAGACCAACGGGAAGTGGAAAAGCCCTAAAGCTTGGAGGAAAAGGGAAAGATGTTGACTCATTTGTCGACAAGCTCCGGCAAGAAGGAACAGGTGAGCGTCTATATATGCCCTTGATTTGCTTTTTATTAGATTTAAAGCAAAGGACTCAATTATTTTTTTAGTTGAAAGATGATGATGTTTCTATTTTTATCTAAAATGTTTTCATTTAGAAGCAGTTTAATTTCTGCACTGTCTAGGAATCCATTTTACACAATTTTACGCCTGGAATTCCCAACAAAAATTGTTGAATTTGATATTGTGAAGACAAAGTCATAATGGCTAAGCAGTTAGATCATTTAACTGCAACAACGAGAAACAAGATAACCGTTCAAAAGTCCCCTACCAATGTTGCATGCCTTTGTAGGTTCTGGTGGGTGGGGGGTGCTTATTCATTAGATCATTTAGACCGCTAGATACTAAGCTATGATCTTCTTTTTCAGAGGTCATCACCCAAGCATCTTCAAGACAACCAACAAAAGCACCCACTCCATCTGTACCCATGTCAAGGTAAACCTCACTTCAAATCCCAAAGCAAGTCCCATTTTCGAAACCATACAGGCAGTTTTTGGCAACAGAAACAAAATACCGTAGCCTGCCTTTAGTAAAAACTCACCTCTCTATTTCTGCTTTGTATTAAAATGGTGTTGACACTGGACCACCATTTCAATCTCTCATACATTTTTCTTCTTTTTCTTTAATCCCCTCCACATTCTATCCTTCCCTTGGTTTTCGTCCTTCTTGCCCATCTTTTCCAGCTTTTCCAGCTTTCTATTAAATTCGGAAATTTGGACTGCCAACTGTTTACATTGAACTATATATTATTAACATTGTTATATATTTACATTGAAAAGCTATTTGCTGGAATATTTAAAAGTAAAAACTTTGCTTTCTTTTCTCTATTGAAAATCACTCACAGCTGGCTTTTTCTAATTAGAATGAAATGTCTATTTGGAGTTCAATGCTGTTACTCTTTCAAAAAAATTTGCAGTTGAATATATAAGTATATATATGGTGGGGTTTAAATAGAAACTGTGAAACTCTGAAATAAAACTGTCTCTCTTTCACCTCAAGATAAATTTTCTTTGGTCTTTGTTTTCATATGAACTGTCACGATTCTGTTGTTTTTCGTTTAAAGAAAGTGGGCAACCCCTTTGTTTCTCTTCTAGTGTTCATATTAAAGTAGATGAGAAAATCACGTTATCTGCTGGTCGCCATGGAGGGCTACAAAACATGGAAGTCAGGGGAATGGTGTTGCTGAGAATATCTGACCCTGCTATGACAAAGCTTTGCCTAAAGGTTGATAACATTGATGATAGGGGTTTCCAAATGCAGGTAAGACAATATTTATTGAAATGAAGGCATAAGTCAATACTTGTAAGGCAACGATTTTCGGCCTCTTGAACCAGCCTCGTTTATTCAATCAGCTATACTTTTTAGCAAACAATGGACCATATATGCTTTAACGCAACGAGGCGATTATACGTATCTGTATCAGAGTTTTAGATTGGTCATATCGCTAACTCAAGCCTCCAAGGGAACGATGAAAATTGTTCAAGTTAACCATTATTCAAATTATTAGGCGTTTGAATATATTTGGAAAACTTCAAGTTATCGGGTTATACTAAATGTCTAGACAATCTCCGTCGTAAGAGTTGTTTGCGAAGGGTTATACCGTTCCTATTTTCGTTTTGCTCGACAAAATAGCTACATGCCTGCAAAGCCAAGGCGGCCATTTTTCCCTTTTAGAGTATTTTAAGTAAGAAATATTTGGATTCAAGTATGGTTTTGCCGCAGACAAAACAGTTGTTTAATAGAGACAGAAAACTAATTCTAAGACTCTGTTGATAACTGAAGAACTCAAGTTTCCTGTTCGTTTCCTGCTCGTTTCTTCTCGTCTTAGCTCGTTACTGGTCGTTCCTTATTTTAGCAAATAAGTTATGAAAAATTATCTACCTTTGATTAGCCACACATGCATTTCTGAATTCTTCATCCTCTACATTATCGGGTCCCCTCTTTTTTAAAGAATTATTATTCTTTTGGTTGCTTCATTAACGAAAATTTGAATGCATGTTTCCTATGAAAGTATACTATTTATTTTCTTTGCCAAGCTATAAAAACCTGCATTTATTACGTTTAAACAATAAAATAGGCAAAAGTTCGCGACTATCAAATTTCCTACTTGTTTTTGTCAATGTTGAATCCGAACAATGTGGATTTTGATGTATGCAATTTAAAACCATCGCTAGAAGGTTAGAGTAAACCCGAAGTCACAGCTTTTGTCTTAAGTATTTGAATTAGAAATAAACAGATTGGAAGTCATTTGGAGTACTAAGAAAATATTTACCTTTCTGGTACATTTTGTGTCTATAATCTTGTTCTTTTTTGTGTTGCATTTACATGACCGAATATCAAGCTGTTTTGTTATCAATCCTGTGTTTATTTTTTTTCTAGACGCATCCAAACATAGATAAAAAACTTTTCAGCCAGAACTCTGTCATAGGACTTAAACAAAGTGGGAAGGGCTTCCCCCTCAATAACGAAATTGGCGTGGTGAAGTGGCGGTTGCAGACAAAAGACGAAAACATGATACCGTTAACGAGTGAGTTGCTATTTATCTTTCTTATAAATATTTTACATGAAATATTAAATATTTTACATAGGTAAATATAAAGATTTTACATTATGAATTTTCAAAAGTATCTTTTGTCAGTAGATACCACACCGCTCCACCCTTTGAAAGACGTATTCGTCTTTTTCTTCTAGTTAACTGTTGGCCCAATGAAAACGATGGACAATGCGAAGTTACAATTGAATATGAATTGAATCTCGAGGACCTGGAACTGAATGACGTCACGATTCAAATACCTGTACCGTAAGTATTTATAGGCATCAGTTTGAGTGAATGATAGTTTAAAAAGGCGTCATTTGACCGCGCTGGATGTGTTTGTTATAAATTATTTCTGGGATTAGATGGTTAAATTTCTTGTGTTTCTTCCTGTGTTGCCAAAAAAGCACGTCCAGATGTGTTGCCAGAGTTTATGAATTGAGAACGAGAAGATAATTTCTCGACAGTTTATGCTTAGTGCTAAACACGTTGGAGATGATGGTTTATTTTCAGCGAACAATTTTTTGCATCATATATAAACCGCATAATGTTGCATACACTAGGTTTAGTGTGATATTTCTGCGATTTCTGAAATCAAAGTTTTGCATTAAAGTTTCTTTGCAGTCTTGTATATTTGCGAGTCTTTTGTCCTTGACCGTCTAAATGGTATTATATTTAATTTTGTTAGCGTATAAAGTTCTTTCTTGTTGAGTTAACACCCCCTGATAATTCATTTTCACAGATCCGGCGTTGGTGCACCTGTAGTCGGTGAGGTGACAGGAGACTATTATTATGATCAAAAGAAGTCAATGCTTGATTGGCAGTTGCCTGTTATTGATGCATCGAATTCTCAAGGGAGTTTAGAGTTCTCAATGGCCGGTCACCCTGATGATTTCTATCCTATAAATGTTTCGTTTTATTCACAGAAAACCATCTGCAAGTTACAGGTCAGTTACATTTTTTAATTCTTATGTCGCCAGGGAATTATAAATAGTTTTGACTTTGCTGTAACTAAATTGAAATAATCATATGCTTTTATTTCTTCGCTTTTGCTTAAGAACAGGATGGTCTCCGAGTGTAACCCTTAATCGTACTATCACCAGCCAACTAGTTTGACAAACTCGTATGTTAATTAGGAAAACTCGTATGTTGTCCTATGCTTGTAAAGCAGCACTCAACATTTCAACCTGTTTCAAGCAGGGACAGTCAAATATTGGGAGGGGCAAGCCGATTATTTTGAAAAGATAACATTACATTTTCTCATTGTTTAAGAACAGAAAACGATCGCCCAACGCCCTCCCCCCCAAGTGTCCGCCCCCAAGTGTCCGCCCCCAAATATCCGCCCCAAGTGTCCGCCCCCAAGTGTCCGCCCCCCCTCCAGTGTCCGCCCCTAGTTTCAAGCCAATAACAATAAAGCAGTTATATAAAGATCGCAGTGGTACAGTTGAAAGCGTAGGGTTTAAAGCAGTTTTAACGTTTTGTATACCGGGCTTTATCTAATGATTGAAATGTTTGGGTATATATTTGACATTAAATATTTTTTTCTTCTTTTAGGTTTTAGATATACTGAATTCCGAGTCAAAGACAGCTGTTAAATATTCTCATGAAAAAGCATTGACTGTCGAGAAATATGAAGTGGTTTGAGGATCAGACATTTTATATTCAGTTGATTCATTGAACTCAATTAATGAACTAGGCCCACTGAAAGAGTTAACAATTTATTTGAATTATTGTCTTGCAGTCATTATCGTAAAGGTTCATAGCCTTGATAATGAGTTACAGCCAAACCAACATATTTTTCAAATAACATTTATCTCAATAATTGCGAGTTTTTTAAATGCCCTATTTATAGAGCCCTAAAAAGATAGAACCGAAAATCACACTTAATAATTTACAAGTAAGGTCGCCGTTATCGTTATTTTATCAAGTGACTGAAATGGGTTCCGCTCAAGGGATGAAATACTGTTGACCCTTTAATATATCATAGTCTACAGGTCATAAGTCAGAGGTCAGAGGTCACGCTTTGGGTTTGTTGTATTCTTCCCTATTCAAACAACTGCTCGGGTTCCGTTTAGAACATTCTTTGGATGTATTACTATGCCCAAATAGTTCCCCTTTGACCCCAATTTTCGTAGATTCAGCTTAGTTGCTTGTAGATCAGAGTTAAATACCATATTCTTTCTTCATAAGGTAATCAGAATTGAAACAGTTCGTTTCTTTGTGGTTGTTACTTCTCTGCATCGTTGTGTTGGAAACAGTGTTAGAAAACGGTTTTTTAAAACTGTTAATTGGGAAAAACTCTTGGCCCCAGTTGGTTCTATATGAAGAGAAATAGCCCTCTGGATCGATTAAGTATAATTCTCGTGGAACAGCTGGTATGGGCCATGGCGCTTTGACCAGTGGACGCCTTTTTTACAATATTTTACAAGAGATTAGTTCTATCAAGGCTTTTCGAGTTGGAGAGGCGCGTTTTTCTCAAAAGAAAAGTTCCATTTTAGTTTAATCGAATATATATTTTTTTGGAACTTTGGAACAAATTTCTCACCTTTAAGCATTGATCCAACTGCAATTCCACTGATGATCTCCACTTAAAAACCACTAGACTCGTTGTGCCCTATTTACTCGACTACAAGCCGCCTTCGTTTATGAGCCGCCGTCGTTTATAAGCCGCCCTTGATTATAAACCGCAGCAAAACGTGGCAAAAAATTGATTATAAGCCGCGGCTTATATTCGAATAATTACGGTTAGCGGCGTACGTAACGTTCAGCTGCCACTGCACGAGGGCTCACCGTACCCAGGTGGACAGGTTCAAAGTTCAAACCTTAGCTTTCACCGTATTAGAAAATTGTGATCGCCCAGAAATGTTTTGTTGCAAGACACTTGCTTTTCACGTGCACAATTGTGAATCAGCAGCTAGTGTACATGTGATTTTCGAAGAACTGATCGGATTTTTGGCAAATTGCCTCTCAATACCTATTAAGTAACAACAGAGCGTGGTGCCTCTCGCAACACGAATGGCAACTTTTGATGGGTTGATGATGGGGATCAAAGCAAAATACTTAACGTTTTCGCTTCAATTTACAGGTATTTCACGTTTTGTTCTTACAATTTCAATTTTTGTATACAACATTTTTTTATGTACATTATATTCTATTTCTTAACCATTTTTATTTTTTTAATTGATACATGTAGCTGGGCAATTCTATTTCTAGCCCGTTGTGTCAAAATTTAAATTGATGTTGTAACTTTCCATTTAATTCATGCAATGAGACATTTAATTGTAACCAGAACTTCTCCGCCTGTTTTGCTAATTTTTTTACACGAAGCATCGTTTAAGCATTATTAGATTTTTAGAAATGTTTACTACTTGCGGCGAAAAGTTGATGAAATGTAAGAAACAATGAACGCCGCAGCGCGCCGAGAACAAACAACAATGAACACAAGTAAATTAATGGTAGGTAATATTTCACCCTGGCATACGGGGCTTGAATTTGAAACCCCGAAGAGCGAGCGACAGTGACTACCCCATAAAGAACCTGGTAGAAATTACAATGAAAAAGATATTTATTACTAGCGTTTTACATAACAAAAGGTACAATTTACATGATAAAATTTAAGATAATATAAAAGCAAGATAAGAACAAAAGTTTTTTCAAAAATTTGTCCGTACAAGATTTTAGCACTAAGATTTTTGGTTATTACTAGTAGGCAATTTATTTTTCTTAGACCTTTATACAATATTATACATTCACATTTTAAATTTCTATAATATTCGTATTATAATATTCGTATTTTGATATAACATTCCTCTTGATTGGGTTTTTATATATTTTTTAATGGCTTATAGCTTGGAGGCTTAAAGGTAACCCCACATCCAGGGATTAAAAAATTACAAAGTTTGATCAGTCAGAGTTCGAATTCCCTAGCAAATCCTGGAAAAAATCTATAGAGACAGAAATATTCGAACATGACCTAATATTCAGCCTGATCTTTTTAATTGGGGGAAGGGGGGCACTTTCCTATTCTATTCATAGTGCGTGCTACTAAGTGAGTCTGGTACCCAAGGTAAGTGCTTGCTGATGTTTCGTAGATAACCATGGGCTCCGATTAGGTTGGGAGGGGGGGCAAGGGAGATTTTACAAATCATAACAAAAAATGTTTAGTAAAGTTCTATTGTTTTGCAAAAAAGTGGCGGGGCCATGGCCCCTCCAGGCCCCTCTTTGTCGGAGGCCCAGATAACTGGTCTAGATTTATCCATTAATCATAAAACACGAATTGTTTGTACAACTTTGTATCCCAACTTTTGATGATTCAATTTATTCAACTTTTATGCCCTTTAGCTAACCTATGATCATTATTGCACATGTGATTTGTGGATGGTCAACACAAATGTTTTTAAATGTAAGCGAACAGCCTCAATTTGTATAGGGCTGCAGCGAATTCAACACGTTTTTCATAATTTAGATGCTAGCTGATTTTGTTGAAAAAACTAAGATCTTTCAAGTACAGCGGGGCAAATTACGGACTGAGGGGGCTACGATCTTTTGGGATTGAAGATTGCTAAAACCAAGAGCAAGGTGATTTTTGGATGGTTTTGAGAGCGTTGAGGGGAGTCAGATGCTCAACCCCTAATCCTTTTCTAAATGCCAAAGAAATTATTGATGCTTTTTTCAAGACATTATTACAAGAGCTCCATAGTACTTTTCAAAACACAAACACCACTGTAAAAGCTATTATAGTCATTCTAATCATTGTGAACTTTATGATTGTGTCAGAAATATTTAGCAATAAGGCACTATGATTAAAAAAGAATAAAAATGATGTATTTTTGTTGAATTTCTGGGACGTTCACACACCTCGTTCTCAATCACACCTTTGCAGAACCTCCTCTAGAGTTTTCGTACATTTCATTGTCAGGTGACCCAACAAAAATGGCTGAGGGTACTGTAAAGGTGAAAAACCACCTTCCACCAGGAGTAAGGTGCCTTCGCTCATTCTCTAACGATGACACACCGCCGAGTGAAAATCGGTGAGTAATTTAGGAATTTTCCAATTATTTATTTTAAGTCTTGATTTGTTATTAAAGATTGCCGGCTTCCGGTTAATCTTTAGACCTTTATGGCTGCTGAAATATAATTAGTGATTAGACTTGCTCCATTATTTTTAAATTGGTTAATTCTTTGCTATAATTACAGTTTGATCTGTTTAGGCCGTATGCAGTGTATATGAAAAATATTATTTCAGACGTAAAGGTATCACAGACGTCATGGCGTTTGATCTGTTCCTTATCCACGTCACAATTGTGCTGCCTATCTTTTTGAAAACATTCCACAAATCATGATTATGATAATATTCGCAAGCAGTCGCTCAAGCTAGCCAATTTTATTTTAGTAGCAATGATGGAGTATTGTTTGTCGTGGTAAATTTGGGTCATTTGGGTGTACCTAGCCCACAAATGGCCACACCATAAACACCTTGAAACGTTTTCTGAATATTTTAAAAATTTGATTTTTCGGTTGCTTAGAAAACAGCTTATTTTGAAAAATTCACCTGCCTAAACTAGAATGCGCAAAAAACATTTCCCAATTCTCCATTAACAAGGCACAATAATCCTACATTTTCTGTTCTTTTAAAACTGTTTTAATGCAAATAATTATTCAAACCAGAGTCTTACCATGCTTTTATGCTTTGGCCATGATTTTGGAAATCTTAGCTGCTTCATGATCATGCGTCAAGAGTCTTTATTCTTTAAAAAATTGTTGAATGCAATATACTTTGAAACTTTCTAATAAGAGAACAGGATTTACAGTCCATATTTTGGAACTTACATTTGATAATTTTTAGTATGTGAAAAATATTATTTTGATAAACTTATTGTGTTTACTTACTAAATTTCAAGGGCTTAAAAAAATTTTCTGTTCTTCTTGCACTATATAAAGTCATTAGATCAAAACCTGTATAGTTTTAGACATACTTTTTAAATATACTATTTGTTATGTGATTGTTCTTAAAATACGATTGACAGCAAAGTTTTAAGTTTGCTAACTGTGGTCTAAAAACTTTAGTGGAGTGGTATAGGGCTAGTGGTTTTCCAAAAGATTTTTTAGCATATGGCAAGTCTCAAATAGCCTTACATGCTGCATTGTAGGGTTGATAACTTTGTTGATCTCTCAGAACTCTACAAAAATATTAAGACTAAATTAAGTGGCTTTTGATTGGTATGTTTTTCTCTTATGATAGTGTATGAAAACATTTGCTCCTACAACACAAGTCAATACACCAAAGTGGTCAACTGCAAGGCCAGTATGGTCGCAGATTGTTCTTTTCAAATCAAAAGTCTTTAGCCCGCTGGTTTTTTCTAATATTGTTCCTTATCATGGTAATGCGTTTCTCTCTCCCAGTTGTTTTGAAGTTACCAGAATAGGGTATGATACCTGCAATTTCTTTTTAGAATTAATTAAATGACATGTGCATCAAACTTGCATCAACCTATAGATTTACGATTAAGTTTCATTAAGATTAATTTAAAATTCTATATTTTCAGTTACAAGGCATTTGTTCTGGTGCTCACCTTTATGGCATACACCTCTTATCATCTTGCCAAAAGACCAATTAGTGATGTGAAGGTAATTATATGCAACACCTCTCTGTTTGATCGCTAGAAAAATGTTAAATCCCATCTTTTGTAGCCTAAGCATCTTTTGTAATTTAGACTATGTTTTGACTAGATTTTGACTAGACCTTTACACATGCCTATAATTCCCTAGGCATGCTTTTGATGGCAATGGCAGAACCACATTTTGACTGACTATTTTTTTCTCTAATTTTCCCGCAGTTGTTTTTGTTAAACTCAAAGTTTTTGATTTCTTTTGCATGAGTTGTCTTGGTGGAATGTCTGGGAACATAATCACACTGTAAAAAACCTAATGTATGCTTTCCTTGTATGTTTCTATGTTGTATGCTTATCAAAGTAAGTCTGTTGCCTTCTAAATTTATTTGTTATAATTTAGGGAACGTGGAATCCAAACTGTACAGTTGAGAGAGTAAATAATACCTGTGCTGCCTGGAAGCCTTTCAGTGAGTTCCTTTTTTATAAAAAGTTCTTTGGTTCCTTTCTATCACCTAAAGTTGTGGTGCCATTTTTGTGTTATCATACATTGTCAGACTGATTTTTGCTTGCTAACTTTTAATAGAAACAGATGCCTTATTTTCAGTGTGAAAATTTGGATTGAGGTTGCATGAAAAGATTCCCCATTGCCTTTTTTATTGTAAAGGTGACAAGAAGTCAGTGATCAGAGATTTTTCTTCAGTTAGAGAATATACTATTAAATGTTATTTAAAATCTTGTCACAAAAACTGTGCTACATTTTATATACAAAGAAAAAGTACACTATGTGTTGGGTTTGAAGTCACATATACATATACATATATGTAGAGTTCACTTTTTTCAAGCAAAGTGTTTAACAAAGGATCAGAATTTTGATAGTCTCAAACATTAGTATAACCCATAAAGTAATTTTTTCTTTGTCATTTCCATTCTTGAACAATCATGATATACTCTAAGCAAAGGTAAAGCCTGGTTCCCATATAATCATAAGAGTGTCAGCAACGGTCTGCGACAGTCTGCGTCAGTCTGTGTTGGTCTCCTGATGACTATGAATCGCAATGGATGTAATTAACCAATCAAAGGAAAGTGATTTGGCGCGTTTTTGCTTGCTGTTGTCTTGTTGTCAATGGGAAAACTTTTTCTTTGATCGTTATGGAGGATGGAAGAAAGGATTGGCGACATGTTCCGACTCTTACGATTTTTGGGAACCAGGCTTCATGGAAGATGGAAGAAGGGATCAATGACACGTTCATTTCTCTTACGATTTTATGGGAACCAGGCTTAAACGATGTAATGATAGAGTCTTTTACTGAGATCATGACTTAAGTACGTATATAGAACAGGATGGGACAGTTAGATAAGTAGACAATAATCACGCTGAATCTTGGAAGAGCAACATTTTGCTTTAAGCTTTTAAAATACAAATACAAAACCATGTTAAACAAGTCAACTTTGAGAGCTCTTTCCAGCAATGCAATATGATTACCTCTCAAGGAATGAGGTTTCTGCTTTTTACACAGCTGCCGAATATTTAATTTGTGCTTGGTGTGTCTTCTGTGGTACATGCTCTTGTGACACAGATTATATGCAAGTTCCCATGCCGCAGCTACTGAATGACATTTGTGTTATTCTCTTTTAACCTGGATGACAAGAAAAAAATGCCCATCAGGGCATTTGATTTTTGTTGTATTTATACTTTTGGCTAGAAAGTGTATTAAGACACAGTCCTTTTCAAGACTGTTAAGGATACAAGAATTTCTTAAGAAATTTAGCAAGGTCTTTTTAATTAATCACAATTTGGCCTTATTTACAGGGTTTTCAAAATGGTATTTGTAGGGTTTCAACTATGTTAAAGATTAAATGTACACTGTGAATTACAGCTATAATTTTAATGGCTTTGGTTTGTGATTCATTTTGGACACAAAGGGAAAACCATGCTGTTAGAATCGTATCAATTGAAGCTTTGATATCTTAAGTGAACCATTTATTGAAGGGTTTTGTTGAATAGATATACAGGAACAAAGCAATACAACCACGGGTATCCAATGTAACGAGATAAAATTTTCAAAATAAATTAAATTTAAGAAATACTAATATTTCGCCAGGGCATACAGGGCTTTATCAGAGTAAATGAAACGAACGAGTGAATGGATTTAAAATGTGAGATGGTGGTGCCGGATTGGTGGATGTTGAATGGTGTGAATGCAGCGCAGTGGAGAAAAAATGGGATGATGGATGTGGGGGAGGGAAGGGTGGTGGGTGATGTGAGGGGATGTGGGTGGTGCTATGGAGATTGATGCAATGGGATGATAATGATGCCTATGAATATGAATATAAAAAAAAAATTTGAAAATTTTATCTCATTACATTGGATTCTCATCGTCGTATTGATTTGTTCCTGTATATCTTTCGTATTATTATTCATCTCATTTTGTTGGATAACTGTGGGAAGTTTTTACTGACAAAGAAATAATCTTGGCAGCACAATGCCTAATCTCCTGTACAATTTTTTTGTGATGATCTCAGAGATTATGTTTTTTTATTTTTTCTAGACATCAATATTTTATTGGGATTTTTTGGTAAATTTTTAAAGTTTGTAATTAGGGGAATTTTTTGTGTGAAATTTCTGTATTTGATATTTACAGAAATTAATATATGATGCTAAGCATAATTGATTATCAACATGACCTACACAAAGTGAAGCCATAATGCACGACTAACTCTACAAGATTTGCCATTTGCCAAATATGATCTTCCTTATTGTTCCAAAAATCAATGAAGTCACCAGAATTTCATTTATAGTAAACTCAGGGGCGTCACCAATGGAGGTATGTGGGTGGTGTACTCCTACAATTCTTTATTTTCATTTACACAGAAATAATTTTTTTCAGGCGACAGAAGAAATTTATCTTCTCACCCTGTAGTATATTTTGAACCTTTTTGCAATAATTGTAACTTATTAACATTTCTGTAGCAGTTGATCCTTCAAAATTATGACACTAAAAATGCTTGAAGTTCAATTTTTTCGAATGCTGTAATATTGAATAAGCATTGAGGCAGCATATAAAAGTATTTATTTTGTGAGAGCATCCTAGAAGAGTGAGACACGCCGTTTTTATGGGCAAAAATAATTACTGAACCCCTCCAAAAAACTTTTTGGTTTCGCCCTAAGTAAACTTATTTTGACATTACGATACATTGGGATTCCACGCCGTTTTAATTGCAGGAGACCTACGCCTATTAATTCTTAGCATCCTTGTATAAAACTTGCTCTAACTTTTCTGATGTGCTCTCTCTAATTCTTGTTTACTTCCTTTTGCTTCGAACAATTATTTTTCAAAACATTCAGAACTATCTATCTTGAGAATTCCTCGCGTCATCAACTACTTTTTCCATCATAATGGCTTTGGTCTTAGCCAAAACTTACGATATCTTGTGATATTTTATGAATGTTTATCATCGTGGTTTTCAAAGTATTCAAAGACTTTTAAAAGTAATAAAATAATTATACACTGTTAGAAAAAGTGTTGTCTATAAAAATTTAAAAACTTCGATTTTTCGATTAAGCATTTATCCTTAGAGTGTTTTATGAATTGCTTTATTACTTTCCTTACTATCAAAGAATACTCTTCTAAACGTGAAATTTAAGGACATTTACTCTACTTTAGATGTAATGCTCGCAATTATAACAATTTTTCCAAGCAAGGTTTCCAAATATTACCTACATTGAATATTTTTTTCAAAGTTTACTTAAAAATCCTGTGGCAGAATACATAAAGGCAACTTTGAAAGAAAGAGGACAATTTTTCTACAAAACTTCATTCTAGTCATGATAAACTTCTTTTATTCAACAACAATACAAATAAATAATTCATTTTAATTACAGTTCATACAGCAAAAACATTTCAATAGCTAACTACAAGGAGGTAATATTATTAAAGATCGTACTCGGAGCAAAATTTCAAAGACGAATCCCATTACATAATTATTTGTAAATGTCCCAGAATGATTTAAGCTATTTAATCAACTTCTTCTACAGTTGGTCCATTAGACGTTGCTTGTCCAGCTGACATTCCACCAGCCCCACCAGCACTGTACAAGTTCGTAATAACTGGCCTAGCCACATTTTCCAGCTCTTTTCGCTGATGCTCAAACTCGTCCTTGTCTGCTGATTGGTTTCTATCCAGCCAATCAATGACTTCTTTACACTTGGACAGAACTCGTTCTTTGTCTTCTTGCGATGTTTTGCTTGCAACATTTTGATCTTCCATCGTATTTTTCACACTGAAGACATAAGTTTCCAAGTTGTTCTTTGACTGCACTCTCTCCCGTTGTTTCTCGTCCTCCTCTTTGTACCTGTCTGCATCATGAACCATTCTCTCAACTTCCTCGGCAGACAACCTACCCTTGTCGTTAGTAATTGTTATCTTGCTGTTCTTGCCTGTGCTTTTCTCCACTGCAGTTACGTTCAGTATTCCATTTGCGTCGATATCAAAAGTGACATCAATTTTTGGCACTCCTCTTGGTGCTGGAGGGATTCCCGACAAGTCGAACCGTCCGAGCAAGTGGTTGTCTTTAGTCATTGCCCTTTCTCCTTCATATACCTGGATGGTGACTGCTGGCTGATTATCAGCGTACGTCGTGAATGTCTCTGTCTTTTTGGTTGGGATTGCGGTGCTTCGCTTTATGAGAGTCGTCATTACTCCACCAGCCGTTTCGATTCCAAGAGACAAGGGTGCCACATCAATCACCAGTAGGTCTTTTACTCCTTCGTCTTTATCACCACTCAAGATTGCTGCCTGCACTGCTGCACCGTAAGCAACAGCTTCGTCTGGATTGATTCCTTTGCAAAGCTCTTTACCATTAAAGAAGTCACGCAACATGTTTTGCACCTTTGGTATCCTCGTTGATCCACCAACCAGAACTATCTCATCGATCTGTCCCTTGCTTAACTGGGCGTCTTTTAAGGCTTTCTCCACTGGTTCCAAGGTGCCACGAAACAGGTCAGCGTTGAGTTCCTCGAAGCGAGCTCTTGTCAAGGAAGAGTAAAAGTCGATGCCTTCAAAGAGAGAGTCGACCTCGATGCTGGCTTGAGTTGCTGATGACAGTGCCCTCTTCAGTCTTTCGCAAGCAGTTCTAAGTCTCCGTAAAGCTCTCTTGTTTCCACTAATGTCCTTGTTGTACTTGCGTTTGAATTCCTTTATAAAATGATCAACAACACGATTATCAAAATCTTCACCACCGAGATGGGTATTTCCACCAGTCGACTTCACCTCAAACACCCCGTCTTCGATGCTGAGTATTGAGACGTCGAATGTGCCACCACCTAAATCGAAAATGAGCACGTTCTTTTCCTTGGTGCACCCCTTGTCCAGTCCGTACGCAATCGCTGCTGCTGTCGGCTCATTGATTATTCGTAAAACGTTTAGACCAGCTATGATTCCTGCATCTTTTGTAGCTTGTCTCTGCGAGTCATTGAAATAAGCTGGAACTGTTATGACGACATCTTTGATTTTCTCACCGAGGTATGCTTCTGCTGTTTCCTTCATTTTGGTGAGAACCATCGAAGAAATCTCCTCTGGAAAGAAATATTTCTGTTCTCCCTTGTAGGTTGCCGTCAGTTTTGGTTTGCCATTGTCGTTGATGACCTTGAAGGGCCAATGCTTCATGTCCTCTTGTACTGTGGCATCGTCGAAACGTCTCCCGATTAGCCTCTTGGCATCGAAAATCGTGTTCTCTGGGTTCATGGCCACTTGGTTCTTTGCAGAATCTCCAATCAGCCTCTCGTTGTCGTTCTGGTAAAAAGATTTTACCAGAACGTGTAGGCTGCCCTCGATTAAGGGAATCCCCTGACTATGAACGATCTCGAATATTCTGGTAAACCATTGTTTCCTCAAACCAATGAGCTAGCTCTTTTATTGTTTATCGGCTCGCTCTAGCCAATCAGAAGCTACGTTGCATAATTTATCCCTAGGATTTCTTCGAAACTTTTCGCGGGAATTCTCGAAGTTTCTTGAATTTCAAACAAACAGTATAAAATGACGGAAGCCGTACTCAAAGGCAGAATTGCAATCGCAGAGAGTACGAAGCGAACAAATCGAAAGAGAAGAGAGTTACTTACGCAGTAAGCGACTAGTATCTAACATTTGCTGTGATTTTGGAAACACAGAGGATAGGAAAATGCCGAAAGCAGTTGGAATCGATTTGGGAACGACCTACTCGTGTGTAGGGGTCTTTCAACATGGCAAAGTGGAAATTATTGCCAATGATCAAGGCAACAGAACAACACCGAGCTACGTTGCCTTTAACGACAACGAGAGGCTGATTGGAGATTCTGCAAAGAACCAAGTGGCCATGAACCCAGAGAACACGATTTTCGATGCCAAGAGGCTAATCGGGAGACGTTTCGACGATGCCACAGTACAAGAGGACATGAAGCATTGGCCCTTCAAGGTCATCAACGACAATGGCAAACCAAAACTGACGGCAACCTACAAGGGAGAACAGAAATATTTCTTTCCAGAGGAGATTTCTTCGATGGTTCTCACCAAAATGAAGGAAACAGCAGAAGCATACCTCGGTGAGAAAATCAAAGATGTCGTCATAACAGTTCCAGCTTATTTCAATGACTCGCAGAGACAAGCTACAAAAGATGCAGGAATCATAGCTGGTCTAAACGTTTTACGAATAATCAATGAGCCGACAGCAGCAGCGATTGCGTACGGACTGGACAAGGGGTGCACCAAGGAAAAGAACGTGCTCATTTTCGATTTAGGTGGTGGCACATTCGACGTCTCAATACTCAGCATCGAAGACGGGGTGTTTGAGGTGAAGTCGACTGGTGGAAATACCCATCTCGGTGGTGAAGATTTTGATAATCGTGTTGTTGATCATTTTATAAAGGAATTCAAACGCAAGTACAACAAGGACATTAGTGGAAACAAGAGAGCTTTACGGAGACTTAGAACTGCTTGCGAAAGACTGAAGAGGGCACTGTCATCAGCAACTCAAGCCAGCATCGAGGTCGACTCTCTCTTTGAAGGCATCGACTTTTACTCTTCCTTGACAAGAGCTCGCTTCGAGGAACTCAACGCTGACCTGTTTCGTGGCACCTTTGAACCAGTGGAGAAAGCCTTAAAAGACGCCCAGTTAAGCAAGGGACAGATCGATGAGATAGTTCTGGTTGGTGGATCAACGAGGATACCAAAGGTGCAAAACATGTTGCGTGACTTCTTTAATGGTAAAGAGCTTTGCAAAGGAATCAATCCAGACGAAGCTGTTGCTTACGGTGCAGCAGTGCAGGCAGCAATCTTGAGTGGTGACAAAGACGAAGGAGTAAAAGACCTACTGGTGATTGATGTGGCACCCTTGTCTCTTGGAATCGAAACGGCTGGTGGAGTAATGACGACTCTCATAAAGCGAAGCACTGCAATCCCAACCAAAAAGACAGAGACATTCACGACGTACGCTGATAATCAGCCAGCAGTCACCATCCAGGTATATGAAGGAGAAAGGGCAATGACTAAAGACAACCACTTGCTCGGACGGTTCGACTTGTCGGGAATCCCTCCAGCACCAAGAGGAGTGCCAAAAATTGATGTCACTTTTGATATCGACGCAAATGGAATACTGAACGTAACTGCAGTGGAGAAAAGCACAGGCAAGAACAGCAAGATAACAATTACTAACGACAAGGGTAGGTTGTCTGCCGAGGAAGTTGAGAGAATGGTTCATGATGCAGACAGGTACAAAGAGGAGGACGAGAAACAACGGGAGAGAGTGCAGTCAAAGAACAACTTGGAAACTTATGTCTTTAGTGTGAAAAATACGATGGAAGATCAAAATGTTGCAAGCAAAACATCGCAAGAAGACAAAGAACGAGTTCTGTCCAAGTGTAAAGAAGTCATTGATTGGCTGGATAGAAACCAATCAGCAGACAAGGACGAGTTTGAGCATCAGCGAAAAGAGCTGGAAAATGTGGCTAGGCCAGTTATTACGAACTTGTACAGTGCTGGTGGGGCTGGTGGAATGTCAGCTGGACAAGCAACGTCTAATGGACCAACTGTAGAAGAAGTTGATTAAATAGCTTGAAACATTCTGGGACATTTACAAATAATTATGAAATGAGATTCGTCTTTGAAATTTTGTTTCGAGTTCGATCTTTAATAACATTACGTCTTTGTAGTTAGGTATTGAAATATTTTTGCTGTAGGGACTGTAGTTAAAATGAATCATTTATTTATATTGTTGTTAAATAAAATAAGTTTATCATGACCGAGGTGAAGTTTGTAGATAAATTGTCTGTTTCTTTCAAATTTCTCTTTTTTTGATGTCAATATTACCTACAATTTATGCATTCTTCCACAAAACGTCAAATTTCGCATTTTAGAATATGGAACAGGGGACATTTTGGACCTGTTTATGGAAAATTATAAAAGATGAATATGAAATAATTACGAATATTATATTTTAAGGTATATGAAACGTCCAAATATTTTTGAAGAGTAATGTCTTATAAAAAAGGAAAATTAACGGAGTTATTTAAAAACCACTCTCAGGATTTAATCTAGTCCAAAATTGGCTGTGTTCAGTATTTTGCCAGCATTTTTTGTAATATCACAAAGTACAAGAGATGATCTGGTTTTTTTTTACCATTAATGAATTATCAAGTCACATCGTCGATCTCAACCATAATAATGATCATAATCACCCTCAATCATAATCATCTTTTCCATCTCTAACATCCTAATCATAAGTGAACGATTGTAAATTGCCTCTGAAGCAAACATTTTCAATCATATTTCATTTGCTATCCAAAGGACTTGTACCTCCTGATCAAAAATTTATGTTTGTTTTCAAACATATTGTTTTTGTTCTGACTTGAATGTATTCCGACAACTGAATTGAATTGAGAGGAAACGATTTTTTGGTTTGGTGACACTGCCACGTGAATTTTCAAGGAAGGAGACAACTGTTTAGGTTAATGACTTAATGAACAGTCAAAATTTGACAACAAAAACAGTTTAATCATACTACGCGTTGCTGAAGCTATCTGTTAAGGCAATAAAGATACAAACAGTAGTTTTTTCTGTTCACGTAGCCCTTTGAATAAGGTGTGTGTTTGTTTAAGGCAAAAACTTTATGAATACCGTATGGTGCTTATAATTAAGAATAGGAACAAGATTAAGTAAATTTATGGTAGCAAATAAAAGAAGTAGTATAATTTTGTAACTGTTTATAATAACATATTTTAGAATAGATATTGTTTATCTAGATTAGTCCCTAAACCTTAATAGCAGATAGAGCGATATAAATGATGGATGGAATCTCCAATGGAAGTTCATTGTAACAATTAGATCCCTGGAACCTAAGAAATGTTCTTACAACACCAATTCTCGACAGGGGCAGTCGAAGAGTTACATTTCTGCTTCTTATTTTGTATTCGTGAATTTTTCATCAGCATAGGATGATTATCCAATCTTTTAATTTCTTTTACGGCAGTTAAATATCAGGCATCCAGCTTTCAATTTCTTCTGGTTGAGGATTCTACAGAATCTGTTTTCTCTGAATTGATTTGATCGATAACGAATTATCTTGTGTGCTGTGCTTTTTTCTGAATCTTTTCTGAAACTTTAGCTATAACCCCCATTTTTTTGCCAAAAACATAAATAATTAAGAAATTTACCTCCAGTCAAGCCTCTTTTTCAGTTTCAGCGCCACTTTTCTCAACGCTCCGCGTTGCTTTGAGCAAATTGTTGGCAATATTTGTACATTGTACATAGATTTTGCTGCAAGCATTGACGTTGATTCATCGATCTTGCTAGAAACGTGATTCGAGATGGAACCTTTTGGTTATATTTACCATCATGATAATAATGATATATTAACCAGACAATCAGTAAGAAATCAACCAATTAATCACTTCACTTCAATCAACAACGTCAATCAATTAATCATAGTTAATCATAACTTTATTATTCTAGATTAACGTGTTTACATTTTTCTCCTCAGCTGATAGAGATTTGAGCAAGGAATTATTCGCAGCCCTGGATTCGGCCTTCCTCTACTCATATGCCTTGGCCATGCTTTTCAGGTAAAATATGTTCCAGTTTATTTTTGTTAATGAACTACAAAACGTGACTTATCAAAATACATCCCGAGTCTTTTCAATTTTGTTTTACATAATACTTGTAATTATGAAACATTGATTTCGGTAATTTGTTTATGATAACGTAGATTTTTATCATTATTTATTTCTTGATTATGTTGCCAATGTATTGTCTTGCTAAGGAGATGGTAACGTTGTTGAAGGCTTGTACTCGATAAAAACAGGCATTTTTGTTTCCTGACGTATCCTGCTTAACCGTTGCTTCGTTCAGAAGTGATATCTGCCAAACTTACTATATTTAACGGAAAGGTTCCATTTGTAACTTTTACCTTTGTTTAGCCTCGTTCTTTATTAAGTCCCCTATCGAATAAGCCCCCAGAGATTCTTGAAGTGGGCTTCATAAAGAGAAGGGGATCCAGATATTTCTATATATCAAAAGTTTGGGGTGGACATGTTGCCTTTGCAGTTGGATTGTATCTCCATAATCTTTATAACGAAAATACATTTAAAACCCGCTCCTTTTTTATTCTTTTAAAAAAATCTGGTTATGAAATTTATCGTTTAATACAGTTGAAACCCGCGTATAAGAGCCTGTTTTGAAATTTTAGCCTGATAAGGTTCTTATGTTTAGGAGAGCTGAATTTAAAATTTTGGCCTAACAGGTTCTTAAAACCCAGGTTCTTATACTGTATTTATGATTTCAAAAGTTAGCTTTTCCAATCACTCAAACTTGCTCTTCCGGTTCTTAATTTTTCTTCCCAGCCTTTGCGACTGGCTGAAAGCAAGGCTCCAAAACGTCTGCAAAGCAAAATTGACAGCTCAATTGACGAATAACCAACAAGGTTTTGGTATAAAGGTCGTTGAGATTCTATCCAACTGTAAAGGCCACATGTCCATCCCTTTTTCCATTATAGCCCCCTTTTTTCAAGGCCCCTTTTAGAAATTACCCAAGCCTAACACAGTAGAAACGCCAGAACAGTTCTTTTTGTTGCGAATGTATTATTTTCAGATATGCTGCAAAGTTTTCCTAGTGTTTTCTCATCTCTCTTCCATAGTGGATACATCGCTGAACACACTAGCCTGCGCTTGTATCTTGGTTCAGGGATGATAGTAACGGGCATTTTTACGTGTCTGTTCGGCATGGCGTACTTCTGGAACATCCACTCTTTAGTTTATTTCATTGGAATGCAAGTAAGTTTACGTCTATAGGGATCGACGTTGCGAAGGCCAAAGGTTAAGAGGGGGGGGGGGGCTTAGCATGGGTCTTGTCCGAATATAGCTGCTTCATTGAGATTAAATTTCCCGAATAGAATTTTTGAAATTCGCTAGTTTTTGCTTGATAAGGTGGAGGGAGTTGCGCCCCTTCTGTCTTTCCTACGCCAATGTCAATAGGTCAAACGCCTTTTGAAAAACTTCTTGCATTAGCATCTTTTAGCATATTCACTTGTTTTAGCTCTCTGTTCTTCTTGTGTTGACAATGAAGTTAATGTTCACGATAACATGTTTAGAATGCAAAATGGGTCTAAGGAGATTGGAGAATGCAATTGTGCAAGATATCCGTACTGCTCCCCAAATTAGAAAATATTCTTGGTATATTATCATTTTCTACATTATCCGCAGCAATTATTTGGAAAAGGGTATTAAAGATAAAATTACTGTTCTATGTTAATGAATCCATCGCTTTTAGCGAGTGTTTGTTTACATGAAAGCATTTGCTTTCTGCCTGTTTTGATCCTCCAGCTTCAAGATTCGCTTAGCTTTAGTGTCATCGTCAATGCATTTTTAAATTTTGACCATATTTCATCTGTTGTTTCAGGTTATAACTGGCATATTTCAGGTAAATTTTAGCTTTAATCAGATTTTTTGATTTTCAAAATATTCTTTTAACAGCTTCTTTATGAAAATTTTGAAAGACCAAAATATCGAAAATATTTTTTAGAGTGAAATTTCTTGGGTTCTGTTTATAGATCAGTTTCATATTGAGGCTGATTTGAAAATGAGTTTGTTTGGCTTTGACTTGAGTTTAGAATGGACCTGAAGATTGGGGTTGTATAAAGTGAAGGTGGTCCCCTACACGTAGAGAAAACTTGAAAAGTACGTATGTTTGAAAGTTTTCTCTGGCTCCTACTTGTTGGTGGGTGGACAGGGGGCGAGTATCCATGTTATTGCTGGGACCTGATATCAAGCCCCTGACACTGGCATTGTAATCATGAAATGAATTGAAGATTCAGGAAATTGCTATGGTATCCATAAAGCTGTTGGTTTTCCCGTCCTATTTTATTCAGCATTTATCAACCCAGCAAAAAATTATTAGTCTTATTTTCCGAGAAGCCCCTTTCTCCCTCCTACGGGCCTATTCGACTGTAGGGTTATTAATAATGGGGAAATATTCCTATCAAAGGATTGTTTTGAGCCTGACATCCGAAAAAACTTTAAACATTCAATTCACACATATTTTACTAGTTGTTATGGTAGTAAGATCTACACTTATCATCATTGGTATGAGTTTACAGTAAATCTATCATATTGGTTTTACCTTAGGCCAGTGGCTGGCCGTGTGTTGTTGCTGCTGTTGGAAACTGGTTTGGCGAAGGAAGGTAACAATTTTTTGCAAAGTAATAGATCTATTGAATCAAATGTTTTATTTTGCATTAATTTGAAATGCTTCTCCGTATCCTACTCTTCAATGAAGTGTAAAATATGTTGGTATTTATTAACGTTATTCTATTGTGTTTTAAGGCTTATCGTGAACTTAAGCCAGGCTCTAAACGTTTCTAAATTACCTCTTATTATGTTGGACTTCTCATCCATTGAAACTGTGACCTACTTGTTTTCCTTACTCATTTATTCGACCTGTCCTATTTTATGATTTATGAATATGAAGTACACAAATTCAATTTTCATCTTTCTTTTCTTAATTTCTAAATTCATCAAACGTTTCCTTTTCGTAACTAGTTTTTTTATCAAAGTTTGTACTGAAAAGGTTTGACTAAAGTTTGAAAGTTGGTATCATCAGAAAATCAATCACATTTTAAACCCCGTTTACACTAGAACGGATCCAAATGGGTACGGGTCCATTTGGATCCGTGCTAGCGTAAACGGGGTCTTACACTAGACCTAAACGAGCACGGATCCAAATGAGTACACCTTGGAAAGCGATCCCAAATGGGTCCAGATAGCAGACCCAAATGGGTACGGATCCACAGGTCTAGTGTAAACGGGAGGCCTATCTGTGCTAGTTTGGGTACGGATCCATTTGGATCCGTGCTAGTGTAAACGGGGTCTTATACTTCACTGACTTGTTTTCTTTTACAGACGGGGTTTAATCATGGGAATATGGAATTCTCATGTGTCAGTTGGAAATATACTTGGCTCTGCAGTGGCTGGAATATGGTCTGGTGATCGTTGGTACGTGCCATGCTCAGTCTTTTGGGTGGTGATAATTTTGGCTTATTCTCATGCCGCCTTTTTGTTTGTTTGTGTTTTTGCATCTGTTGAGATTTGTCCAGGCCTCTAAACATTTTTAATAAATTGCCGAAACAAGCAATATATTTCCTCTCTCCTCTTTCTTAAAATAGTTTCTTTTAATTTTTTCTCGTTCATTTTGCATCTTCAAGTTGTACTTAATTTAGTTTTATATGTTGATTGTAGACTGCCACAGGGTTTCTATGTATTCGCATGCTCCCTGTGGTATCGTCAGGTGAACTTCTGTATGTTTTGCAAAATTTTATAAGCATATAAAAAAGAATAAATTTTTTTGAAATTTTTTATTTGTTCTTTCTTCACCAGCCTGTCTCTTTTGAAGATTTTGTCTTCTTATTTTACAGGGGCTGGTCATTCATCGTGCCTGGTGTCATCATAATATGTGTTGGCATAATAATCGTGTTATTTCTCGTCAGTGGTGAGTAGTTATCTGGTTTTAGGCCTTTGCTTTGCCACTAGAAAAGGATTGTCTTAAGTGCCAATTACCACTCTTTTTGAGCGTTATAAAACATGTTTAGATTTTGTTTAGTTGTGATAATAATATTGCTTTCCGAAATTGATCGTAGTTTTTGTGATATGGTACAGATTAAAGCAAAATTAATGTGCAAGCTGAAAAGTTTACCCAGTTTGAGAGTGATATAGCCATTATAAAGAAAAGAGCAGAGAGGAGAAGAGAAAGAAAATAGAAAAGAAAAGAAAAGAAAAGAAAAGAAAAGAAAAGAAAAGAAAAGAAAAGAAAAGAAAAGAAAGACGAGAAAAGAGAAAGGAGAAGAGAAGAGAGAGGAAAGATAAAAATTATGCATTAAAATATAAATTTGTTTACATATGCCTTCTCAACATTCCCTGAAATTTCTTGTAGAACCTTCCTACGTCGGAATCATACCCGAAAGATCACGAGTAAGCCAATTTTATCTTTATTTGTTTCAACTTCTTCTGTTCAAATTAGTAATCTTGAAAACCACCCCAAAACTTGATCTGTTAATTGAAATATGGAATAGATTTCTTGATTCTCTCAAATTTATCCTCTGATTTGCTTCTGTTAATAGTCTATAGGCAGTTCCTCCTCAAATATTTTTTCATGTATATTTAAAAATATATTATATATAAAATTATATTATCATAGACTGAATTAATATTGATCCTTTTAACTCAAGCATTTCACTATTCTTTTACTCTCGAATAGCAACCACGTTTTCTTCGTAGAGTTTTTGGGGTATAGGAATGAAGTTTAAAATTCCGTTGGGTCACATTAATATCATTACATGCTATGTTATTTGCAGATGAGGGATTCAACCTTTGTAAGAATGAATGAAGATATGCCGGAACGGGTTGTGCGAAACAAAGGCCGTATCAAATCTGTCCCATCTTCATTGGTATGCCACTTTTTTTTAAGTAATCTGCCCCCTTTTTTCAATTACAAGTCGTACCCTGGATAGCTCTGACTTTCGCCAAGTCGGCCTGATTTTCAATTCCTATTGGATTTTTCTACCATTTTCAAGTCAAAAGTCAGACATTTCCTAAGGCAGACAATTTTGTTATCCTACTTAAAGATCCGACATAACGGGATTCAACTGTATGTTTCGAGAAAACCCATCTCTATAGCCGTGTGGGAAAAAGCCCAGGTGGAACAGAATGTTTTATCCTTGGAGAGAATCTTTGCTGCAAATAAAGTTACTTTGTTACTAAGTGTATGGTTGCCCCCCCCCCACTTTTTCACTATAGTAAATGAGGTGATTATCCCACCTTTCATCGGATTTGTATGCTTTTGTAGTCGACGTCACTGACAAGATCAAGAGAAGGCAAGGCAATCAGTTTTATAGGGGCTCTTCGAATTCCGGTGAGTTCTTAATAAACCTTACATTGCGCATATTTCTTCAATAAAGTTCTATTTCAATACAATAGTAAAATCTTTGCGTTCTATGTGACTTTCGGAGTCTCGAGTTTCCCTGCAACGTTGCAACATTGATCTTTAAATATCGTTCAGGATCAACACTGTGAAGCATTTAGGGATATTCAGAGAGAAAATTGAAAGATTAGAAAACCAATAAGAAGTCGTCTTTGTTAAACGCGTTTTAAAAGATTATCTCTTCTGTGCAGTTTCATTTGTCGCATTGTATCCCATAAGCTTTTGCATGCAAAAAAGCGAGTTAAAATACTTCAGTTTAAAGAACATTTAAAGCTGCAAAAAATGTCTAGATCTGATTAAAAAGGAACTTGAATGGTCTCTGTAGAGTTTAGTTTATAATCGGATAATATCATGTCTCAGATCAATTCTAACATTTATTTTTGTTTAATTTCCACAGGGTGTGATTGAATATTCCCTGTGTTTATTTTTTGCCAAGTTGGTTAGCTATACTTTTCTTTACTGGTTGCCATTTTACACCAAAAATACAGGTGAGAAAAACTGTTTTTTCATATCTTCGAATTAGAATCTTTGAATTTGTCTCAATTTTGCATTTTCAGAAAAAGAGCATTAATTGACAGCTTTTTGAAAATAACATGCTTTTATCACAAACTTTTATCATAAGTGGGGTTGGGGTGCAAAGGCGAGTTAAGGGATGGAAAAATGGGGTCCACACCCTTTGGGACGCCAGAAAACGCCCTATTTTAAAAATAGTTTTGTTTTGAGGGGGGGGGGATGCGTCCACCCACTCTTGTCTCCCCCTCACTACTGGCTTTCGGGAATCTTACATCCTAGGACTATTATAAATGGTCCTTGGCTTTGTTCTTATGATACAAGATTAAGATATAATTTTTAGCTTCAGTTCTCTTGATATGGCCAATAACTTAGAAAAAGATATATTTTACCAATATATTTTATCAGTGTATAAACGAGAATTACTTTAAGAAAGTATCCCATTATCAGTTTATGTTTATCAGTTTATTTTACGTCCACAACTAAAAGTATTAACCGTCTGTAGACAAATAATGCTGGTTTTCAATGCAATGTTATCCTAATATTAGATATATCTTCGTGGAAATAAACTCATGTTCATTCTAATTGTTGCAGCAATCGTTTTATCAAAACTTTGAAAGTATTCTGAAATCTTAAGGCAGCAAGGAACTTGCAGAAAACTACTGCTTTGCGATTTCATGTATATTTGTAAACATTAAGTTGATAAAGTTGCATCCATAACTCTGGCCAACCTGGTAAAAGTGATTTTTTATCAGAAGCATATGACAACATTTAACGATTCTTGATTTGGTGGCCACGGTCTGAGAGATGCTCAGCTTTCGAGAACTCCCTATAACGATTTTTGGTTCTAAATTATATCAATTTTCATAGAGTTTAACTTTAATTGATGGTGCTTTTTCGATTCAAACTATGCTATTACTTTAATTGTTTACCAACGGCGCCCAACTTTCTTTCAGTTATTGGTGGAAGAATATTTAGTTCGGAAGAAGCCGCCGATTTATCCATATATTTTGATGTCGGGGGAATCATTGGTGAGTTTCGCAAAATTCCTACACCTCCAATTCCTCCAAAACACCCTCCAAATCTAGGAGGGAAAAGGTTAAGTTATGGCAAAAATTACCAAATTGAGAAATTTTGAATTCTTAAACTGGGGGCTAGATGTGTTTAGAAACGGTAATGCTGATAACCTGCGTTAGGAGAATCCATTTTATGGCAATCAATTTTAGCCTTATATTTACATTAAGAAAAGAGAAGAGGAAAAAATTTTCAAGAATGAGGGATTTATGAGCCACATAAGTGCTAGTGCACAAAGTGTAATTTTTGCTCATTTTCATAGCTTGTGCAGCAAAAGAACGCATCCTTAAACTCAATCGGGAACAAAATAGAAATTTAAACTTAAAACTATATTTGCTAAGTTTCTTTTCAAATTTCTTCAATTTTTTATATTTGTTTGTTTATTCTTCGACTATTACTTGTCACACTCCATTGTATCTGATTTTTCAGGTGGAATAATGGCGGGTTTTATTTCGGACAAGTCGAAGTGTAGTGGCATTACTTGTTGGGTCATGCTTGTTGTGGCAGCACCATTGGTAAGGAGGGAAAAAGGCAATCGACCATGTCAGAGTTCGCGAAGCCATGACTCAAGTGGGGTTAAAGTGGCAATAAATTCAATGGCAGCCTATAACATCGAAATTTGTGAATTCTTCTTTAGCTCAAGCAACGTCCATTGTTAATCAACGAAATTCAGATTTTCACTTTAAAGTATCTACCTTTATTTTAAAGAAGTTTTGCAACCAAAATAGTGAAATAACCACAATGATTTTTTTGCTGGATTTCCCCCACCTGGTCGATTTGAATTAGCTTTCGAACAATAGAACTCCACCATGGCGTCGCGAACTCCGCAGTGGCCTTTACCTTTAATTGCTACACTGTAGCTTATGCAGAATGCAAATATGCACATATGGTATGCATTTTACTTTTTATTAGGCTGTTTATCGTGATAGCTTGCCATTGTACATTGGTTTCAACAAGCTGGGAGAATTTTCTATATGAGGAATTTTTCAAACAGGCGATTCCTCGCAATCCCAGTGTTTTGGCCGAGCTATGAATCTGCTTCAGCATCCTGTGGAGATTTTTTCAGAATAGCAACAATGTTTTAAAGCAGATTTTTACATATCACTTGAATGCAATTAAATTACATTTTGTTTGAATTGAAGAAAGACATTTGAATGGGGCATAAGAAAAGGTGGCTTTCGTGTCTTGGTAGTAAAAATCAGCTCAATTTTATCTTAATGATCTGTAGAGTGTTTCTGCGCTTCAATTTATGAGGTAATTTTCTGTCTATTTGAATGAAATGTAATCGATTTTTTTATTTTTCAGCTGTTTATCTTCAAGTTTTATGGAAGTACAAATTTAACTGTTTATATCGGTAAGTTTGTTATTAGTTTGGGGAAGGACCAATGAAGATAGCTCAAAATCTTTTAATGAATTTAGGCCCACTTAATGGAGCTTTTCAAAAGCCCAGGCTGTTGTTCAATTTACAAATGCTTTACTAGCGCGGGGTCTTGTTTTTTTCTCGCGCTATTTTTAATATGGATACCCAGCAACTCTAACACATTTTTGAAAAGTTGGTAGTTCTTTTTGTGAAGTAACTCACACTGCAACTTCTCAAACGTAGTAATGAATAGTGTAATAAAGGGGTTATTTCGCATCGCAAAGTAAGAAATTCGTTCAGCCAAACATATGCTGGCTTGTTTAGTGGGGCTGAGCTTCCCAAAATAAACACAAATGTTTATTTTGGGAAGCTCAGCCCCACTAAACAAGCCAGCATATGTTTGGCTGAACGAATTTCTTACTTTGCAATGCGAAATAACCCCTTTATTACACTATTGATTTTCCATGAATGAGCAACTTGTTTTAGCCGTTTAGAGTCAGTGAATAGCTTCAATATTTTCATTTACCCAACAAAGAATCTTTAACACAACTGCAAGAATATATGATAGGACAATGGGTGTGATCTCGAGTGGGGCTTCTAAAAGTTTCCTACAGCAAAGCACCCTCCCGGCACTCCTGAGAAGTTTTTTGGCCCCAACAGATTTTTTATTAACTTAATTCCACCATGTAATAAATTTTGTGTTTATGTTGCATGCGAATGCTTGCAGTTTGCCACTTGAGATTTGATCGCTTTCCTTCCAGCGGTTATGATCGTTGCTGGTATCTTTGTGAATGGACCTTATGCCCTCATCACAACTGCTGTATCAGCAACTTTGGTAAGACCATTTCTTGCGATGTAACTTCCCTTAAATTTTTATATTGTTCGGATTTGAGCAACGCTGCCAACCGCTATTAAAGGTAATTGATTTTAAGACAAAATTTGCGCTGGCTGGATAACCCTCATTTTAGTGCCGAAATCCTCAGCTAGTTATTTTATCAAGGACAATGGCAGACATGGGTGCTTGAAGATGGAAAAATTTCTCGGAGTGAATGTATTTTGAGAATTCTTCGTGTAGAAATTGGAACATCCGAAGATATATAATTCACACCCCCATACAACTGAAAGGGAAAGCCACCCCTTCCCAGCCTCCAGGCCACATTAGACAGTGATCTTTGTGCTTTGGAGTGAAACACTTGACTATAAACCTGTTTGTATCTATACTCTGATGTAATGGTTTGCTTGTCAATGAACTCGATTCTTGATTAAATACGGATGGAAGTTTACAGAGAGCTGCATCAATCCTCTCTTCTTCACCGTGAATGCTTTCATACTTGTGTTGCACCTTCCATTCACTTATATCATGATGGCTTACTGTTTGTGAACGCAGGTCCTGGAAGCAAGCATTTTACTCATAGGCCTAGTGGCCTTTTGCCAGTCAAGATTGTTAGCTAGTTTACAGCTGATATAAACTTCATAAAAGGTCCGCATTTACGATATTTTTGACTTTCAAAGGTCCGCTTCTAGTAAAAGAACTAGCTAAAAAGTCAATTATATTTTGCTCAGTCGACCTAAAATGATTTCACAAAATTGATAAGTCGCTCAGTTTCTGAATCAGTTTTTGAACGTGAAATAATCTCGTCTACCCAAAGTAATTGAGCCTATGTGGATTATGCATTAGTTCCTTAATATAGAAATATTTTGTCGTTTAGTCATTCGACCTACACTCTAACTAGACTGGTTACCGCTGTAAACATGTAATACTCACGAGCTAAAGTGCTGAACAGCCCTTTATTCTCAGTTATCCTAGCTTTCAAGTTTGTCATCATGCTGCGGTTAGCAAAAAGGATTAATTTACAGCTTTTTTAATCGTTGAAGTACGCGATTTAATGTAGAAATTGGACCAAAAATAACCTTTGAAAGCTCAGCGCTTCGGCCTTAGATATCTTGTTAACTTTGAAAGTGGTACAGCTTGGAAGAGCCTATTTTTATAATCTGTCGAACTATTTCAAGTAGAAATAAAGATGATACGCTAGATAGACAGATAAGAAAACGTAGTTTTAAAGGTCAAAAAAGTGGTGAGAATTTGGCCCCAAAGACTACAAAAGCACGGAAAAAAGCAGGTTTAACTGTGTTTAAGTTAAAATGGTTTGTTTTTGAGGATAAATTCAAGATAAAGCTGATGCATTGAATGTGGAATCTTGTGGTGAACTAGTTAAAAATGACAACACTTAGACTAGTATAAATTCTCTGAGCCTTGCAGGATGAATTCAGAACATAGCAACATACAGGCTACAATATAACATAGAAGAGCTAAGATAATTTTATAGGAGAGCACTTAGAGGCTGTCAGCTATAAATATAGAGTCTGAGAAACACCTGGGTATCGGTATTTTTTAAAATTATTTGAGCTATGGGAATTTTATGAAAGGCTTATCAGATAGTACTTAAATGTCGACTGAACGCTTTAAGTTTTCTTTTCAAGCCGAAGTATGATTTCTGAATCCGAATAGGCCTGGGACTACCACTTTTCGTGACGTCATTATGCCACTTACGCTATAGGATATTCTTTACCTCGTTATCTGACGATTTTAAGTTTAGTGATGCCTTTAATTATTCTAGGGCAACCATCAAAGCTTGAAAGGAAGCACAAAAGCAATGGCAACTGTTACGGCGATAATTGATGGAACAGGGTCGTTTGGTAAGCTTTTTTCTTTGGTAAATATTTTTATCTGTCGGACTGAAGATCCTCCATTTGCAATGCATCCTTTGCTCCGCTTAAATTATTCGTCGCTCCTCCATAGGTGCTGCAACTGGACCCTTGCTCGCTGGGCTTATACATGTGAGTAGAACAGACAAAATCCTACATTCAAATATTTCTACTTATCTGTTCCTTAAACTTGATACAGTATGCATAAAATTAGAAGTCATTTGTCAGCAATAAGACGATAGTTCTGTTGAGCAAATAATTTTATGCGTTGTCTAAGATATTTTTATAGTAAAAATCGTTTAGAGAACACTTCAATTTTAAACCCAATATCCTTGACTGATAGTGCCACGTAAACATTTCCATTCTATGAAATTTCACTGTCCTTCTTTCTATATTTTTGCAGGGCTGGGACTCAATATTCTACCTTCTCATAGGAGCTGATATCTTTGCAGCCATTGTAAGTAGAAATGTTCCTTGAAGATTCTCATGAGTTAATCTTCTATCGTATTTATCGTTAAAACATATCTACTGTCGATTACTGGTTTCATTTCCCCTTGGATATCAGCCGTTATGCGGCAGCCGGCTCAGGAGGTGATAATACATAGGGGATGTTTTTCGCTAACCTGCCACTTTAAGTTAGTTGTGAGTTCCACAACACTTTGCATCAAAGAAGGGGATAGTATTATGCTTATCCACCAACTTCAGCTCTTGAAGTACTGCAATCCCTCTTTCGCTGTTTTGTCTTTCTCAAGATGATGTTGTTTTTACCTTATTTTCTTAATGTTGTTAAAATAGTTGCTTTATTATCGATCATTTAGCCTTACAATGTTCAATTACTACTTCGAATTTCTAAGTTCTTTATTCACTCATTTGTAGCTGCTCACAAGACAAGTTTATCACGAAATTAGGCTATGTCATGCTATTGTACAGGGCAAAAGGTAAGCTTTCCATATCGGGTTCTTTTTTTGTTATTTTTCTACTGCGAACAAAATGCCAATCATACACTTTATTTTTGCTAACAATAATTTTTGTTGGGTATGGATACAGCTCAGAGCTGCATCAAACACAATAACGTTGACCATTTAAGAATAGCAGTCACGATCTCGCATATTTTTACCTTCTGAAATCTTTTGTATGCTGATTAACAAGCATTCAACTCAAAACTCGAAGTCCTCCCATCGCTTAAAGGCACTAATTCCCGACGCATTTCGCTGGCCATTTAAATTCCCCATTGGCTGGACTGAACAATAAACCTATTGCGTATCCAATCGGTAACGTAAATCTAAATCTTAGTATTTTCTCTATCATAAACGAGCTGGGAAACGGTGGACTGACTTTGACATGGTGCCTTTAAAACTGCAAACGTAAGGCGTCAGTCACTCTTCCGAAACCTACTGATAGGTTTTTCGCTCTGTTTTGCATATTATACCCGGACAATTATTCTTCCACGATTTGGAGGTATATTTCGCCCTTTTTAGGCGCAAAGACGAAGAGGAGGCCCTCAAAGAAGACGGGGAAAGAGATCCATTACTTGAGGACAATGACAGTACGACGAGTCGGACAAGCGCTTAAGGGTTGTAGTTGATATTCATATTGAATTTTGGCATTTTTATTACTGATTCGACCAGATTTCTTTATAGGAAAAATAGAATATGTGATTAAACACAAGATTATTTTTAAATTGCTTTCAGAAATATATTTTTTTTTCGTTAAAATGTCTAGCGCTTACCCCTGTACTGTCTGATGGCAACATATGTAGAATAACTGGCGTTAAAAACTATTTTTTTTTATATTTAAGAGACAAGAATGTCCATATAGAAGGAATAATTTCATTAACTGTACTAAAACTAGGTTCATCATAGATTCATAGATTCAAAAACTAAATATTTGGTTTTCAAGAAAATACCTGCTAAAACGGGCTTTGAAGCTATGTATTTTTAACTGCCAACTTTAAATCAAAGAATTAATGATAATAATAATCATAATAGATATGCCCCAGTTTTATTATTTGTGTACATGTCATTACCTAGTTAGTATCATCAGTTTATTCAATCCATACGATCACTGATATGGGGGCATTTGTGATACATCAACTTGAGGTAATGGCAGAGGTAAGTTACGAGTTACCTGGTTTTGAGGGGAATACCCTAAGATAGAATATTAATGTATCCCTTTTCAACCATATGAATATCGACGATAAGCAACTTCCAGGAAGTAAAAAATTCGCTTGCATGCTCCCCTTAGTGAGGAACCACCTCAAAACAGGTTTGGGATCCCCCTCCCCCTTAAAAGACGAGACACGCAAAATTTTCATGCTTTTGAATCATTTGGTCCCATGTGAATTTTTCTAGGGATGCTTGATTTGTGTTGTGATTCCCTGTAATTAAATGTTTTATATAAACGATTAATCAATTCGAGCTGTGTAACGGCCTTTTAGATTGAAAACTTTTACCGCGTAATTGGTAATGGAAAAAATGTTGTTCTCCGAAATTTTGCTGTTTAAATATTTTGCGATAAGAGCCTTTAGGCTTCGTTTAACCGAAAGAAAGTAGATCGCATCTGAAAAGATTTGTACCCAGTAGATCTAGATTTTAACAAAAGCTTTCCCCATTAATCAGAAAATTTGTTGTGAATAAAGGTTTTTGAGATGATAGCTTTGCGATGAAGTGTTGTCTTGGTATTCAAAGTTTTAGAGTTGAATCGTTCTGTTTTTTCGATTTAAGTAAGTTGAATGTAACCAGCTATAATGATCTTTAAATGCGTCACGTTATTTTATTACTTTATCACTGCTTATGTTGTGAATTTCATCCTTTAATAAAACTGCTTTTAAACAACGATTCTAGTTCAATCAGTCATTCGTATTTTTTATTCGCAATTGAAAGTTTGTGAAGTTAACGTCCTTTGGATTTTTTGTTAACGTTGAAACCTCGACCGTTTTAGCTTTGTTTCTATATGTTTAGATTGTATTTCCAAGTATAACCACTTCTTCTCCTAATTCTGCCGGGAACAGAGCTGATCGAGAAAGAAGTCTCGGCAACCTAGGACCAACTTGACTGCCACAGTCCCCCTGCATATTATTAAACAGTAGCAGTAGCGTAGCCAGGGTGGTAAGGTTGGGGAGAAATGGCGAGTCGAGCAAGGGAAATATAAGGGTTTTATACCCTTGGAACGCCATAAAACTCCCTTTTCCAAAGAGATTTTTGCCATTTGGGGGGGGGGGAGGTCCGCTGTCTTTTACCTCCCTCTCATTGCGCTACTGTCTTTGAAAGCGTGGGATCTCGGTTAAGAGACCCGGCATCCCTTTAGGATGAGATGAAAAGTTATTTTATAGTTAACTGAAACTACAAACAGTCTCAGGCAAGCGGGATGATACGAGCGTAAATGCCCACGTAACCATCAATGAATGAACAACGTTTCAGAACAAGGGCATGAAGCTCCTTCGCAGCAAAAAGAGCTTTCTTAAAATTTTCAACGGTTGCTAAGTTATTGACTATCTGGTTGAATGCCTATCTTACGATTATCTTGATTATCTTGTTATTGTTATGATTTTCTTGGCAATAATGGAGCTTTAGCGCTATCCATATCCACGCTGGTACAGAATTTTTCACTCTGAGTAGGCGAAACTTGTTTTGTGTCCAGTGATTCTTCAGAGGAAAAGACGAAGTGGATTTCAGTGAGTATTTAGAGAAAAGTTTTTGTGGAAATATAAGTGGTACTGCACAATGAAAACACATACAAGGCAGTTTCTTTTCTCTGGTCAAGAGATGAATATCGTTTCTCGCTTGAGACTTCCCACTCAATAGCACGGCACTCCTACTTCTAAGAGAGTCACACCTTTTCATTTTAGTTCAATAAAATGGTTAGCAAGTGCAAAGTAAATACATGGCTTTCAAGAGAATTTTGTTGAATTCGCGCCGGTATGTAAATACCGGAGATTAAAGCCTTAGGCAGCAATTATCCTCTGCCTTATAAACGGGGTGGCCACGTTGTCTTGACTCTTGACTCTCACTGACCTGCGTGGTCTCAAATAGTCATCAAGTAGGGCATAAAAGACCTCTAAAATTCCACAGAAAATGGAATTTGTTTTCCCTGTTTAAGCTCCAGTGCTGTAGTGCTCCTGTCCCCAGTAACTGCGCCCCTCTCTTGGGATATGTACTGCATGAACAAATATGTCATTATTCTGATCATAAAATAGAAATTCAAACTTCTACTAATACTAATGAAGCTGTTTGATAGAAACCCTTTACTTCAAAATGTCTGCCTCTCCTTAGTTCTCTTGCATTGCTGGTTTTAACTAGCTTTGAATACACTCTCTTCCAATACTCTCCCCGGACATCTCCCGGGGGATGACCATAAAGAACAACACTGGGCACGAAGGTTACTTGAGATTACTCGAAAGAAGAAGATTATGTTTCGATACAGAACAAAGGTTTGTTTAATAATGTGACATCTTAAGTGTTTTACAAGCTTACAAAATGGCAGTGCACCCCGGCTTTTACATAAAGACCGGGGCTCCACTCCTTGAGAAAGGTCGAATGACAATTCTGTGACCGCATATCTTCAGCAAGTTTGAGCAGTCGACGTTTGCAGCAGGCAAATAGCGAGCAAGCCATCTAGTAGGCCTAGCAGCCATACAGTCGCTGAAACCTGAACAGATAACAAGAAGTTTGCTGTTTATCAGATTGAAAGAAATCAATTTTTGTTGCAGGTAAATGCTGTTCATTATAAGCCGGCTGTTATAGATATATCTTTGTTTTCAAAGCTTCGAGAATCAACTATCCATTGTTTCCAAACTGTTTGCACAAAATTTGCATTTTTAATAGTTTAACTTATAGTTTTCGTCTAACTCTCTGCTTCAGCTAATGTGATAGACAACAATCGACGACTTCCATGAGTGAAGCAAATGGTAAACGCTTTGCTTAGTTTGGATCTTTCCCGAATATTACTGCCCCAATGTATTCTACGCCCATGATGTCTTTAATTGTCAGGTGTATGGAAAAAGATAACAGTTTGCTTTGCAGTTTTCCACAAAATAACAGTCTTCAAAAAATCCTAGAGCCGGTCTCTGAAATTAATAACTCTATCGTAATACTTGGGTGAAAGATCTCTTGACGTGCTTGCAATGAGAATTGTTGAAATGACAATGGATGTAATTTCATCTCCGAAGTATTTCAAATTGCGATAGGGCCTTATGTCTAAGAAAAGGGGAATATTACCAAAATTTTGTTTATGCTTAACTGAGCACAACCTAACGCAACAAAACACAACAGAACTCAACATGACATTGCAACAGTTCAGTCGGACGCGCGCGAATGCGTTCGAGTCACGGAAGCGGTCTATCTCGCGCGCGCAAGACAATTAAGAGAGATTGACCTTGGCTACTCACTATCCATTGCGCTTACCGTCGAATAGCATTACCAGTGAAGTCAGCATTTGCTAACAGGGAGTTCAAAAACTTTGTAGAGACTTGGCTTGCAATTTTCAAATTCACGGAATACAATTTGAAAGTCATATAAGGCGATGTTTTCAGGATCTTCACAAGAACATCAGATCAGATACGACAATGCCGACACACGTGCCAAAGTGTCCGGTCTTTTACAGAAGTTCGAATCTTAAAGGTTTTTTGTTACAAACCCAGATTTACCTTGATTTGCTGAAGAACATAGTTTCAATGCCATTAGATTTCGAGTCAGATTTTTTGCCCTTTGAAGTGTCTCTTTCTGTTGCGAGAACCACCTAAGCATGGCAGCAAAGTTTGACTAAAATGGGGACAAGAGACACATTTTTGGAGAGCTACATGCCTCGTTTTGTCATTTCAGAAGATGGAAAATTAAACAAGGGAAAGCTTGTAGATAACAGACAGTATTAAACTGTGAGCGCTGAAAAGAATCAATTTCCCCAGAATTCCTGCATTAAAACTGTACAAAGAATCAAAAGTAAAATTAATCCATAATTGATCGATCAGGTTAAAGCAAGAATCGAGGATTATAGCAGTGAAGTATATACAAGAATGCGATGGTTTGATCCGCTGTTTTGGGCCAGCAAAGATGACTATGGAAATGAAGATGTTCTTTTTGTCGAAAAGCATTTTGAAGTTTCACTGAAATTTGCTGAATCTGAGCCTAATGAGGCTGCCAGGGAATGATAAAGCTTCAACATTAATGTGTCCAGCTATTTTATATAGCTGTCTGTAGCTCGAGATCTCTGGACGTCGATTATGATTGACCGGTGTAAGGAATATCCAATCCTTGTAAACAATCAAGTCTCATAATATCGATTTCTGAATCAAACTCTTAAAATCAAAAGAACATTCAGCACGGTCACAGTTATTCATTTCAACCAACCCTTGTCAATGAAGCATGATAGACTAAATGAAATTTGATGGCTTCTGCGAATTCATCACTGTGGAGTCGAGAAGAAAAATATGGTATAGTATAGAGCGAGCCTCTGAAATCAATTTACAATCAGAAAGAAGAAGAAGAAAGTTAGAAAAGCAAGGGAAAGTTGGCCAGTGCCCAGCAGTGTAATCGAAAGTGAGTGAAAGGAAAGCAGCGAAGAAAGTAACGAAAACAGTAGCGAAGCGGTGAAACAGCAGATAAAGATAATTATTATCATTGAAGTAAATAACTGATTTTAAAATTGACTGTATAAGCAAATAAGCAATTCATCATCTTGTGTTATTACCTCTGTTCAAAACATGTTAAATCATTTAATGATATATTTACGATTAATTACCCACTTTATAATTTTCAAACTATCTTGCCGCTCGATTTACAGCTTGCGTGAAATTCGAAACGTGAAAGGCCTGAAAAACACAACGCAACACAACAAAATTGAAATAACACAACACAACACAACACAATACAATACAACACAACACAACACAACACAAAACAACACAAAACAACACAACACAACACAACACAACACAACACAAAACAACACAAAACAACACAAAACAACACAAAACAACACAAAACAACACAACTAAACAAACATAACATACATAACATACATAACATAACATAACATAACATAACATAACATAACATAACATAACATAACATAACATAACATAACATAACATAACATAACATAACATAACATAACATAACATACATAACATAACATAACATAACATAACATAACAAAACATAACATAACATAACATAACATAACATAACATAACATAACATAACATAACATAACATAACATAACATAACATAACATAACATACATAACATAACATAACATACATAACATTATCCTCGATTGAGCACCCAAGTTTGAATTAACCCGTCAGTGGCTGAAACTGCACACCTTTCTTGCTCTTTGTTTAACTTTTACATATTTCACTGATTCAAGAGAAACTTAAGAATAGTATTTATTAAATTGTTTATCTCAAAATGAGACTTCTAGCTTTTCAAGGAATATAACGTCATTTTTTTTATCAAGAGTAAAACCAAAAGAACATGCTGGCTGATCCGTTTTTATTTGATTTTCACTAAAAGTAGTCAATCGGGGCTGATTGCCAATAATTTGCGTCTTCTCTATTTTCTGATAGCACGAGAATCGTAGTCCAGTGCTTCTTTTCTACCATCTTCTTCACAACTGAGCTAACTATATAAACGTCGATAAGCGCCCCCCCCCTTACAGTTTGGAAGTAAATAAGAACCCATTTAGGTGCATTAACGTGAACAAAGGTAAAGTTACAGGTCAGAGATATGTGACTCTCATTGGGAGAAATATGACTGAACTTGCCACTAACATGATACTGTATTTAAAACTTTGCGCTAGTATTTCACCTTGCTGTATTTTTATCATGACTTGCTACTGACTGCAATTAATATTGTTTTGGTTTGTTTAGAAAAGAGTGTAAGGATGGATCTAGTAAAAGAGACAGTTGCAATAGTCAAGGATCATTGGATTGTTACGTCATTGATGCTGTTCACTGTTCTTGTGTATTGGCATTATGTAGTGAATTTCACTGCACTGCAGCAGCTGGGCATTCCAGGGCCTAAGCCTTTACCTTTTGTTGGTAATTTTCTCCTCTTCCTCCGCAAATGGAAAAGTCTCCACACTCTGTTTGAAGAAGGTCATGCCAAGTATGGAAAAGTCTTTGGCTTCTATCTGTTGAAGCAGCCATCAATTGTGGTTGCAGACCCTGAAATTTTGAAGCAGATCATGGTGAAAGAATTTGAAAAGTTTCCTGGTAGACCCGTAAGTATTTTTCAATTCCATTTGCTACCAATTGTTGTTGTGTGTCATTTGATGCTGGTTGCAAGACAGAGGTAACAGCAGGGCAATAACCCATGAAAATCAACAAACGTTTTCAGCAGCAGATTAAAATTCCTTTGTTTTAGAAATAGGTAACAACATATGGATGATACATAAATATTTAAAATTAACTAGAAAAAATTTTAAAATCAACATCTGAAACGATATATGATACTTTCTTAGAAGTGCACCTCACGTAAATTAAAAGTTGTATTCGAGATGGAATATCATATGATTTACCAGTTTTTCAAGGATGGCAGAAAACTACCGTGTATTTTATACTCGTCGCATTAAAGAGGGAATCGTACCATTTGTCGTTTCATAGTGTGCTGCTATGTTTGTGGGAATGAGGACTGGGTATATAGAACCGAATGGGAAGAAATTTATACAAGTTATTCAAAAGATGCAACCCTGACCTTCTTAAACCCTCTCGTTGGTAATGAACACAAACGATTTTTCCTATTTGCACTGGCGATATTTCAGTCAGAATCAATTTTCATCAGGTGGAGTTGCAAGAATATGACATAAAAATATAAGAAGCATAACCAACATGAAAAAGCTTTGTGTCTTTAAACCAGTTAATGTAAGTCTCACGTGCATTGATTAATGTTGAATGTATTCATGGATTACTCTTTCATTTCGGAAATTCGTCTTCTCGGATTTTCATTCCAATGGATCTTAGAATATGACAGCTTCATCAGTTATGTATCATTTCTATGAAATCATGACAATAACTGATAAAGTAGAGACAAATAACGTCACTGAAAGTGTCATGTTGAGGTTTGCAGAGAATTTACTTCTGTATGCAACCCAATTCTCGGGATAATCTTGTTTGCTCAACTTTTTTGAAGAGGTAGGTTTAGCAATGAAAAGCAAACCTCCCGTAGCCACAGTTTAAAATGGGCAAGTATTAGTCTAAAAACTGATAATTTTATTCGGAGCACGACAATGTGCAATTCTTCTATCTTTATTAACCTTTCGCAATCATTACGTACTTAAATGTTCGAGTCAAGCTCAAGTGCAGTTGCATTGGAGAGGGGGGATGGGCGTGGCTGCCTTAGAACATTAAAGGCAGTCTGTCCCCTTTGTGATTGGCTAATTCTAACTTGAATGCCTCGCCTTCAGAGGGTCTGCCTCTGCCTTTTTTAGCATCCGACATAAGTTATTGTGCCTAATCTTTCATAGCAGCTCCTCGCTCAGGGAAATTGCGCTATTGTGATTCTTCATTCTGATTGTTTATTTGTGCATTAAATCAACGATGCATGAATATCATGACGATGAAAAGAGATAATAAGAGCAATGGGGCACATACTGCCTTTAATCACAATGAGTTCTCCCTAAAATGCATTTAAATAGCTACAGGGATGTCGTAGCACATTTTTGCTGACCTACGTTACACTTAATGAGGTTTTTTTCAATTTTGAAGAACCGTGGTTTTGATTTTCCTGAACCTTTAAAAAGTATGCTGACGTCAGTGGAAGGGCCAGCTTGGAAAAACCTTCGCAGTATTTTGACCCCCGCTTTTACATCTGGAAAGCTTAAGAATATGATGTACATCATGCATGAAGCCGGGGACACGATAGTTCAGAAAATGGGAAAAGCCGCAGACGAAAACCAAGTTATTGATATACACAAGTGAGTTATGGTAATGAAGTTTTAGTTGCTATCAATGGCTAGGTAAACAATTTGGCGGCATACTTTGCCTTTTCTATTGCAACGTCAAAAGCGTTGTTGGATTTCGAAGGAAGAAATGTTTATTTATATTTATAGAGCATTTAATGTGTATTTAGATGATTGCAGTGCATCTTTTTAAAAATGTTTCATATTCCATAATTACAAAGACGTAGCTATCGAACTGGGTACAGTCTTTCCTGCAAATTGCATTTTAATTGAGTAACTTTTAGGAAGCACTCAAACCTACCCCTTTGCTGAAATGCGACATCAAAGAATTTTAAATAAAATTTTTCTGCGTGCTGGGCACTGGTCATAGAAATGGCATCACCTCACCCAATCTTTCCTACAGTCTGATCCCTTCGCCTGATCGAAATATACTTTTCTTCACTCTAGATGGCAACAGTCGGTCACAATGGAAGTGATTTTGTCAGCAGCATACGGTCTTCAGTCTGACTGCCAGACAAACCCTAATGAGAAGGTAACCTCGTATGTAAAACGAGCAATGACACCTAAGCCGTGGCCTAGTATAGCATTATGGATTCCTTTCATCGGGAAGAAAGTAAGCAAGTCACTTCTAATGTCCAAATGGGGACTGCACTGGGGCCCGGTGATCGACATTGCCAAGAAAATTCTGCGAGAAAGAAGAAGTGACGGGGAAAAGAGAGAGGTGAGTACACCTGCTAACCATTTTGAATGTAGAATCGAGGTAGTCTCCAGGGCATTCCTCGTATCTCTTTGAATCAAGGGACCACGAGAGCGGTTGATTGTAGGGGGCTCATGCCTCCCAATAATTCCTAAAATTAACATAAAATCATATAAAGATTATCATGTTCTTTGCTTTTCAGCAAGTTTACCCCCCCCCCCCTAAGTTTTATCAACCCTCAACAAGGTACCTTGCGTCTATGATACGTATTGATAAGCTCTCCCTATATCATATTTTAGGCTGTTTAATCATCCTGCTACCATTATTCATTATACATCTAATCATGATGTGATACAGATTTAGAAATGTTATCAAAGAAACGAAGTAAAAGGATACAATATGTAACTATTATTAAATAACAATTATCATTTCCTATTAGTTATTTGAAATAGCATATTAGAGAAAAATATTTGACATGGTATTCTTCAATAACAGTTCATGTTTACTCTTACTAAGATTTCTCTCTAAAAATTTTTCGAAATTTTCACGGTTTCCCGTGATATGAAACTTGTCGCCTGGAAGTGTTCGCAGTCCTTGGGTTTCCTTTCTCTTGAATTTCACCAGCTTGTTTCTTTCTATGGACAATAACTTTCGTTAATCTTTGCTAAAAGAAGTTACCCTTCTCGTTTGATGAATGCAGTAATATTAGACTGTGCTAATAAGACAAGATTTCTGTTTAGCTACTCATAATGAAGAAACAACAAGGATGTATGAAAGCTGAATTCTGAGATTTTTAGATAATATCAATCCATTTGAAACACTGATTTTGAGAAATTTAGCAGGCCATTTGAAATATTTTGTATCTTTAGGATATGCTTCAAAACATGCTTGATGCTCAACATCCCGAGAAAAAGGGGCATAAAATGACAGAAGATGAGCTCATCGGTGAAATGGTGCTTTTCATGTTAGCTGGTTACGACACGTCAAGCAACGTACTAGGCCTAACTTGCTACCATCTTGCTGTATATCCAGAGATCCAAGAGAAAGTCTTCCAAGAAATTAAGAACGTGTGTCAGTCGATGGACACAGTTACATATGACGAGATCAAAGATATGCCTTACCTGGAAGCATGTATTTCGGAGACTATGCGCTTATGCCCACCAGGTAAGAAAACCCAGTTATCTGATTTGATGCAGAATCATTTTTGTACTCCTAAGCAGGAGCGGTAATTAATTGTGAAGGGCCTTTTCTTCTTGCAAAGGATCAAAATGAAGATTATTGTAACTTGCAAACCATTATTCTTTGGATAAGCGCCATGCCAAGGAAAATTGTTTTCTCGAATATACCTTCTAAACGCAGAACAAATTTTTCTGGTGCAACATTCTGATAAACTTCATTTTGGTGCAACATTTTGAAACTATAATAATATAATAATAAATAGTATCTTTATGATTATACGTGAACGTGGTTATGTCAAAATAATAACCAATCCTTGAATAAATCTTGTGTAACAGTGTGAAGGCTTGCTGGTAGCAACTATTGGTCCATCCTACCATAAGGATCTATATACTTCTGCCCTCCCCCCCTCTAACATTTTGTACTCTTTAGTAACATAACATAGCAAACCACGTGACGTAATGTAACCTAAGACGCAGTATGAGAATTTATAAGAAAGTGATATAAGGGGTCTGGGTCATATTTTTGCATACAAAATAACGTAAATGTGAGTTCCGTTTGGTATTCCTAAAGACTGTTTAGGGTGACCATCTCCTTTCCTGAATTCTTAAACCACCTTCTTGCTGTAGCGTAACGGAGGCAGCCGGGGGCCCTTAAAAACTTTTCAGTTAGAGATCTCTAGTAATAAAATGAGATGTTATGCAAGGTAGGGGCCCTGTACTTATCACGGTTAATCACGTTATGATTCCTAGCCTTCAAGAAAAGATTTTGCTGAGAGCCCCAGTTTTGGAGACTGATTTATTTAGTGGAGAGTGGACGGAAAAACGGCAACTAGACCTGTGAAGGGTGATTGATCACGGCCCACGCACTACTCGCTACCGATTTTTCGGCGAGGTACAGAAATGATTATGGCGGACAAAAAAGCGTGTCTCACTCTTTGAGGGTGTGGTCATAAGATAGATAAACATTTATGCTGCCTTTATGCGCTTTTATTTCAAATTTCATACTGAAGTGTCATATCTTGAAAATTCAACTACTACAGAAATGTTAATACCAAATTTCTTCTTTCGAGCGACAAAAATCGTTTATGTGCCTACGGGCGTAGCAGATTTTACAAAAATTGCGTTACGTCAGCTCGAACTGTGATCGATAATCTGTGCAAAGAGCAATAATACATCCATGTACAAGTTGATTAGTTTTTAATCATCATCATCCTGTGATAGATCTGCGAGCCAGAATTGATTTTTTGTAAGCGAGAGCACTGGAGTCACAGTAAATTCAAAATATAGGTCATAGCTATAGGTCATCGCAATGTATGGTAATGCAGTTTTTCAAGCAAATGACAAAGCAAGAAAAAAGGGAAGATAAATCGCATTTTTCAGGCACCGCGGAGCGTTGAGAAAAGTTGGGGGGGGGTCTAAAAAAAGTGGGGGGGGGGCTAAAACCCGTA